ACATTCTCTAGTCATTCATTTTCTTTTTCTCGCTAACTCTCTGTGTCTCTTCCTTGTAAGTTGTGTGCTCTGATAAACGTAGTCTATCGCATTCGGCCTGCACAATCTCAGCAAAAAATAAACCATCAATTTAATGATGTCGTCAACAAGAATATAGTGCAATGCCAATGAACATACAAAAAATAAAAGTTTCATAGAAAATTCTTCTCCTGCATCAAATCTTTCAATAAACATTATGTTTTCTCTCTAATGTCTTCCATTGAAATGCTCAATCAGCGTGAATCAAACAATAGCCGACAAGTGAGTAGTTATTATATTGTACTTTCGAATTTTATGTTGCTTTTTCTGCTTTTATTTTGATGCTGCTAATGCATAGTGATTTTTTTCTGTCACTAGAGCGGATAGATAAGCGCTTGTCCTTCCGATTCCGATTCCGATTCCGTTTCTTTATTTTTATTTTTATTATTATTATTATTATTACTATTAGTATTAGTATTATTAGAATGTTAGCTTGTACATTGTTTTTCGAGCTGTTGTTTTCTTTTGCCGTCTTTTCTAAATGTCAAATCTATTTATTTCTTCGTCACATTACAACGCCTTTATCACGCCCTACTCTATTAGTAATTGAGATTTAATATAGCAAAAGAAAATTATATTCGACAGATTTTACCATTACATGTCGTCGAGATTTAGGAAATATTCTTCATAGTCATAATCATATAAAAGTTTTTAAAAAGAAGATAATTTTGTGCTAGAATTTTCTAAAAGAAGCAATATATTAGAAAAAGATTCAATTAATTTTTCCAGACCATTGAGAATTTCATTATTTCAATTTTAGCGTGACACAACATTGAACATTTAAGGACATAAGACTTGACTATTATTATTAATGTAGTTTTATATATATATCATGGATACCTATCAGGTACTAGTCAACTAGAACTCACTAAACAATGTTTCTATAATCTATATATGAAAATATAGTTTATTGAATATTACCTGGAGGAAGTACAAATAAGAGATAAATATTGACATAGCCGATAAAGATAAGTATTTCGCGTGAAAAATTAGTTAATATTTAATTTTTCGGTGTTTTAGTTATTCTTTCGAGATTTATATCAGCTCGATGTTACTTAAGTTAGATATTGTTCTTAGAAAATTAAAGATCTACTTTGTGATCATCTTACTGAAGTATTTTTCAATGTAACGAATGATAAAAGTGTCTCTTTAAGTGGACATTTTTAGCAAGTAATTGTATCTCATAGGAGAAAAGAAGAAAAGAAAAAGATGATGCGTAATACTAATTTACTATCGTCACATCAGCTATAATACTTAATAATCATGAGTACATAATCATTTATGGGTATTCTCAAATGAAATTCTGTAATATTCATCATAAGTGGTTAGGCGATACAGACGTTTTTTTTTCAATATAAGAGAAGAATAATTATCATATTGATAGTTTATATTGAATTTAAATTTGCATATCCGCATAAATATCATTCTCTGTTTATATAATATTTGTAATTATAGAATATTTTTTTCATTGTATTTATCGTAGATGATACGATAGTAGTATTAGCCTCATCAAAAGAATATTTTATAATCCTTTTCTTCTCAAGCATTTGAAAGCCATGTTGAATAAATATAATAGTAAGTAATGGTATTTGTAATTTACATTTCTTTTGACAGGTTGAAAATCGCTAATGAAAATAATATAATCTAAATAGTTATTCGAATAATTAACATGTTGGTGATTTTCTTAGATGTAGATACAAACAGGAATGTAAATTATTTTGCTATTTTAACACATATTTTGCTTTTTCTATCCAAAAGTTATATCAGATTTACATTAGATAAACATTTTCTATCCGAATAGTTGTCCTAGTTTTTATGTAGCTGTCTATAAAAATAACCATCCATTTTTTCCAATCAAAATAAACACTGAAATAATCGATCATTGTATCGATAGATGAAACATGCTTACTGTTGATACGTCATAATCAACTTTAGACCTAGCAACACAGAGTGATCATCAATATTAACTCTATATGCTCCAATAAAAACAACAACAGCAGTAGTCCAATTAGCTCTAGTGCATCGTTGTTTCAAATGAAAGAAAAAGAAAATCCAGAAAAAAATGAGAAAAAAAGGAAATGTCGTCTCAGTTTGTTCCTCTTAATTTTTCTTTTTCTGTTGAAAACTAAGAATGCAAGAGAAAGAACATGCGCACATATATATGAACAACCCGAAATATCGCCCGCCAGCACATTTGCTCGTTGCCGTACACATCGCATTAAGAGTGACTAGATGAATCGTTGTATAGTCTTAGAAAAGAGAGAGAGAGAGAGAAGATTTTTTTGCAATCACTACTTCGTCTGTTGCTTTTACACATCGTGCCGTTTATTCATACACATACGTTAAAGAGATCATCAGTAAATAGCGTTCAGCAAAAGCCTCGAAATGAATTTTATGTAAAAGAACGAGACAACTGCCCTCCTTCTTCTTTCTTCGTTCGTCTCATAATTGTGTTTGGTGCGTTCCACTCATCAACATCGTCGTCGTTATTTCGTGATCCATCGACACGCGCAGTAGCTCATCGCTAGATCATACGCACAAGCCCGTCTGAATAGATAATAGAACGATCGACAGAGCCACTTTTTTTCTTTCTATCTCTCTATCTCCCCCTATGTCTTCCATCTATAGTCTATTCCAAATAAATTGACGTTTTTCTTGCATGCACATTGAGCCGATAGTCTCTAGTTGTCCTATATATGAATCTTTTCTTTCTTTCAATCTGTTGACAGATTGCTTAATAATAATAAAAAAACGACCAAGTAAAATCTACTATTTTTTTTGCATTATTTTCTTCGTTGTAATTAATATGTCAATTGGTTATAAGTTTTGCTGATTATCACTCATTTTTCTCGACTTCATTCTTAGCATATATCTATATAGTATATTTTATTATTACCCATTTCTGTATTTTGATTATAGAAAATGTAAACATAGTATTACTATAAAATATGATATATTCGAAAAGAAAAAGAAACTAAAAAACAAGATAGTTGACGGATGAATTATATTTCTAGATAGAGAAAGAAGCACAAAATGAATTTGTATAATTTAAATAAATTATTAATCGTACATGCCATGATTTTGCGAGAGTACGAACTATATCGATACAATCTATAGCTACTATGTCTGCTGACGTTTTTGTTGATCTCTTTGGTCTATCAGCATTGACAAGAATCGAAGATAAATATGTTGATTCTGGTACAAAATCTATTAGAAGATGTTGCTCTCTTTTTTCTCCCTTTCTTTCTTTTTTTTCTTCTTCTCTATCAAAACATAACAGAGATTGCTTTCTTTTTATTTGAATCATTTTATTATGTTTAGTACCCGATCATTTTTCCATTTTCGTTAGTTTCCTGCATGACTTACGCTTACAAGTCAGTCATAGTTGCCGTTTAGAGAATGTAATATGCCTCTCTCTCTCTCTCTCTCTGCATATATATATATATACGAATAGATGAGTATGTTGAACTATCACACGCTCCAATTAGCGGTGCTCGATCGACAAACATTCGAGCAAACGATGGTTGGTAGTCCGACGGGTGCTAGGAACTGAAATAATAATAATAATAAAAACAACAACAAAAAGAGAAGCAGAAGCAGCAACATCACCGATTAATCCTTCATGGGTTTTTCTCTTCCTCGTTTGTGTCTGCTAGTAAATGTGTCAAACAGCGACTTAGTAGAAGCATCGCTTTTTATCAATATGACGCACGTTAGTACGCCTCCCAATGCCAATTTGTCTTGTTTTGGCAATATCACAACAACTATAGTTAGAAAAATCTCACTACTATTTTTATAGAATAAAACAGAAAACCGGATGGTAAGTTTTTTTTTTTCGACAGTAGAACATCTCGAGCATGGAAAAGAAAAAAATGTTAAGAAAAATTTATACTTATAATGTTGATGAAAATCTAACAGACGAACAATGGGTAAGAAAGAAGACGCATTAAATATATATATTTAAAGAACGAGGCCGATTGTACTTAAGCTTCGTTCTAGCTTTTTCTTTTTTTACTGATGTTCGCTATGTAATATTATGTGCAACAACATTTTCTTGCATGCTGCTCCGGATGTTCACTCTTCTGCTTCTTTTTTTTTGTTTTTTTCTCTCTTTTTCTTTGTTTATGGCGTCGTGACTCTGACATGAGGTGTTTCCGAGCGCGATACGGCTTGTTCGAGGCGTAGATAAGGTGAAGAAGAATGAAGAAAAGTATAAGAATCTAGATAGTTTAACAGTAGAGGTTCTACCCGACAGGAATCTGTTAAAGCGAAAAAAAGAGAGAGACACACACACACACACACAGACGTACAGAGAAGAAGAGACGAAGAAATAAGTGAATGAACGAGAAAGGATCTCTTTCTTTCTTCTTTCTTTTCTTCTTCTTCTTCTGCTCTCTCTCTTCTTTATCGACGTGTTACTGTGATGTAGTCATGGTAGACCCTCACTTACCTTTATGTCTCTTCATAATGTTAAATAGTGCACTAACATCATGTAAGTAGAATTGGCAATAATAAATAGATTCTTCATTAAATACGAAATATCAGTCGAGTATCAAATTCGTTCATTAGTTTACTTATGTAATTTTCTGTAGAAAAGCAATATAAGAAGATTTCTGAGCCTCTTCTTTTTTCTTCTAAATTTTGTATATTATCGACATCGTAAAATTAAAAATCTCGTATTAATATAATAACCTAGAAAACTAGTTTTTATTTCGTACACTATAAAAGAAAACCCGTTATTAATCTGTGATCTAAATTAGACAATGAGAAAAGAAAACGAAGAAGGACACAGAAAAGAGTAGCTTTCTTTTTCATTTGCTGAAGAAATCAAGCGAAGATTATTTACACGTCTGTAAATGACATTTTTTCCTCTAGTTATCTCTAACATAAATAGATATTGGATGTTATTCTAGGATGTCAAAATGGGCACTACAGAATCTTCTCAAACGTCCGAATTGGGTGCCATTGCTGGACTTAATAATCAATCATCATTTCATCGACAATCACCTAATGTTGCACGTTTAATACGAAGTGAAAATTCATCAAAAATGGAATACGAATTTCCGATAACCGGCGCTCCTCCTAATGACTCCCTACATCATCATCATCACCACCACCATCATCATCATGATGGTACGAATAATAATTCGGCAATATCCGGAAATAATAATCGTCATGGTTACTCGCCTTCACATCAAAATAGTTCAACGAATTCTCCACAACATATGAATCATAGCGGCCATACTTTAGGTAATTATGACAATATGTCACATTCAAAATTGCATTCAAGTCAAACATCAAATATATGGATATCATTAACAAGCTGTTTTGGTTGTCGAACACGTGGCTCGGATAATTTATCAATGAATTCCTTACGTGATAAAGTGCATGCTATACGTATCGTTCGTGCATCGAATGATCTTACACCAGCGGTATTCGATTCTCATTATAATATAATAACTCTTGAACAATTACGTGAATGCGATAATACGGGAACTGGAAATATGAATTCATTACCAAACGATTTATCTGATCCATTACCAATGCAAAACCCTGATCCTACTATACCTGCTCAAAATGGTAACGGATCAGTGACAACTCCGCCATCATCATCAAAAAAAGATAATAATCATCGAATGAAAAAGAAAAAGAAAAAACGAGCGGCGGCAACATCAGCTTATTCATCTAAAACTCCGTATTCGGATGATGATGATGATGAAGGATCTGAACGGACGTAAAAATAATTAAAATGCAAGTGAGATACCGCTGGTCGACTTCTCATCTATATTCAGTCAGAATGTACGTTGCATTGCGTAGTGATAATTGGTTAATACCCGTGCAATTGTGTGTAGCATTTGAAAACAGTCTCATCTTCTTTTTCGTTCTTTTCTTCTCTTTTCTTTCTTTTTCTTTGTATAGTCTCACTACATTCATTTTATGATGGTTTCATTTTCATTTTTAATTCTTTTTTGCTTCGTCTAAAACAATTTTTGTCTTTTTCTGTAATTGTTTCATTTGCGCATATGCACTTTCAAGTGAGAGCTATAAATGGAAAAGTATAAATTACATTTTTCTTCTTTTTTTTGTTTTTTTTTTGCACGATGAAAAACATAAAGACGATATTCAAATTCAATACAGTTGTTAAAGTTAACAATGAGAAAATATTTTCTCAACAACATGGCTTTTTATTAATATGACATTTTTCCGTTTTATAATTATCAATCAAATCTATTAGTGGAAAAAATAGGCAAATTCTTTTGTAGAAACAGAAATATACATTTCTTCTGTGTTCTTTCCCATAGGAAATGTGCCATTTGACAGATTCAAACACATGATAGATAATATAGTACCGAACGTGATTAATAAATAATTTTGTCAGATTTTTTCCAATCAATTTCTTTTTCAATCTTGTTTTACGGAATTGTGAATAATAGAAACAACTTTATGAGCTATTTCTCTTTTTTACTCAATCAAGCATCTTTTACCGTTGCTGTTCTAGGCGAACAACAATGTGTCCTATTATTTTTGAAGAGTTTTTTTTTCCATTAAAATTACAATCATTTGTCTAATTGAAGTTAATTCATAGAGTATACAAAGAATTTGCTTTTACAAATATTAATAGAGGGAATGGAACGTTTTTCTTGATTGAGCATCACTTGTTTTTTCTATTTATTACCATATTCACAGCTAATCATATTTAGCGTTGTTTTATTCAATATGATGGCATTTTTGTAATGCAATAATGACTCTAAATTCACTTTTCAAGAGAACAATTAATTGAATTTGCATATATTATTTTATTGAAAGTCAACAAATTATCATGTTAAAATTATATTTTGTTAGAAATATATATTCCAAAGAAAACTATATATATCAAATGAGAGATTTTGATCAAGACAGAAATTTTTAGATCTTAAGTACATGAGAATGAACTTTTGAGTTCTTTGTTTTCCTTCTAAAAAATACTGTTCGTAAATTTCACCTTTTTTTTTAGAAATAATTATAGGTAAGCTAAAGAAAAAGGAAAATTTTCATGTTCTGAATCATTTGAAACAATGGATATCATGTAGCAAAAATAACCAATACATCATTTTTTTGTTAAATGAAAAAAGCAATCAGATTAATGTTCAGACGCTTGTCGTTATTCATAAAATTGCAGCTAATTGTCAACAGTATATGTTCGAGAATTTGAATTAATCAAATTCTTTTAATTCATGATGTGAAGAGCCTAATATTTATTATCGGTGGAGAACAAACTAAAGAAAAACAGAAATAAAAAAATCGATATTTAAACGAGATTCGAAGAATACCGAACGGAAATATTGATTTCAAACAAAATCATATATTTGATGCATCAGTTCAACGTTTTATAATCTACTCTCTGGCAATAATACTAATGCCGGGAACTTCTTCCTCCTTAAAAATAATTATTAGGTTGTTCTTTCCGCTATTTAAAAGAAATCAATCAAAATTTGTTTTAGTTTTTATGAAATATTTATTTGAAAACAAATTTTCTTTTATCATACTATTTACTTATGAATTTCATGGATTTATAGACTGTTAAAAACATGTCAAATTATTTCATCGTAATGATCATCAATTGTAAAATAGTTCGTTCTTGAGAAAAAAATCTATAATATCATTGTATGCAATGTATGAACAGATGAAAACAACTTTGTGACAAAATATATCTCTTAATAACGACTGATGCAAAAGTCTTGGCAAGAATGTCGAGCTTCACTGTGAGCCCCCATAAGGTGCTAGAGACTTAATTCTTTCACCCTCGGATAGAGCAGCGTCTGGAGACTAGAAATGCATGTCTTCAAAAAAAAAACTTTGACCTTTTCAAGGGTCGAAATTTTCGAAACGCGAATGGCGCCCAAAACGGCTTGTCGTCATTCAAATTTTTCTTGCTAGTTACTTTTTTTCGTAATTAACAGATCTCAGTCAAGATTTGATGGAAGTCGGCCTAACTTTCAGATTATAGGTAACTTGGATTCCATTTAGTTCGTCTTCATAGAAACACTCTGGCGCCATTTTATTAAAAGGGGAGAGCAATGTTTTCATCCCTTCCTTTTCAAATGGGGCTGCGTCTCGAGATTTTGACGGAATTCGAGTTTGAGGAGTTGATTAGATACAGATTTTTATGCTCTTTCGGAATATCAAACTCAAATTCGGTTTGGACGAAACCTTGAATCTAAAACCTTTTCACTACAAAAACGGTGAAAAAGGTTGCTTACTACCATTTTACACTAATTTAAATTTGGGCCATAACTTCGGCAGACAAGGTGCGTTTGAGTTCAAAATTTTTTTCCAGATAGGCCATCAGTCGGTCAACCAAACCACAGTAAAAATTTTCCCGGAAGTCATGAATTGTGAAAATTGCAAGAGAAACTTTAAAATTTGAATGGTGACAGGCCGTTTTTGGCGCCTTTCGCGTTTCGAAAATTTCGACCCTTGAAAAGGTCAACGGTTTTTTTTTTGAAGAAATGCATTTCTAGTCTCCAGACTCTGCTCTATCCGATGGTGAAAGAATTAAGTCTCTAACACTTTATGAGAGCTCACAGTGAAGCTCGACATTCTTGCCAAGACTTTTGCATCAGTCGTTAGATGCTTAACGAGTATGGATGATACTTTTCTGTTGTTTTTGAATCTATCTGTATTGTTTGGTTCATACAAATACTAATTTATATGTTATAATTTAACAGAAAATATATTTCAGCAATTGATGAGTCTATCCCATATTGAATGTCTCTCATGAGAGTTTTTATTTCGAGTTAAAATAGTAGTATAATGGTATTTTTTTCCCTCTCTAATTTCTGGCTAAGTTTAATGATTTGCTGTTTTTTTGTCCTTAAAAATACGATAACATTCAGTGAAAAATAATGATACAAAAGTTTTTCTTTTTTAATAATTTCTAGTTTCATTGAAATTTAACTAGATATTCATATTGAATCGATTCTAGTTCTCAATGTTATTTTAGCATGAATCGAACTAATGTTGGTTATCAAATATTGAAGCCACGCTCCTCTATAGAAACTATGAAAAAATTGGATATATTTACAGATAGAAAAACCACGCCACTAAAATGAGGGTAATCCTATAATGTTAGTATTTCATTTAAAAATATCGTTCATTTCATCAATACGAGTAAAACTATTGATTTAGACCGAGTTTAATCAATTCATAACGCTTGATATAAATATGCGATAATGATCTATTTATCTACAAAACAAATTTCTTAGTTAGAATGTCGATTGCTTTCATTCGAAGCCAATCTACAGACGACTGTAAATACTTAACAAGAAAAGAGCGTATATAAAACATTACCTATTCTCATATAAAAAGGTTAAGTATGTCATTAAAGAGTCATTGAGATATTCACGACAAAATCAAAGCTCTTATCAATCTTTTGCTTTTTCCTATAACATATACAAGTAAATTGAATGTAAAAGTGTATGGCAACTTTTCCGAAGCATTCTGATCGTGAACGTTATAAGCGTCACCGTAATCCTTCCTACACGCAAGTAAATATTTAGCAAAATGATAAATAGTCTTAATGATGATAGTTAAAATCTTTGTCTTATTACAAATAATTTAGGCGTCTAGTGAACACGTTTCCATAGTTAATGAAAGAATACATGGCGTCAAATTACGACATCGCCGTGCTGAAGGTCAAGCAACACTTTCATTTTATGATAATTTTTCTGGTGATGAAAATAAAAATACAGTATCAAAATGGACTATTGTCCGACAACGTCTGCCAGATATTCTGGCTCTTAGTGAGACATACAAACCGGGAAGTGCTCGAGCTCAACTCATCTTACTTGTTGCTCTAATGAATAAACAAGCAAGTGACCTTGTAGAAGAATCGAGTCCATCAAAAATAAATGATCATAGTAATGCAATATCACATATTGTTCCAAGCAATGTTATTATTGATATAAGTGGTCGTAGTCGATTAATTTGCTTGAAACGTATACCATCGCAACAGATGATTCATGTTGATGTTAATGGCTTATCGTTTTCTATTCCTACACGTCAATTTATTTTGGCTGTTAGTCGTGGCTATGCACACGAAACAGCTGCTAGATATTGTCCACCGGCTATACGCGACATGTTAATTGATTTGTCGAAAACAAAAATTGTTGAAGATCGTCAACAATATAGACGTGCGCAACTTAAAAAACGTTTCGGTAAAATATTATTTTTTAGTATATTTGCATTCATTATTGTAATGATGTTGGCACTTATGTTTTGTGCCGCTGATACAATGTTTAAACTAGATTCATTTAATAAAACATTGACGTATATGCCAATACAACGTAAAGTATTAAAGCAAATCGATGAAATGTATTCAATGAAAACACAATGAAGAAATCAATATTAGTAATAATACTTATTTATTTATTTTTTCTGCGACGTTTGTTTTGAAAACTATTAGATAATTTTTTTTTCATATGTTTTTGGTAATAATATTGGGCGACATTGGCAAGATGATGCGCATAGAACATAATATAATAATAATAATAATTTTCTTCTTGTTGATTGTACAAGAGCCAAGGCATCAGCTTGATCCTTATGTTTTTGATATTTTTATCAGGTTTTTCAGCTATATCATCCTGTGATTCAATATCATCTGTCATGTCACTTGATATCTTCAATTGTTACGAACGTATCACATCAATCAGAATAATTAATATTATTGCTCTACGCGTGTTTTTAACTCGCATCGCTTTTCCAATATGTAAGTTTATAGTTTTTATGGGTATTTCTTTTTATTTTGATTTATAATAAAAAAGCGTTTGATTTGAATATTCAAATCAATAAGAAAAATTTTGCATTCCAATACAATGCGATGATTTATTTCCATCTGTGAGCACTTTATCAATTTAAGGAAGACTTGTTCTCTTTAAATACTTTTTGTCTCTCTCTCTGCCGGTAAAAGTAAAGCATATATTCAAGAAATCAGTTTATGTCTACGTATAATATTCATATGAGATTTTTGATAGAATTTTCAGATTTTTATAAATCTTTAGGACTGTTAGATGAATTTGAATTGAGAGTATTAAGTAAATTTCTATGAGACTAGAGAACGTATAGACGAGTTTCTATTCATAATACATCATCAATGAAACATTCGATACTTCGAAAATAAAATATTTATTACGGATGAAACATTATCGGATCGGTTTTCTGTAGAGGAAAATATGAAAATCGAACTGGTATAATTTATAATTTATATTGTTTTTTTGTTTTGATCCACGTAAATATCTTACATTGTAATTGAGAACAGTCATACTTTTTGTATGTACTCTTATTTAACTTTTAAAAATGACGTCTTGATCGTTACGATAAAAAAAAAAGAATCGCTGGTTTGATATAATGAGTTGAAAATGTCATAGTCGTATCTTATTTAGTTCTAAAACATGTTACTCAACAATCAAGTGCCATCGGGCGAATATCGACATAATTTTGTTCGATTGATATTTCTTATTGGTTCGGTCATTTTCTTTATCGGCTTTATTTTTGTCGATCAACTATTCGAACAAGGAAACACAGGTAAGATTTCTTTCGTTGAAAACAGAAAAATGAGATTCCTTTTCTTAAGTATTAAAATATTCAGGAGTGTTAGTAAATAGAACGTATCGTGTTGAACAATTATATCCTAATGATATCACACCATCTAATTGGGTTTATCGCAGTTTGGATGTATTTAATTATTTCTGGCAGGTAAAATCGATACTTTTCATTTAGCAACAGGAAACAAAAAATAGTGATGATATTGATTTTTTAGCTTGCTTGGTTATTGTACTCGTTGAGTTTCATCTTCCGTCGTTCGGCAACTGGTTATCTTTATTTATCACCGAATACATTAACACCAACATTTTCCATTGTTTACGTTTTGGGTTTTCTGATACAAACAATATGGCTTTTATTTTTTCAAAAAAATTATACAATTGTAAATACTATAAAGATCATATTCATTAAATAGATATGCTCTTTTATTTCGCTTTCTAGTGGAGTTGGATTATTTATCTAGTCTCATTTTTACTATTATCACTTGCTTTATTTATTATTAATAATAATTTAGCAGTAAATAAGAAAATCTATGAAACTGAAGGATTGTAAGTAATTGATTTCTAAAAGTATTCTACTTGTTCGTATTTGTTTTCATTCTTTTTAGTGATCGAGATGTTTGGTGTCTTCGATTTTTTGCCCAAAATGGTGTTGCATTCTTTGCCTGTTGGGCAGGTTTGGATTTTATTTTATTTTAAAGACTTTTACTTTTTATTAAAATTTATTTTAGCCGTTCGTTTTGTTCTTACGTTCGACATATTTCTTCAAGTTCAATGCAACTTATCGGTTCTAAATGCTGGCACAATATGCTTAAGTTTGGCAGCGGTCTTAGCTGGTGGATTCTTTTTTGGAACAAATTTTAATGCAGCACTTGTTGAACGATGTGCCTATCAATTTTCGCCATGGGTGATATTCATTATATTCTTTTGGGGGGTTGTTGAAAACAATTGGATATCAAAAGATATTACAAGAAACAATATTATTGCTGGTGTTGAATTATTAGTTAGTTTAGTATCAGCTGTTTTGGCATTAGCTCTCTTTACAATGCGTTATCGGGCTTCAAAAATTGATCCAATCGCCTAAAGAAACATTTTTCTAAACAATTAAATATCAACCGGTGTTATGTATTTATCTTTCCCTTTTCAGGTGATTGGTTTTCTTTTTAATTGAATCCAGTTTTTAATAAACAACAAAACATATGAAAGAAAAAAAACAAGAAAACAGAATAAATAGTGTTATGTCTTTTTTGGAAATGGATATGACATCGATTTATTTGTTTGTTGGCCACCAGGTCGTTTTGGGGCCTAAAAATAACGGTGTGTCAATTAAATAGAAATCGCATAAAGGAAAAAATTACTCTGGCTTTTGTAGATCTTGTCGGGCGATTTGGTTCGTAGATATCTTCATCGTCGGCTGGTCGTTTAAATTTTTCTTCAATAGAAAACGATAGAAAGAAAGTCTATTTATTAAATAGAATTGTTTTGCTCACTTTTTGAAAGAATTTGATCTTCATTCATAACCTTATAATTGTAAGGTTGAAATGTTGCATGTTTTTGTTGATACTCATCATCAATAATTTCTCCTGGTTCTTCTTCATCTTCGTCACTATCTAATTTAATTGTTGATGGTACTTCATCAGCAACACAACCACGTCGATATTTTTTATTTTTCATTTTATTACTATTATTTTCATCATTCGTTGTTTTTCTTTTACGTTTTGTTGCAGACTTGAAAAAAGACAAAATCATTAAATTAATTGATCTTCTCAAAGAAAAAACAACTTACTTGTTTATTAAGCATAATAACTTCAATATCATCAGTCGATTTTTCTTTCCGAATACCATCACCATTTTGATTATTAGCATCATGTTGAGCAGATTTTCTGATAACTAAAATAATCAGTGTTAGTAAATCTTAAACTTTTTGAAATTATTCTATATACTCGTACTTGATGGATCTCGATCAGGATAATAAACTTGCCATATTGACTTTGTTTTAATCAGAGATCCAGTTCGATAAGATTCAGGCATATACTAAAGAAAGATAATATGTTTTTATTAAAGCACATCTAAACAAATCATTTGTAAAGCTGTATTAGAATCTAAGTTCCTTTTACAATTTCATAACTAAAAATAGGACCGTGACTTCATCAATAAAAACCGACAGAGTTGAATAATCTAGTGAAAATATTAGCTCAACTAAAAATGGAAAATTGTTTTCTGGATCGTTAGCCATATAGAGGAAAAAATAAAACTTGAAAAATAATATCCGGCAACGGAAAAAGCTTCGTGACGAAATCATTCTCGTTAAGTTAATTTAATAGTTTCTCAGCACATTTTTTCATTAGATTTTGTATCGTGTAAAATATGCCGTCTGCACAAATGAACTATTCTTTCTTAGAACAAATCTATTTTCTATCGAATAATGAAATACCATGTCGAATATGTTCGTCGATTTATTCCATCGAATTTTTGATACTGGTAATAGCTGTGTTTTAATTTGAATTGGTAATGATGAATCATTTAATGTATCACGTTTGTTGGATTCTTCAATAAATGTTTCATCGAGAATAGATGAAAGATCTGTTTAAAAATAAAAAAATCGATCAAAATTTAATCATGTGATTAATTTACCGTTAGAAAGAATTTTAGTCGAATTAACATTCGTTAAAAGTTGAGGCTCTCTTTGATGTGACGTATCATGTGGGCAGTTGAGAACATTTTCCGGATCATATAATACAGGTAATGTTAATGGAGCTATTTGATGTTCTTTTGGCTCCTAGAAAAAAAATCATTATACGAAAACTAGAAGTTTTTCTCTGTGAAATTATTCCTTACTTCGATCAATGGTATATCCCGAGCTTGCAAAATAATTTGATGTATGTCATGTAAATTATGTTGAACAAGGACTGGTACTGGATTGCAACAAGCACGAATACCTTGAGATTCTCTATAAAATACATTCTATTAGTTCGATTCTTTTAATGTTCACGTCAAAACAAAAGAAGGCTGTGCAAATGCTAATACTATACAAGGAAAACTAAATTTTTACCTATCACATTCATAAAACGTTTAGAAGCCCACACGAATATAATGTTCCGCATCGCTCTGCTTATTTAATCTTGAAAGAAGAATTTTCATAATTATCCTCTCAAACGGTAATACTCAGGAAAACAGAGAATACCTTTCCGGTATCATTATGCAGAAAGAGTATTCATTTTTAGCAAATTTTCTATAAATTGAATCCAAAAATCGTTTTCATGAAATTGTCAAATACGACTGATTTGTTTTCTATTGAAGCATCACGGTAAATGGCATTAGGGGTATTCTGAAGTGAATATCTATCTCAACCGAGGTTTATATAATTATCTCTCTATTTTAACAATCCTTTTCGATCGTATTTTGCACAAAAAAAAACAGAAGAATACTTTCAAACCTTGGAAGAATTTCTGCGATTTGAAGTAGCATATGATTTGGTAGGACATATCTTTAAAATCAAAAGAAAAGAAAAAGTATTAGATATGTTTTCTCCAAAGTGATTGATTTTTCAAACCCAGTTGATTCATCTTCATGACGAGCAATTCTATCACGCCAATAATACAAAGATTTCAATGCAGCTAATTGTCGAACATTAAATGTTTTACGAGATTTTATGTAAATATTTTGATATGCATCTTCATCAAAATATGGTTTTTTATAGAGCTTAAAATGAAGTAATTATATATATATGTTGTAGTGGAAATTAAAATTCAGTAGAATTTAAAATCCTACTAGTAGAAATTGAAATTTTAGTTTCTACTATAGGTAAAATTCAGTAGAATTTCAATTTCTACTAGTAGAATTTTAAATTCTACTGAATTTTAATTTCTACTGCGACATATATATATATATATATTAAATAAAATAATTTAATATTCGACATACCTTTTGACAGATCATCTTCGATCTTTCATAAACAGTATTAAGAAACTGACGACTCTTCTGTAATAAATTATTACGTAATAAATCATAAATATAAAGAAGATAATGTGTATCTTCTCGAGCATAACGAAGATATTCTTCTGGGAAAGGTCTAAAATCATTAAATAAAACGTCTTTTTTTCTCATCTCAAAGCATCAACAATAATATGCAAACCTTATTCTCCAATCGGCTACTTGAAATTGTTTATTAGCATCAATATCACAATATGATTTTAATAGATAAGCAAGTGAAAATGCTGGTAAATTAAGTTCTCGCGATGCTTGATGTGTATCAAACATATTCACAATATAAAGACCAAAATCTTTTTGTAGCCATTCAATATCAGAATCGGCACCATGAAAAACCTATTTGCAAGTTTTAATTAAAAAATAAATGATATCTATTAAACACCAGGACTATTTACTTTAACAATATTTGGATTTGTGAAAATATTATTTAGAATATGTAATTCATCTCGTAATGCAATTGTATCAATTAGAAAATCTTCAGTGCGTGATGAGATTTGCATTAAACATGTAAAACCTTGGTATGAACGATAAGAATGATGCTAAAGAGAAGAAGAAAATGATTCATTTCGAAGGAAAAAATAAATAATAAGAAAAAAATACTTCTAAATCGATTGCTAACTCCGATTGATTTTCAATATGATCATTCATTGTTTTAAGTTTATCAGACGTATCAACATACAAGTATTTTGTTTCATCAAGTGATTTTGGTAGCTAAAAGTAAATAGTAAAATTATGCTTTTATTAATTATTGATGGTAAATAAAACCTTAAAATAATTTCATATTTTCAAGGTACATATACATACGGCCAGTCGTTGATGTTCTAAATTTTGAAACTATATGAAATACTTTCAAGTAAACTCGATATACGTATCTTGGAGGCATGCTACTTTAATTTAAGTGACTCTAAAACTTTGTCTTTACTAAAAGTTCATTTTTTTTTGGCATGAGTAGGACTTTCAGCGTAGATGCTTTGTATGTACTTCAACGAAAATATCATGAAGTATTTTTACCAAACGATTTGTTCTCATTTTCAAGTAAAAACGAAATCATTTGAAAAAACGCCATACTTAAGCTTAACGATATATATATATATGAAATCATTTGTTTCGAGGATCTATCGAATGTTGATGATAAATCATAGAGAAATTTTCTAATTACCTGTGGAGTAACTTCTTTTAACAAGTTGTCATTTGGTTCAAATGCTTCGATTTCATCGAAGTATGGATGTTGTAAACTAAAACAATTATCATAAAGTTAAATTTTTGATTCGCCAAAAGATATTTACACTTCTGGATGCCGATCTAATAGAAGCATATCAAATGGTCGAGCATCGAATTGTGATAACATCACTAGAATTGAAATTTTCAAGAAAAAGAAAGTATTAAATGTCTATAGATTTACTTGCTAATGGAACTATAGCATTTGGTTTTGTTCGAAGTTTAGGAATAAATGGTATTTGAGGGTTATTGTCGACCTTATCAGTAAATTTTATTTGCGGTTTCGGAATATTTTTTGTTTGCTGATGATTAATTGAAAATGTACTTGAATTTCGTTTATTTTGTTGTTTAAATGAAGGTATGTTTTCTTGTAAAATAAATCCAACCTAAGAAAACAATTGGAAATGATTCAGTTTTGGTTCAAATTTTGTTTTATTAGTACTTCTCTATTCCATGTTGCAGCAACATTTCGAATCGATGGAATAAGTGCCTTTACTTCTGACGAATTTTTTTTTAATCCTGCTGCTTCATCGAGCGATGAAGACTAAGAGATATAAAGGAGAAATTTAATCATGAAAAATAATGTAGAATAAATTTAATTTACAATTCGTTCAAATAGAATATCATTAATGTCGATCAATTTTTCTATTTTATCATCACGGTCAGCTTCTTTCCATGATGTAATACCCAGATCACGACTTAAATTTTGTTGTTGTAACAAAGAATGCATACTAGATGAGCGAATTAAAATAATATGCATGAGATTTTGTTTGTTTTTATTTTTACTTTTGCAAAACTTTTTCAGCAACTGTATCCATTCGACGACGAAGTGGAGCAAAACTCATCAAAAAATCATGATCACTTGAACGTGATAGATCGTTTGATGAGCGTATTAATTTCACTACCATTGAACATGCAGTCTGAGAGAAAGAAATCATGTTATTATTCTTTGTTTTTTCTTAGTTCGAAATTTATTCTTACATCTTTAAATGCAGCTACATCTGGAAATTCATCGAGAAAAAGATTTGGTGTTGGAGTATCTTCTGATGACATTATTTCAGTTAATCAAATCTGAAAACAAAATTACAATGATCAAATCTACCAACAGCTGCAGGCGTTTGCTGAATTAACTTCTTGCATAAAGTTCAATCATAAAAATTATGAGATCAAAAAGGGGTTTTTCAATTTTATTTAGACAAGAGAATACCATCGAAATAACTATGCCATTATGGCTTCTCTATAATAATCATTCACATCAATTTTGTAACAATACATTTTAAATAAGAAAGAAAATTATTTTCAATATTTCAATAGCATAATCCTTTTTTTTATATGCAACTATATAGCTTTCAAATAAAACAAGTCGTTTCATTTCTGCAATTACCTCAACAATATATCGAATAGTCACTCTATCTCGTTTCGATGGTTAACTTGACAATCAATCAAAATTTAGAGCGCTACTTTCCATGTCAAGAAAAAAATTTCAAATTAATATTTTATTCAACCATATTTCAATTAAAATACCTAATAAAAATTAATTCCAAAACTTACATATATTTTTTCAATCACATAATCAATATAGTGGCATTATCAAATTAAACAAATATGGTGGTCGGAAGAATATTAGATATGGTCACATGTTTATTTGATTGAACAATCGTGTTACATATTTTACTTCAAGTACTACGTGAAAATTTCAATAGCACATGGCTAATCATAATAAGAATGTTCGTTATGCACGACCACCAACAATGGATCGTTCTGGGCCACGGTAAGAATCAAACTTTTCCATTTTGTTCTCATACGTTCAAATCTCTTCGTAGATTTAATATACCACCAAATCGAAACTTTCCACGACATCAGTTTAATGATAATCGGTAAGCAATCTCAGAGAAGAAAATTTATTCCAATAGAATCTCTTTCTTTTTTTTTATTTCAAGGCCACAACTACCCAAACAAAATATCGCATCATTAATGCCTAATAAACCATCTACTGAAATCAACAGGTAAATATGTCAAACAATATCTTACTTTTTAGTTCGAATAACAATTGTTTTTTGTTCACAGTTCCACACCAACAACTGTTTTAGATCCAAGTACTCAGATTGAAAAAGCAAAACCTGAGCAAAATAATTCATCGTCAGTTTTTGCATTTTGAAAATTTCTATATAATAAAATGACTTGCATTTCTAGTACTGCATCATCCAATACGACCAGTTCTGTTGATACTAAACCAAGCAGTAGCTCGACAAATCCTATACCGACAGATGAACAAAGACCGATGGGATCTGGTGGACAAAAACGGCCATATCCTGGTCAACAATCGAATTCTGCAGCATCACAAAAAACTTCGCAAGGTGGTCGTTCACGTTTATTCATTGGCAATATTCCATCGGATTTGACACAAGAAGAATTTCAAACATTGTTCGAAAAATATGGCGAACTGATTGAATATTATGTTAATCCATCACGTGGCTTTGGTTTTGTTAAACTTGTAAGATGATGATGATGATGTTATTTTTTTTTGTAAGATTTATCTAGCTCTTCTTTTTTTCTTCTTATTCAGAGTTCACGACAATTAGCTGAACAAGCTAAATGTGATCTTGATGGCCATATTCTACGTGGTAAACCATTACGCATTCGCTTTGCTAGTCAAGGTGCCATTGTTAAAGTAAAAAATCTATCACCAAATGTTTCCAATGAATTACTGAAAGAAGCTTTTGAACAATATTTTGGTGGCGTTGAACGTGCTGTTATTATTGTTGATGATCGAGGAAAATCAACTGGTGAAGGCATTGTTGAATTTGAAAAGAAACCATCAGCACAAAAATGTCTTAATGACTGTACTGAAAAATGTTTCTTTATCACAGGGTAAGTAAAGCTTCAGTTTTTCCCCGAAACGTGCCGTATGATTCTACAGTGTTAATGTTAACTGGATACATAGAGAATAGTGTTTACTTGCATTTGTTTTACATGATGCTATCATTCCTGAACTCAGTTTTACTGAGTGTGCCTAAAAGAGCTTTTAGTCTCGTTGAAAAATAATTTTCCTCTCTGTGACAGTGTTCCACTCAATTTCAAATTTGTAGAATGCATAGCAGTAAAAATTCTCAATCCTTGAGATCATGGCACAGCCTTGAAAAGTATTGAGATCGAATATGTTCACAATCATTATTTTATTGAGTTAAATTGACTATTTAAATTTCCATAGATTGAACAAAATTCAGTAGAGAATGCTTTGTTTGAGATATGCGGCCCGCCTATTTGCGCCAATGAAGTTTTATTTTGAAGCATACTGATTCAGGACCACTGAAACGTTCTGTTCAAATATCAAGAACTAAAGAAATATTTAATTCATTTTTCCTTGTATTGAAGAGATTTGAGACCAATCATTGTGGAACCATGGGACATGAAAGATGAAGATGATGGTCTACCCGATAAATCCTTGATGCGAAATGATGTTTATTTCAAGTAAGCTAAACGCGAATTATTAAAATAATCTTAATCTATAAATGAATATTTTTCAGAGAACGCGAATTACGACCACGCTTTGCTGAACCAAATACAATTGAATATACAATAGGTCTGAAATGGAAACAATTGGAGATACAAGAAAAACAATTATTAGAAGAAGTTAAAACACGTATGCAATATGCATCTGAGCAATTAAAAGTTGAAACTGAACAAATGCAATTGGAATATCAAGCACAAGTATTACGAGACGGTAGGCAATTTAAAATAGAAAAGAAAAACGTTAGTTTTCCGTTGATACGAAGAATAATAACAGAAATGATTAGATATATATCGAAGTAAGGTATATATACATTTGCAGACATCGTAGCAAGACTACTTTTCTGCTTTTGCTTTTGATGGTAAATGCTGTTTTTTCCAGATTTATCTCGATAGGATCACATATACGTCATTTGGAAGTGTTATTTTGTTATCCTCAACGGTTCTTAAGAATTCATTCATTTTTAAAAGCAGTTATTTTATCACCAGCACTTTAGCGATATCGATATCATGCAGTTTCCGGCCGTGCGTAATTACGCTAAATCTTGTATTTACTTTTTTTGAGGACTTGAGTCGATTTACTAAACTTTTCTTGTAAACGCTTTTATTCGTTTGTCTATAAAATTGTTGTTTTATATGTGCGAAGAGCAAGAATATGAAAAAGAAGATATGGTGTCGAGGAATTTTATTTGAGTACCGAAAAGATGGATATAGAATCTTTGAAAATGCGATTTCTGCTAGAAATAAATCAGACTCCGATACTAAGAAAATATCCATCGCGAATGTCAAGTGTCTGAGGAAACGGAAAAAGCAGAAATCGGAGTATGTGTCCGAAAAAAGAAAATCTAGTAATTTCAATAAACTATCATTGAGCAACATTCCTGGTCCAAAATGTGTCCTACCTATGCAAACAAAATTCATGCAAAATATATATAGTAACGATTTGAGAGAGTATATTTCAGTCGAATGAATATGTAGAAAATTTATCATTAATTATTAATGTATTCTTGTTATGAAGATTTTATTTTACTTATGAAATATTATCAACAAAAAAGAATACTATTCTGCTACTAGTAAATTATCTTTCACTAAACAAAAAATACTATGTGAATCTATCTATCAGATCATTTTCGTCTATAATATGAGTGATCAACTATTATTTTGATGCTAAATCAATATTTCTTTTATTACTATCCAGAAATCGTTGATCTCTATAACTCTTCTTCTAATAGATAAATCTATACGTATCTAAGATATATTGATTATTTAAATCGTAAGAGAAAAAAAATAGATATACATATATATACATATCTAACGCCTAGTTGTTATGTTTCCTCGTATGGTAAGTGTGTTATGTTGTTTCTAGAATTAACACGTCGTCAAGAAGATCTTCGTCGAATCGACGAACTTCGATCACAGGATTTTGAACGTCGTCGTAGTATGATGTCAATGCATCATCCTGATGCTTATAATGCTCCTGTAGGTAATGCGTATCATCAAAATGTAGGAGGATCTGCTATGTATCCGTATAATAACAATAATAATAATAATAATAATTTTCAACAAGCTTCATATGGAAACTCGCCTCAGGTTAATCAGCAAACATCTCCAATAGATGCTGCCTATACAACCAACCAAGCATCACGTGGATATAATTTACAGTCAGGTCCTTCGAATATACATCCAGGTGGAGTTGATTTTAATCACCAACAACAAGGATTTGATCGGAAACGACCGAGATACTGATAAAACAGAAAAACAAAAATTCATCGTATTTTTGACTGTGTTTTGTTTTGTTTTGTTTTGTTTTGTTCTATTTGTACAAGAAATTAATGCATCGAGAAAGCAAGTTAAGAGATTCTTAATTAAGATCAATACTTTGAGAGAGATTATGTTTTATTCCTATTATTCTTAATAATGTATCCGTATGCTTTCTTTTTGTTTCATCTTTATTTACGAATGTGTATAATAAAGATGAAAAGTAACACGTAAATTATTTGAAGGAAACTAACCCTTTTTCTTGTTTGTTCTTTTTTTTTGTATGTAGAAACATTATCTAATAGATAAATATCATCATGCGTATTCGACAGTCATTTTTCTACTATACAAAGACGAGTTTCCCAATGTGAATCAGTCGTGATACGATTTGAGTAATAACAATGGTTCCCATTCCTGGACTCTAGTGGTAGGGGAAAAAACAACAGCTAATGATTATTGAATATGTTTTCTTGCACGTTAAAAATTGTCAATAGATTCAATGGAATAGAACGAGCAATTATCCTTAGAAAATAGTTACACTAGAAAATTTTCATTTGACATTTTTACTCCAACAAAACTAAAATAATATGTTTTTTCTTACAAGTAAATATTTGTTTGGTAATCACTAAGTTTGTAGACTTATCTTCTTCGATGTTGCACAAAAAATACTACCTATCAAACCGTATGATTTATTTGTTCAATATCATGAATTGATAAGACGATTTTGTAAACTTCAAAATAATCTTCATTTTCAATGTAAATACAAAGATAAATAATCGGTCATGTTTCTATCGTTAGATAACATACGTGTAAAAGACAATTTATTGTATCACATCGGACCTCCTTTCTCTGTGACTAACTAAAGTCGAATAACAAAGAAATTTACTGTAACTGATCCTGATTCAATTCTTAACGGCTATCATTTCTATTGTTATTCCTTTTTTTTTAATGCACACAGTTGAGAGAAATGTTCTTTTCTATGTTCACAGCATGTCTCTCTTCCTGGAAATAAATGCCTTAACTTCTTTCACCACAGGACATTATTTTCAGTCATTGATCAATCGGAAGTAAAAGATATTTCTTATTAATCTTAAGTGATTGTATCATCAGAACAAGTATTTTGTTTTGTTTTCGAAGTAGTTGTGTATGAAATCATTTTTTTTCTCATCATCGTTATTCCTTGAACAATTACATCATGTGAATTCATTAAAAAAGAATCTGTCTTCTCGTATCATTTGAATAAACAGGAACAACAAAAAAAAGGAATGAAGGTGTCATTAACAAGTGCATGTCCTCTACGTGACATAATTTAAATTCAATATTTATTTAAATCTAAACAAATCGAATGCTCATTTATTGTATCGAAAGAAAATAATGTGTACAAAATAAAAACTATGAAAAGCAAAATATTATTATCAAAGAAAAAAAGAAATTTTTTTTTTCATTTAACGCGTGGACTTGTATTGGTCTTATTGCTTGTATCAATCGGTGCTAAACAACGACGTGTAGGCGATGGAGCTATCTCTTGTAAACATGATTGAAACAATTTTTCGATCATATGTTGTGTTTGAATAAGCTCAGATTTCTTACAATGAATTAGTTTCAATAGCAATTCATCGATTTGATGAATGTTTACTATAGACAGACCTTTTAGTGCTGCTTTAATGCAAGCACAACATAAAATACTTGGTAATATGGTTAATGTATTTAATTCTAAAAATAAAATAAGTTAGGATTTTTCGTTTTTGTTTGTAAATTTATATTTTACCACATATTCCAAGTGATAGAAGTATATGAACATGTAAACGTATTTTAGCCTGATCGACTTCATTTGGAAGAACAGCTTGAAATATTAATTGAATATAATCATGTGGAACAACAGTTGATAAATCCCAATCTAATGTTTCAGCAATAAGTTGTTCTGTATCCTGAAAAAAAAATCGGATTCCAATAACTAATGAGTAGTTTTTGCCTTGGGAAGAAGAAAAAAACGCTTACGAAAATTTCTTCATCACTGTAATTTTCATTTAAGAATATCCATGATGTTTGTTCATTTTCATTATTAATTAAAACATTTGTACGAAGTTTTTTAGCTAAACTATAACATGATAACGCAATTAATTGACAATGATGATCATTGATTAATTGAGAATATTTTAAAATAAATCTATCGAATATATTCATTGTTAATGCAAATATATCATCGGACATTTTTTCATCGTCGCTTAACTAAAAACAATTTCTCTACTTAAAAATTTAATATATTAAATAAACTACAAACTTTATTAAGACCATTAGCAATAATTCGACGTTTTGAATGAGATTTAATAGGTTTATTTATTACATGGAAAGACTTTTCCACAGAAAACATTGTTACTAGCTGTTCACGTTCCATCGTCATGTGTGTTTCTTCTATTCTCGTGATATCAAACTAGAAGTGAACATTAAGAAAAACGATTGGATACGATGAAAAAAAAAGAGAGGGAGAACGCAAAAATAAAATTAAAATTACGTCTTAGCTTGTTTTTCTCAAAAAAGACAAATTTATACGTTGCAAATATTGGTCATAACTAGAAAACGTATGTTCTACTTTCAGTAGGAATATATTTTCATAGGCCGAGTAGGGGTGTGTCTCTCTCTTCAACCGTAACGATAATTTTCTTTAAAATAAAATAAAAGTCTAATTTTAATTAATGACATAAGAAACGATAAAAAAATTAGCATATTCTATTTGTGTGTGTATAAATTTAGCATTATTTTCCCACACATTTTGTTTTTCATTTTTCTTAAGACAAAAAGTGACAAGGTGCGATGACACGTTTTGAGCGCGATTTGTATCTGTAAAAGAAAGACCGACATTATTGCGCGAGCGTGCTCTAGGCGACTGATTTTTGTTTATATTTGCTTATTTAAATTGAAAAGATGGTAGGTGACATGAGATTAACGTTTTATATTCAACATAACTATCGGCGCCGACATTTAGATTTAAGAGAGCTTAGCGATTCGTGACAAAGTCTTTTTTTTTTCTTATTATTATTTGACATCATGTATTAAATGTAGTGGAACCACTATGAAAAGATAATGTGCATACCGATCAATGTTGTTAACAGCGAAATTTTTTGATAGATGAGTAATGATGTACGTAAGACAATCCCGGTGAGAGTTTTTATTCGGCTCGTTTATTTGACAAAAAACAGATGTATGAAGTTAATTTTTGGACAGAAGCTTAAATTTGAAATGTTAAAAAGGAACAGGCATTATGCTTTTAGTCTTATGTGGGAAAGAAAAAGTTCTTTGTTAAATGAAGCGTATTCATCCAACAGGGATAATCAACTTTGCCGTTCTGTCTTACGTCAATAATTTGACCTAATTTTTCTCTCTCTTGACCGCCCGTTGGGCTGAGACGTTATAAGAATGTAACAGAAGAAAATGAAAATATGTTTATTTTGTATCTAAACATTGATAAAGATGGTGTTCGTTTTCAACAACAAATTACCATGTTTGCAAATGAAATTTTTTTATTGACATTCGATTCCTATCATATCTAAGGTGAGAATAAATTGCATCATCAAGTTATCCATCGAGTGTGACGTGACAAAACACAAGAAGAAAATTTTATTTTTTATGACCAAGATAACGTTTTAATAAAAATGAGAAAAAAAAGAAGGAGATATCTTTGATTTGCAAAGAACGTCGATGTTTATGCTGTTTTATTTTATTAATCTTCAAAATAGATATTGACAGAAAAATTCACAGACAGAATCTTATCCGGATCCACCATTATTTTTAGAAACCATTTCAAATATAACTTCCATTGCAACACCTTCAAATGATGATGTGTCAAATTGGCGAATACCATTGTCATTGAGTGCTTGTAATTTTTTTAATGTTTGATTAATTTCATCCGATTGTTGATTAATATTTTGATTACGCCAACGTCGTGGAATATTACGTGTTGAAAGCCATTGTGATGCGTCTTCATCACTAATTAGAGGAAATTTTGCTTTTAACTGATGGATCGAAACGCCATTGCCTTGTTCAGATTGAACAAATACAACACAAACAAGACTAATTAAAACAGCAATAATAAATATTGAGCGGAACAACATTAGTTTTTATGATTCTTGCTGATCTGATAGGAATGCGCTAAAAAAATGAATGCAACAAGAATATTAGAATGTCATCATTTTTATAAATACAACTCTACGACATATCATTTGCCTAAAAGCAATGATCATAGACGTCAATGTTTATATTAACCTGCATTCAATAATAAAAATTGAACTCTTTTGATCCTTGATGACTAGAATAATATTGCGTGAAACAAGCTGATAATATATTCGTAACGACAAATTTAAAAACAACATGCGATCTCTAAGTAGAATTATCCACGATGGTTAGATCCTACGGTCGAATTCAAATTCTATCGGAATTTTCGCATTGATGGGAGTGATATATGAATAAAAGGTTTTTTGTTTTGAATATATATTTTCAGAATGAATATGGAAAAGAAAAAAAATTCAAAAATAGTTCTTTTCACTTCATCATAGAGAAATATCCATTCTTTTAATTTGAAGAGATCAGGAATAATATGTTCCAGAATGATTGCTGTGAAATGGTTTCTTCCAATGATGTATGGAATCGTAACTTTATTCTTGGTTCGTATCGATTTTGCAAATAAAATTTGAAATAAAAAGCACTTGACTATTTCAGAACTAGAAAAATCTTTTATGGTTAAATACTAGATTTTGCGAACAAGTAATGTAATATGCATGATTTTAGGAGATGCTAACTGATATTCTCACAGTGTTACAATCGTGATTTATGTAAAAAACCAGTTGTAAAGTTTTCCATTCGCTAAATTTGTTTCTGTTCGAATTACATCGATTTAATCCGAAATATTGAAGAGCTAGAAATTTCTCAACTTATAAAAATATTCAATAAGAGCCTTTTTTGCCTTCTCTTTTCCATCAAAAAGAAAAATAATGTTTGGATGAAAAGTTGAAGTTCAGTACAAAGGTCAAGAGTTTAAAAGCTGTCCTTAAAATCCCTGTGAGAGAAAACCAAAGCGAAACAAAATATAGGTATGTTCGTGCCAATGAATTGACCCTGGCAAAATTTCTTTCAGTTCATGGCTGATTTCTATCTTACTAATGAATATTATCATATCACAGGGCTATCTGATTTCGAATAAATAGTCATGCATGTAACTACGGGATTGGATTTTTAGCAGGGATTCTTAGTTATTTTAGTAGATCGACTAAGTTTAAAATGATGTTTAAAAAACTAGCCGAGATTTTTGAGAACGAGAAACATATTACACTGCTATAAACTTTAACAATAAATAATTTCAATGAAAACAAACATGAGTTTTGCTTGGATCCTTTTTCGGTATAGAAGTCATGATTTAAATAATGTTAAAACATCCTTGTTTAGTTGTACATATGAAAATAATGAATTTGAAATCGGACTAGTTCTTTGTTATAAGGTTTTAGTTCAAAAAGTAAGATTTTATTTTCTTTTAAGTTGGATCATCGATATGGCCATGGAATTTACAAGCAATAGAAACTTGTTAAAAGCAGTCAAGGTTCAGGTATGAAGAAAAAACTACTTTGTTTTCTTTTAGGTTTTGAACTGTAAATAGATGTTAGAAGATAATATTTTTAATTGGTAGCATTGAAAAATGCTCTATTTTTATAAATAAAAAATAATTGAATAAAAATTATGAAGATTTCTTTTTTTGATGTTGTTGATATGTTTGATTCATATGGGTAAAACTGAACGTTCTATTTCTTACACAATGAATTCAAAGACTAATGTAGTAATCACACATTAAACTCTATGCTATTATCAACTATTTCTACTTAAATTCAAGTCGAACAATTCCGAGAAGTTGAATGAGCGGTTTTATTACTCATCTTTTAGTCTAGATCAAATCCGTAGCTAGTCAATGATGAATAATCGCATACAAAAAGATTCTCTTTTACTAATGCTTTTGTTGAATAAAACGAGAACCCGAATAGCCTTATGCATATTGATTACAATTGTCGAGCTCTTTGGAATTATATTAATGTTCTATGCTAATGATAACTTTTTTTCTTGCATATGTCGCACATGTCATGCATTTCGATCGAAATTTCAAGCTATTTTCAACACAGAAAAAAAGCTTTCATATCTAAGTGTACTTGATTGAGACGATTTGAGTTAGACTATTCGTCAAGATTATCAATAATGATAATCATCGTACTTCACATTTTTTTCGTATCAGATGAATGTATGCAATTTACAACATGGCTAAATCTTAGGAACCTTTTTTTAAATAAATAATTTTTTTTTCGTTGCATCACATCTCTGACAAGCAATTGGATACATTGAAAAATCTCCAAGAAAGAATACAAGTCGCGCTCAAACAAGCAAAGTTCAATAATAGTAACCTCNTAAAGTGATCAATCCTATTTAGACGAGCTACCCTTGCTTACATGATCTAGTTAAAAGTATTAGAGTAAGATCGACGAGACGGCTAAATACGCAAACATATACAAAGAAATCTCTAACATAACAAATGTTTTATTTAGTTGACACTTATCGAATTATACAAACGTGTTTATTCTAATCTGCTTCGCGCGTAGTCCAGAAAAATGAAGTTTTAAATGAACTGATTATGATTCTTTCGTAAGGTAGTATATTCCTACTGTGTTTATATCGGACATGAATTTTCATTTGAATAGAGCCATTCAAGAGAGTTTAGAAAACTTCACTTGACTTCAACGCTAGATACTAATATGTTTATGCTAAAGTTATTTTAGTTTGTGGCTTCTTCTCAAAATAAATGTTCTATTTTCGATATTCTGAGAGATTTTTCTGTTATTTGATAAACAGTTGGACACGTCTGTTTTTGTTACAACGAATCACGTTCGAAACATTGATCGATGAAAATATTTGGCTGAAATTCCATCAAAGAATGTCAGACATATGATATCGTTGTGAGAATAAGAGAACCCTTGTTTTTACGTTCTAATATATCTGAGACTCGTAGAGATCACTGCGTAACGTTATCTATCGTCAGCTGTTGAATAAACGAACATTGTACATGAACAATTACAATGTTAGTTTCTATTCAAACGAAAGATGATACAAGAACAACTGCCGTCAATATACGTCTGTACCATATGGTGCAGATAGAAGTGCATGATTCATATTTTTACAGATAAATGGTATGTACATAAAAAGAAATGAATCGATCTAGCTATATGTGGATTCAATTGTTTTCTTTCTCGTGACGCGCTACTTTGTACTGGTAACATTTTAGGGAGTCGCAAGGCTATGTTAGTAATTTTATATGGTAACAAAATTTTAAGATCGATTGAAAATATGGTCTAATTTAATAATGCAAAACTTCTAACAACAATAGTTCTTTAGAAAAATATTATTGTCATAAATTTACCCAATTGTTAATAATATGATAATTGAAAACAAACGATTTATATCGTGAGTTTGAGCGTGATTTAACATATCAGTCCTTTAAAAAAATATGCTACACGCGAAAAACTCTATTGGATAGTATTATTTTCCTTATCAATAATGATTAATATTTTAAGCCTACTCGGATAAAATCAACTGAAATAAATCCTTGATCAGGGACATCCAGAGGCGTTATTATTGATAAAAGGTATGAATTCTTAAGTGATATCCCGTTGTTTTTTTACTAAATTTAAAATAATCTCCTGCGGCCATAGTGCGCTTTATTTTCAGGAAATCTTGTGCGGCCTTTTCTCTACTTACACTGGGTTTTTTTATTTTGCTATTTGGAATTCTCTCTGAGTAATCATATCGTACATTTAAGAAGTTTCTATTTGCATGAATACGTCAAGACATAAGGCGTGACAAGCTTTCTTCCGTTACATCAAACTTTGTGACTATTATACAGCAGACAACTTTCATCATCAAAAAGTTCTCTTTTAGACATTGAACTATACTCTCATTAAGTAGTAACAATTTAACAAAAAAAAATGACTCTGTCATGTTTTACATTCTAACTTCCTCTTTCAACCAAAAACAAAGTTAAGTCAATAAATTGAAGATCTATGAAGAACTTTGTTTCGTCAAATGAACTACTTCGTTTTTACTCTTGTTCATGAAATATCGTAAATCATTAGAATCTAACTATATACATCGCATTTATGGCGATTTCAATGTGCCTGCTATAGGATTGATGTTCGAAGGGAGGTGGACTCTTAGTGGTGGTGGAAGAAAAAAATGGTTCAAGTTCTAATTCGTTCTCATTCATCTACACGTCAAAGTCAATTCAAGATGAATAAACGAGAAATAACTCTTCGTCTTTCTTTGTAAAAATCAGGCCGTTGTACATTAAGCTTCTTTGAAGTCGTGTTCAAGGTAACCATGCGTGCTTTTTTTCTCTTTCAGGGATAGAAGAAAAAAACATATTTATAGAAATGTAAAAACAAATAACGAACATTTTCGTCTAAATAGAAAGCAATAAAAGACTGTATTTTGTTTTATAACCAAACTTTTTTTTAGTATCAATATATTGAGAAACAAAAATCAGTCATGTACGAAGTTACAAATGCATCGTTTATCTAAAGCATAGCCTATCAATAAATTGTGACGATTAATCTTTCTTCTTTATGCAGTATAATCATGAATAACACAAAAAAAGAACAACCTTGAGTGCAATCCAGTGACTTGTCCTTTCTTTTATTACCATTGCTATTTCATAATAGACCTTTTCGTACCAAATTCTAAAGAGTCAAATAAAATGTGATCAAATGAATAATCTTTGTTTTATTTTCTATAATATTTTCATCATTTTATTGATAATTACTCATTATGAAATCAGTTTAAAAAAATAGATTCTTGAATATTTTCAACAAATGTTCATAATAACAATAGCAAGTGTTCTACTTGTATGTTTATCACGGGATTTGAATTTTGATTCATGAACATTTGATTGTGACAATTGGAAATAACCGACATTCGTCTGAATTGTCAATCAAAGAAAACATGAAAGTTTACTTCAATAATTAACTATATTTTTTAAAGCATTGCATATTGTACTTCAAATGAAATCAATCACTTCTACCACAATGTTAGAATTCCATTAAATGAAACCAAAGAAGAAAAAAAATAAAATTCAATTAACCAACACACTCAAGACTTATTTTTCTTACATCATTTTTACTCTAAAGTCAATAACAAACTAGCACAATGTCTCTAGAGAAAAATGTAATAGTAGACATTGTTTCGTGATCCTATTCAATCAATACTGTATTTCATACCATCAAAATATACATATTATGTATAAAAATCATGAGAATTTTTAGACACATTGATATTCTCTGCAGTCTGTATTAGGATAAGCGAATTTTCATCCTAAACTTTGTATAAATGATTATTTTACTAATCTCTATGCAAATCCGAATTAACAGAAAAGAATAAATTATTTCCTTGAATTCGGATGCATTTTTATTGTACTTTTAATAATTATATACAATATTATTCAATCGCACCTCAAGGCGTTATAAACAAGACACTCAACACAACATAGAAAGGTGATACAAAAACCACCCTAGACAGCATTCATAATAAAACAAAGAAAAATCAATACCAAATTGAATTAATTCTTTCTTTTTTCCTTTTTTGTGAGACAAGATTTAGTTTACTGTTTATTTCGTCTTCGACATATATTTCCTAATATAAATTAAAAATTTTTTTTTTCGCACACACACACACACACACACAGAGAGAAATATAACTTTACAAATACTCAAAACTAAGAAAATCAACATGATGTTCATTTAATCCGGGCAATGTTCTAATTTGTTCTAAATTAAATATTTTCATTGAGCGTTTTATTTTCAATCTTAATATATGTTTCAGTGACCATTTTTTAGTTGTCTGTTTAATAACATCTATTAAATTAACATAGCGTTTAGTTAAAATATTTATTTCACCACACCATTTTATTGTTGAACGACGATTTAACTGTATTGAACCACTGTAAATAGCTAAGGCAAATAAATATTTTAATTTCTTTCCTATGACTGTCGTTGTACATTTTTCACATAATTCTCGAATAAAATATTTACAAACTTTTTGATCATCAAAATTCGATCGATAACGTAAAAGCAATTCTAAACAATCAAAATAATGATCAACATAGAAATTATTTTGATCGTTTAATGGACAAAACGATATTAAATCATGAATGTCTTTTTCAGTTAAAAACGCTTGTCGTTCTAATAATTTCTTAACTAGATCAAAATCAAATGTTGTTATACAATAAAATAATATACTATTTCCACAATCACGTTGTCGTGATGAAATAGAAAAATTCTCAATTAATAAACGTAATATTTCAATATGACCACGATGACATATTGTTCGAATAAACGATGGTTGTAATTGAAATAAGTCTTTTCGTTCTTGTTGTTTATTTACTAATAGATGACATATGTCTAAATGACCTTCAATAGATGAATAATATAAAGATGACGTTAAATCCAAATGGTTAATATCGGTATATTTTAAAAAAACTTCAACAACATCAATATGATCATTTTCACAGGCATAATCAAGTGAATTTTTATTTTGATTGTCATTTAAATAAATGAATTCATGATTATTAAGATTTTCATTTGATTGTAATAATAAATTAACAATGGCACGATAACCTTTTATTGATGCATAATGTAGACACGTACGTTCAAGATGATCACGTATTTGATTATTTGCTTTATATTGTAAAAGTAGTTGAACAAGTCCATAAAAATTATTTGAACAAGCAAAATGCAATAATGTTAAACCGTCGGAATTCTGTCGGTTAAGATCGATGGATGGTGAACTATTACTACGTAGTAAATATTGTACACGTTCTAAATCACCAATCAAACACGAACGATAAAGAGTTTGTTCATTATTATATGTCGATGATAACGATAATTCTTTATTATTATTATTATTGTTATTATTTCCACAATCAAAATTATTAAGTAATTCCATCATGATAATTAGAGAAGAAGAAGAAAAAAAACAGAATTCTTTTTCTATCTACAACTTAAAAATTCATTGATATATTATTAAGTATGTTTAAATATTGTTTAAATGAAGTGTTGTTGTGACAGCAAGGTCATACGAAGGACATAATATTTCTTAGTAACAAAAATCTCTATCGAATATAACATGTAACATCAGAATACAAGAAATCCATAGTAATGTACTTGACAGAAGAAATAAATAAATTAAACGAAAAAGGAAAAGGAAAAATCTATCGATGTGTCTCTTTTTTAATAATACTGCTCATCATTATACGGTGGTAATCATAGTAAAACTGAGTAACCGCATGTTTGCTTACTCGTTTTTCTTTTCTCTCTATCAGCTGCTTGATATATTTTATCGTCGACTAGTAATACTACAATGATGGATGGCTGTTGTGCGGTCGACTCTTTGTCTTGATGTGCACCAACCACAATCCTTCATCAACGACGAGAGACGAAAAAAAAGAATCTCTTTTTTTTCTTTCTCGGATGAAGAAGGAGAGAGAAAGGACGGTGGCGGGCGAATACTTCTATTCTCTTCTCGACCTTTCTTATGTTGTGCACAACAATTTGCTAACCTTTTCTCGATAGGAGCCTCAAACCACACAGAATCGGACGTTTTCTTTCTTCTGTTTTGCTTCGCCCACTTCCAGACCTTGCATCCATTCAAGTACTTACCTTAAAGCGTTGTGATGTCGTCTAGTATTGATTGAAAATTAAAAAAAAACAGAAAAATAGACGAAAGAATGGGGGAAAATGGGTACGTTGCTGCATGTAAATCGGCCTTCTCATGCAACTTATACATATACCGCGAGAAAAATACTTATATTACAAGAGAAAAAACAGCCACGTCGATTATATCGCCCGAGATCAGATAAAACAACAAAGCAGCTAATGTTTTCTTTCGCAAGAGAAATAAAAACGACTTGAAAAAAACTTCAATCGTTGGTATTTATTTGTGAAAAAAAATAAAAATTGATGACTTTAGTCTTTTCATATCATCGATGAACTTTAAATTCTATTTAATTATATAGAAATATTTAGAAAACATTACATGGACTTTAGTTTTTGATATTTAAATAATTGATTTTACGACCTTTTCTTTTGACATTGAAAATAATCCAGGTACATGATATGTATATCAAACGATAAAAAAAAAAAGAGTTCGATCTTACCAAATAGAACAAGTGTATTGACATTATCTAATGCAGAAGAAAAAGACCTCGAATATATAAAAATTAAAAACTATATAGACAAAACTTATTAATATATCCTTAGACGATCGAACATAATGCATGTACATTTTCATCATCTCATCAATCTGTAATATAACGGTTTTATTTAACATACTGTTGTTATCGAAAGAGATTTTTCGCAATGACTGAAAGTCTTATGGATATAATATTTTGATAATTAATGCAATGAAGAGCGAAAAAAACCTATCTAAGCTGTTTTTTTTTGTTGCTCCAGCATGTTAACCATCATAAGTCTATTTTCTTTGGGTACTAAAAACAACGTGCAAATTGAATCTCGAATTATTTGTTTACGATAAAATATGAAATTCGAAAATTACATACTACAGCATAAAAAATGAACACGTAAAATAATTATGTGTTGAAACTTGTATAGTATATGAGCGATTTATTGTCAAGCGTGTTATTACTCTATTAGAGTCAATACGAAATAGTCGATAATATGACATTAGTATTGACCAATCTATTGTGATTTTTGTAGGAAATTCGACTGTTGATTTTCTAAAATCAAGAGTTTGTTGTTTTTGAAGTTGTTGAAGTTCTTGCCTCATAGATGTCGGTAATAATTGTCTTGTGAAAGCTAAATTGTATTTCTAGATGTTCACAAAACTAGAATTGAATAATTACTATTGAGATTTCCTAAAGTCTCATTTTCGATGAGTTGAACCTAATTCTATAACTCTATACATAATGATAATTTTCGACGAAATATAAATCATAAAAACCCGAAAAGCTTTTATGCTAATTCGTTGATATGCAAGTGTAAATTATACCAAGATAACCTATTTATATAACAATATGCTTGCTTTACACAGAAATACCCAAGACATCGTTTTCAATAAATTTCTCTAATTAATCAAATATGAAAGATACATCTCCTCATCATGAACTCTTTTTAAGTCAATGAAGAAAACAAAAAGAAATCATTAATAAAATATAATTGATACATACATGTATCATTTATTAGATTGATAATCAAGATTATCCATCCTTGTCAACTGTATCAAATACCTTGATGTATCCATAGAAGAAAAAAACACAATCTATTTTCATAATAATTATGATAGGGAAGGCCATCAAAACAGTCTTGCTTTGCTTCAATCAATATTGTTTTTACTCATGAGACTTTTCGAGGACGAATCAAACATTATACATTTAATATTGCTCTACGTAAACGCGAACTATTTTTGATTAGTTTCACTGCTAAATATTTGTTATGTTTAACATAAAGATATAAATATATGTTTGACTTTGACCAAATTTCAATGAAACCAAATAAATCCTACGATAAAACAAAATATCAAACATCTTAAATAAACGTCGTTTATCAATTTGAGAGAACTTTTCTGTACATTGATAATTTCTCTTAAATCAAACTACCTATACTGCTCGTTCTACTATGAGTCTATTCTTGTTTATTGCTAAAAGGTAACTATTTTTTTTGGTTTTCTAACAAAAGATTGAAATTTTTTGATAAAATCTGCAATAACTAGTAAGTGAGGCTATTAAATCCAATGTATACTTTTCATCTTTACACGAATATCTTATCAAATTCAATCAACTAAAATGACTCATGAGTTTTGTTGTTGGTCATAAATTAAATGACGAGCTTTTATTATTCTATATCTCACAACAATTATGATTCAGTTGATAACAGACGGATATAAAATTTGATTTACGACTGTTTTTTACTAGTAATACTATTGAAATACCCTTGAGAGCCTCTTACTTACATGATAGAATTCTATTTTGAAATAATCGATGAAAATCTTTGTTACCTTGTAATGCTGTTTGAAGGTATTTATGAAGATTTTCTCAATGGGTTAGATCTGTGAACCACAGTTTTTTGTCTGAGATAATACTGAATACCATTATATGCTATATCTTGATTCTTATGTTGATGGATATGTAAAAAGATAATCAATTCAGATGAACTAGATGGATTGCCATGATAAAAAGATCTAGGATTTGTTTTTTTGCCTCGATCATATCTATATAAGAAAATATTGTTATTGACTTAAGACAATTATTAACCTTCACTTGAAAACGTTGATCTATCCAGTCAATAGGTCATTAGTATATCATCAACACTCATTAGTGTGTAAAAAATAAAATCAAACACAACTTTCTGATATGCTTATTACTATCAACAGGTCCATTAACATAATGTATAGATTTTATGATATAAGGTTAATATTTACCCGTATAAATGTACGTTAGCATGTGAAAACTTGTAGGCAGTTCCTTTTTTCCTGTATGGTTTGACTCTGAAATACAATTCAATATTTTTCCAATCAAGTAAAATTTTTATATTTTTTTACTAGCTGGGGATTTACTAAAAATGAAAAAATCCTATTTCAAGTTCGAATATAATGTTGAATTCATTTTATGCCTTTAAGGTATAATTTATCTTATGTGTTCAAATTCTAACAGATAAGAAGAATCTTCATGCTAGCTTTCTGCTAATTTTGTTTAATGACCGAATCACTTGAGGTAGCTCGCACTTGTTGACTGTGTTCATGATTCACAAATATCTTGAAGTTCACAAAGTAACTTACTAAGATATGAACCTATTTTACAATCTGACTGACATAGTGAAATTATTTTAATCGAAACCAATGAAAATATTCTACGAAAAATTTGACCCAATCTTGATATATTTTCGTACCTTTTTAAGTCTTAATTTGACCTATATATTTACGCATAACTTTTATTCATATGAAAATGATCGCCTTCAAACTGTTAAGTTATATCGGAGCATAGGTTCTTTAGTAAAATGTATAGTGTAATAATATAAATATTAATAAAATTATTTGATAGACGAGAACATTATTTCTTTGTTGAAGTTTCTATTGATTACTACGGATTACTATTTAGATCATTGAAACATTCATAGTGGAAGTACTTCAATGTTGGATAAAAAAGAAAAGGTCAATAAAAAAAGCTGTTTTCTATACGCTTTGGTACTAAAAATAGTCGCTTAATTTTCTTCAATACTTCGTCAGTCTTCAACTAATATTATCGCAATAATATTTTTAGAAGACCTATTTGTTATCATATGCGACGATAGTATTAATGCCCACTCAAACACGACTATAAACTGGTTGATAGGCTTCTTTGTTTATAAACAGAAACCGTCCTGACATCAACAATTTTCACTTGCATGAGAAAAGAAAGTGAAATGTTAAACTACTGAATTGTCAGTCGCCGTTTATTTTCAAGTTTTCAATAGAATTTTTCCAAAGTGAATTCCTTTAACGATAAATTGTAATTAACCATATCTGGATTCGAGATACTGGTGAAAAATTGATGACGCTCTATTAGTATTCGATATTTTGCGAGTTAAAGATTTCTTATTCAAAATTACAAGTCGCTTTTATTTTTTGTAAATCCCAATTTAGATAATACCGTGGGCGACATGTTTTTATAGATATTTCATTACAAATTTCAGATGAAGTTCTATTAGACGATTTTATGTGGTTTCATATTCTCCTTCTGAAAAAATGATACATACAGACCGCTGTGTTGCTTCTATTAAAAGCTGTTTCATAAGTAATCATCAAGCTTATTCTTCTTTGAAAGAACACTCATACTCTTTTGACATATCATAGTAGACAGTTGTTGTCCAAATTTTATTAGTACGATATTAGTTGAAGGCTGGTGAAATATCTGAGCAGCATCGAGGTCTATGTTTACTCTCATTCGATCTATGAAAAATGTTTCTTCAATACTTCTACCCTATATTGAAATATTTCCGACAACTCTTTTATTTCATCGTACTTTATAAAAGACGGTTTGAGATAACGTTGTTTTCCATGTTGATCTATCGTTAAAGAAAAACAATATTCATAAGAATATATCTATCAAAACATGGAAAACTGTACATATAGACATGTGTCTAGAGAGATACGACAAGACATTTATTGTTGTTTTCTATAATTTACGTTTTACACAAAATATTCATTGATTTAATCATAATTGTGGCGAGAAAATAACAATGATTTGAGCTCTATAGTGCTCTAGTATAATGAGAAAAGTTGTTCCTTGAAATTATTCATTATCTCAGTACATACTTCTAGGCACAAGCTTTGTCCATAATACTAATCAAAGGCATATGTGTCGAGGATTTCCCCTAAAAAGAATTCATCTTGGTTAATATTTCCACTGATGTCTATTTGCTTATCCTTTAATTAGCACAGATTTTTTTCTGCGGCTAAGGTCAATGGCATATAGTTTTCTGATATACAGAATTCAGGTAATAAAGCATTGACTTCAACCTGATTCTGATTGATTTTATTCTAATCTACTCTATAATATTTTCTTTTCACTAAAGGTAAAGCATTTTTGAAATAGCGATTATATCAATAGTTTGATTGAAACTTTGTTAGAAATATGAAAATATAAAATGAAAAAGAAAAAGAAAAAGAAAAATGTAAAATGAAAGTTTTTTGCTTTCGTGTCTTGTTATTCTTTACGATTTTTTCGTGTTGGATCTTGACTTATGGCTAGAACCAATCCATCATCGTCTACATTTAATTGGCATCTAAAAATAAATGAGAATGCTTTTTTTAAACCAATTTAGAGTACAATGAAAAAATTCTCTTCTTTTTCTATTCATGTTTTTCTCGAAATTTTCTTATAAAAACACGAGAGATGATCAAAGCTTTTAACATATTAGTTTTTAATATTAATATAGTTAGAGCATGCACCTGAAGCAAATAGTATATAAACTTATGTTATATGAAATGTTACTAACAAAAGTATAGGTAAAAAAGCGAACTGAAACTAGAAAATAATATTAAATTGATTGTTGTTTTCGACAGTGAATCAAATTTTCTGATCTCGATTTTTCATAATAGATAAATGTTGATTTAGTCTTTTTTTTTTCATTTCTTTTTCAATGTTTATTTCTTCGTCATTACACATACAACATTCCGTTTAATTTTCGATATGAACATGATTTACTTGTCTTTCTTTGGTCCTTGCAATCGTTTTTTTCTGTCCTTTTTCCACACCCTCAAGGGCATATTTGATGACACAAAACATGAAGCACAGCAATTATTAATAATATCTCTCTAGTTCCCGATTAGCGTCAGACGTCCTCAAGCAGATAGAAGCACGAACAATGCGTCTATAGCGTTCGTATTCAATAATAACGAGAAAAGCGTTGGACCTACATTTGACACTTTGGGACGAGCTTCTTCTTCCTGTCTGCTCAATAGTATACACTCGAAAAATAAATTAGATAAAACATTTTTATTAAGTAAAATACGGATCCAATTATGGTATGTACGATCGTTAATAGCAATAATAGTTCCAATCTCATCGAAGAAAAAATAACAGAGAACATGATGCATGATTCAATCTTTTTCTTATGGAAGAATAATAAATCCCGAAGGGTTTGTACCGTGTTTGTCGCTTTATCAATCATCCTATATTTCATGTAAAATATTCAGTATTACATTCGATCTAGTCTCTTCTCTTATGTATCAACGTAAAATATACATTAAAGAATCTCTTCGCATGTCTCAATCCATTTTGTCAACCGTTTCGCATGAGTTACGCACGAAAACATGCATTCTCTTTAATTATCTTTATGCCTGCTTTTGTGTTATTAGTTTCCTATCAACTTTTCTGTATAGTTTACATATTAATGATAGTGATAATTTCCTTTTCTTTTCTTTTTGTTAACTTCTTTGAAGTTTTTCAGGTGTTCACTGTTTGTTCGTTTCACTTTACTAATGATAGACGGCACTTCAGTTGACTTTTCTCGATTATTTTATTTCGGAGTACACCCACTTAGTATTGTATACTTTGGTTTTCTTTCTTTTCTAATAGCTTTTGACATTAGTTCGTCAACACTTTTTTTTTATCGAGCGAAGAACAAAATAATTGTAGCAATCTCTGATAACAATCGATTCTCTATAAATTGCATACTCATTGGAACACTATTACTCATTTAATGTATAAATACGTAGCAGCGATCACGCACAAATGCATTCCAATTTACATTTGCCATTGCTATTTCATGTCTATTTATTCTGCTTGTTGTTTCTTTCTTTTTTGTTAAGCACAGACTAGAAAACTAAAGAGAAATATCGATAGTAGTGTCATATGAACATTTGAAAAAGGGGAAATGAGAAACGAAGCAGAAAGAATAGACGAGGATTTCCGTTCTTCTTCTTGCTCGAAGAAAAAAAATGAAATCTCTAATAGAATATTGAGGGAAAAAATAGACAGAAAGAAAATAAATAATATCTGCGCGCTGCGTGTGTCTTTCTTTTCTCCTTGTTTCCTGTCAAATGATACAAACGTGTGACAGCACTCATAGTTGCGTAGTGGTAGAGGAACGATGCAAAACAACTAAAGGAAGTTTGAACTATGTTGGGCGAGCATTACTCTCTCTATCTTCTAGTTTTTCTTTCTCGTGTTGTTCGACGTCAACCGCATTTGAGCTTATTTGGCAAGGGAGTAGGAGAACACCGATTGTTAATATATATATATATATATATATATAAAGAAAACATAGAAATGCGTATGTATGCTAATTTACTAAATGATGACAATGCGAACCGAATATAATAGTTCATGCTGTTCGTCATCTTTTAGTCTCAAATCTTATTATAAAATTTTCAGTTCAGCGTATAGTTCTTATATTTACTAATTTACCGCTCTACTTATTTGGTCACAAGTTCTAATTGAATAAATATGCATTGTCACTTTCGCCGTATGCCTCATTCGATTGTTAGTTTGTCGCTATTGAATATTTCTAAGAACTTCAGACGCATAGATCAGACGGATGATCCATTCTTTGTAAGTAACAATCAAGAAAAACTCAACTTCTTCTTTAGCCATAGATATATATTTTGTGAGTTTGTATATAAGCCATAGAATCTTATCATTAGTCAATAGGAAAAAAATACAATAGTATTTTCTTTTTTACAAATTAATTAAGTCGCCATATGCATATATATATATATATATAGATATAGATAGGTATAATTAAGTAACTGAAGTCATACTAGACATAAACATATTTGTAAATAAAAATACAGTAGTCTTTTGCCACCTAGAATTCAATCGGTGTTTGTTCGTTGAATATAATAATAGCTAGTTTGTTCTATTTGGTTAGTTTGAAAAATAAGATTAGACAGAACAGAAGACAAACAAAAAAAAACTGAGGGGGTAATCAATAAAGATCATTTTTTTTCGCTCTTCAACAGCGTTGACACTATCATTCTGTTTTTATTTACAGTTTATTTTCTAGACTTTTCTCTCATTCATTATTGCATCGAATCGTATCACATCGTGCCGATCTCATAAATTGATTATGTAAATGTGCTAACTTAACAATAAATATGCTCATGCTATTTCAACGATCAATGTTGTTGTTGCTGCTCATAGATTGATGTCAACCATTAATATATCACCTACACCTGATCAATCCCATCCATTGTCCTTTACAAATTCATCGCGACAATCAGCTGACAATGACAAACGAGATTCACAAGCAAATGATGCTTTTCTACAATATCTTTTCATTAAAAACCCTATTAATCAACAACGTAATTTTAGACAATCTAATACAAATTTTGCAACATCCATCGGTTCGATAGTCGATCGAGCACCGTCAAATTTATTCGAACTGAAACAACAACGTATACTAGCAGCTGCTGATCGTAAAAAACGTATTATTGCACGTATTGTTAGTATTGTTGGACTTTTCATTATTATTCTATGTGCAGCAATTGTAACATTAACACTTAAAATGGCACCTAAAATCGATGAACTTGTACGTAATAAAGTTGGTGCACACCAATCGATGCATATTGTATCCAGAATGGACACACCTCCACGAACAACAACTGTCATAGGAACAGCTATACGTCAATATAATTCTACGCAAAATGGATCTGTCATAGAGCGAAGCGTGTTTCGAACTTGATAGAAAAAGAAATTATCGTTATGAAGTAATATAACTGTTCTGATTTCTAATGAATTATTTCTTTTTTTTTCTTCCTATAATAACTTAAAATATTTGCTTTCTTTTTGTTCTTTATATTATGCAAGAGAATTTATTTATATTTTATCTTCATGTAAATGATAATTTCAAGCCGAGACAATTTTGTACGTTTTTCAAAACTTATCGTCTGATGAATATCTGTGTATAAATGTATCGTGTGATCTGTTCGACACGCAAAACAAAACGAAATAAATGAACACAATAAAAAACTCTCATATTCTAAGACAACAAAAATTAACATAATCGTCAATATTGATTAGATTCATTAGTATTCAATTTACTTTCAAATTTTCTAATTCAAATGCCAATTCGAATTTTTTTGCATCAACTGTTTATAAACAATAAATAACAAAACTGAACACTTACATCCAATGAACATTGAGATAAGCACAATCCATTTGCTCTAAATCTAAAGTTGATTCTTCTTTAGTATCTGTAGTTATATTAGCTTTGGCATGTCCTTTCTGTTAAAAATAAAATAAAATACAATAAAATACAATCATTTTTCTCATTACGAACATGTTGCCATAACCATATGTCACCATCAGAACAATCAATTAAATGTTCACCTTTTGGAATGATATAAACTCTTGTTTGATATTCATCTGGAAATAAACTGATAGAAGAACCTTTTGATAGTTCTTTTTCATGCTCATCGATCCATTCCTTTAATAACAATGGATCGCTTAATTTGATTTTATCATCGTTTTGCGTTGGTGGAATTTCAGGATAACTATCTAAAAATAGTTTCTATAGTAGAGAAGAATTATTGATTCGTATCTATTATCGTTACCTAATTTTGGTAGACCAGTAAAATATTCTTCAGATTGAAAAAACCTTCAAAATATAAATACATGTAGAAGAGAAGATCATGTCTCTTCCGGATCATATGAAGGTTTATATTAAGTAAGATTATTTATTTCTGTCTGAGAACAAACAAAACAATATGAATAGAGAACATAAAAAATGATCTGGGCTTAAATTTTTGTGTACTTCCTCTCCTATGACAGATGAAAATCGTATGCGTCATAATCAATTGATGGCTGACTTCGTCTGAATAATGTCTCGTTGTTTAGCCGAAATTTACGAAAATAGTATAGCCAAATAAAAATAAGTATTCATGAATTGATTAGAAATTTAATTTCATTAACTATGATAAACAAGTTATGTAGAGAATCATATTCGGAATGTTTTTCAATCAATACCGACTTATTTTCTTTTATATACACCTCGAAATTAATCAAGCATTATGTCCTTATATATACGGTTGTATGAACTTCTATGATAATTATTTCTTATGCACTATTTGTCGATTTATTTATTATTCACTAGTAAATTCCGCATTTAAATTTCGTCACTTACTCTTCTATAATTGGACCTAGTTGTGTACCGAGATCGGTTGTGTGAAACCATCTTTCAAATAAACGCTCTGTTGACTCATTCCGATAATATCTGAAATAGAAAAAGTTTCAAAAGTATTCTGGTTTATTTTCCGATTGAAATACCTTAAACTATCTAATTCATTTTCTTCTCGTTTTCTTTCCATGACAAGTCCAATAGTGTTTTGAAAACGATTCGGTGAATGAGGTATATATGCTGGTAATAGAAAAATCTACAATATTCATCTTGATGGTATTAGATATTGATTTTTTTAATTAAATAATTACTTCTCCTTCTTTAATAATAATATCACGATGTTTGTTTTGTTCAAGAACTTTGACACAAATGTCACCTTTTAACTGATAGAAGAGCTATTGAAACAAACAAAGAGCATTGTCTCTAATGATTTAAATAATGTTTTCGTTCTTAAATAGTTCATACTTCCTCGCCTTCTTCAAAATGATAATCTTTACGAACATTGGGCCCTCCAACAAACATTATTGTCAATTGATTGTTGTGCCTAAAATTTGAAAAATAGAAGGGCAACATAGAAATAAATCTATTATCGCTTACATTAACTTATTGCAAACAGGCGGTAGAAAATCTTTTTCATTTTCTTGAATCCATTTATCAACATTAATTTTTTTAATAGTAGTAGACGTCGTCATGATTGCTCACAATATCTACAAATGAAATGTATCACATCAAAGTATTCATTTGTGGAATCATTCTTGTATTTATATTTTATTTTTTATTTTTACTTTTTGAATGTAATCAAATAGAGAAACACATTCGAAATAAAGCATAATGCGTCATACATTCACATTTTTAAGATGTATTGAATCATTCAAGCGTGCGAATATGTTAATCGCTTGATCATACGAAATATTGCAAATTCAAGTGAATGATCGATTTCCTTTTTTTTCTATCGAAGAATCCTTTCGTTAGTTGATTAAGCCATTCAGCTAATGGTTTTCGACGAACGGGTAACTATTAGGATGTTATCATAATTGAAGAATTTTTATTAATGCAAATGTTATTCTATTACTTGATTCATAATCAAAAATAAACTTTCAGCTAATCATAATTGTAAGTTCGATTATGCAGAACGACGAAAACATAGCATATCATATATATATCTTTCGTAAAATTAACTAACATTCATGCAGTCAACTACATATCTACTACAGGGGTCTCTGCATGACGATAAAGTTTAATATTATGTGACATAATACGCGTTATAGATTCGAAAACAAGGATTAAATTTCATCTAAATCAAATATCAATCTAGCTCATAAGATGTTTTTGAGTTTCTATAATATCAACATTAAATTTTTCGATGTGATCACGAATGATAAAGTTATAGTTTTAATGAAAACAAACAAAAGAACATTTAAGAATTAGTTGTCTATTGGATATAAACGGAAGAATTCGTACATATTATTTTTCTTTTTTATAAAACTGTTGTTCATACTCCTATATTCATCCAATGAGATCTCATATAGTTACATTTTATTATCTCATTGTCCTAATTAAAAAAAATCGTTTCTTACTTCATTTTTATATGTAGTAGAAATAGAAATCTATGGAAGCATTTATTCCGCACGGATTTGTTTTTTCATGACACATGTTAAATATGTTGATTAAGCTAAAGCCTATGTTGCTTACTGTCAAATATTCTTGAAATATTTGCTACTAAAAGAATGAGAGAGAAACACGACCATATTCACAATAATTTGCTGTTGTTTCTCCTTGATTGAATCATCGTTTTTATTTAAATAATAGTTCTGTTTTTATGAATAACGTTTCAATGAGTCTCAAGTCACAATTCTTCAATTGCAAAATAATATCGAACAAAAACAAAACATTGTCTTTCTATCCACAAATGGTTGCAATCTTATTCAATCATATCATTTTCATTGTCTACAATTTTCAATATTGAAAACCATTCATACATTTGTCATAAACCTGTTTTGTTTATATTGCTATCTAATACGATAACCTTCATTGAAGATCGACCTATATCAAACCTTGAAAAAATGTTTATTTGAAAACGTCGAGAAAACCAAGCAATTAATCTTTCCTATCAACAAAATTCAAGAACCAATAATCAAGTATTCATCGAATCAAGTACAACCTATATTTAACGATCATATTAATCTCATTTAAGTGTCAATTGTCAAAACCAAGTTGTAAACATATATCAAACAATCGATATACCACGAACATCGATGATTTTGTTGAATATTGTCTTGAAAAAACTTCTTAATCCTGACGTAAATCATATTCGACGAAAGCAAGTACCATATTAAATGAAATTGATGGTAGATAAATTCCATTTCATCAAGCCGAGAGAGCAGCATTGAAATTGAAACATATAGCCGACTAAATTAATAATTCCTTATAAAATAATAAAATAAAAGAACATATTATTTGTCCGTCTTAAATTCATTCACCGTTTAGCTGCACGCACACACACTGACACGCACACACACATGTTTATATGATCTGATCGAGACGACGACCTGTACATACATATGCGTCATCAACCGGGATACACAATAGACATACACACGCACGCACGCAAGCATACACACATACATTTAAAAAAAAACGAAAAACTAAATCATAAAGTAACAAGATAGGAATACGTCGGATTGTGTAGAAGATGTTGACAGAACAGTATTTGCATCGTTTCGGCTTTGATTGAATAGAGACTTGATAAAAATAAAAGAAGTTTTGAATGTATCGATGCAACACTTATTATTCGACGATTATTATTTATATTCATTACAGATGATTGTTGATGAATCAACGATTGTTTAAGGCTTTTCAGTTGTTTGACATATATTTGTTGTAAATTAGAATTATCATTAGGTGCTAAAAAAATGCAAAAAGAACAGCCCTTGTATAAATATTCAAATAAAAATCTTTGTTTATCAAGTATTTTATTTTACCTTCTTGCATACTTTTAATAACAATAATACGACGTATATGATCGAATATTATTGAATTTATATTAAACCGTGAACCTTTTTGTAATATCGAACATAATTTGTATGCATCATCTTCAGGTACACAACCATGTTTATGTATCGAACATGAATCTTGTTCAACTGTCATTAGCGATAATGAATGTGTACAACGAATAAATTCGAGATTGATATAACCTCGTTCGATAAAATATGTTAACAATAGTTGAGACCAACAACGGCGATGATAGGTTGAGGGTGATATTGAATCAATTAGATAAGTACTTGCTTGTAACCAATTTGTTATCTGTGTTTCTAACTCGTATAGATATGACGATGGTAAATAGAGACGATGCGATCGATTAGTTGAAAAATAAAAACTATTTGACGATAATGATGGAAGTAGTATCGATTGTTGTTGACTATTTTGTTGTTGATAGTTTTGATAATGATATGATCGTTTAGACATATCACTGTCGGAAAGTGCATGTCTTAATGATTGATTTTGATTATTTAGTAAACGTTTATGAAATAAATTTAGTTTTATTTCAACAAGACGATTAGACTGCCGCAATAATGAACATAGTCGAGTTTGTGTGGGTACTTGAGTTTTTGAATAGAAATGATTTTCAATATCACTTGCATTATCATCATCATCATCATCATCATCATCATAGTCACAATCAACATCAATACTAACATCATCATCATTATCATTATTATCATCATCATCATTATCATCTACATCATCAATAATGCTACTGTCAAATTCATCATTATCATTGTTATCCGAAAGAAAATTTTCTAAAAGTATTGATGGCGGTGTATTATCGAATGTTTTATTATTATCGTCATCTTCATCACTTGATACATTTTTATCATTATCATATTCACCAGAATGGTTTGTTAAATTCATCGATTGATGTGCTGAATTACCTTGAATAAATATGTCTCTATTTAGTGACTAATTTTTAAATATAAAAATAAAAGAGAATATTTATCTATATAATTTATATATATCACTTTAATACGATTGAAATAGTTGATATTTAATCAGCATTGATGGTGTTGTTTAAATTGGTGTGATGATGGCATTGAAGTATATCTGTATATGTGTATATATGTATGTATATATATATATATATGCATATATATCTGAAAAATCATAAAAATAGTAGTTTATGTTAATTTGTCTCGTTCTCTCTATCTATAGCTTTTTTTCCTTTTTCACAATTACACACTGTTAGCAGTAACATCAGAACACAAGGAGTCCCCTAAAAACGAGAAAGAAGAGAAGGACAAAATAAAGGCGCTTTTGCTTTCTTTCTCGCTCTGTCGATGCCCATGAATCAATGGGACTGAGAAAAGAGAGGAGAAGAGAAATGAGAAGAAGCTATGTAAAAATAAGCTTTGATGACCTTGAATGCTAGAAACACAGATGAAGGAAAGAACTAAATGAAGGATACACACCTCTGCATACGTCACACTGGGAAGACTATGACCGTGGCACGATATGATAACCTCTTGAGGTGTATATATGTGTATCACAAATTTGACAATAGTCGATAAGCTCATATGTCTCAAGGCTCTACGAATTTTTGTATATTATTAAAGTTAGACGATCAGTTGCATTGCATTTATATACTTACATAAATATACAAACTAAAAGATCACACAATGGATGTCACTTTTTTTTCTCTTTCTCTCTCTCTCTCTCACTGATATGCAATGCCGAAATCGCGCCTAAGCAACGTCAAAATGACGCGAACTTATATTAATTTAGTAACCACAACAAATAAATAATTTCAACCAAAAAACCGAGTGCATTCCGTTAGCAAAGCAAAAACAACTTGCTTTCTCTCTCTCTCTTACTGTCATTTTGTTTTCCCCATGTTCTTGTTTTCCGTGCTCTGTCGTTCTCTCTCTCTCTCTCTCTCTCTTTTTTCTCATCTTCGTCGGTGAAGGTGAAGTCGTGTTTTCGCTTTACATATGCATCGACGTCAGTGTTTTATATAATGGTCTTGCTTGTTGACAGAGAAAACTTCAAAAACATCCGTTATTCTTTTTCTCTCTCTCTCTCTCTCTGTGTTTTCCACTACGAGCGAATGTATATATTTTTTTGTTTTTCAATAACTATCAACTAATGATAGAAATAAGAGAATTCTATTGTTGTTGTTGTTGTTGTTGTTGTTGTTGTTGCTCTCGTCATATAGATTGTTATTTAGACCTTGGATAAGAAAGAACAAGTAGTGAAGAGACTGAAAGCAAAAACATCATGTACTCATGCACTAAAGAACGATCGAAAAACCTTGTACGCATGCAATGCCATTAAAAAGACAAAGCTTGAAGAGAGAAAAAGAAAAGGAAAATAATAATAATAATAATAAGTCTACTTGTTTTATAATTTTTTCTGTTGTTTTTAAAGAAAAAGTCGCCCTTACATACTTAAATAATGTTTCTTAGAAGAAAAAATAAATTGTTGTTCAAAATAGCAAATTGAAAAATTTATTATTTCCTTTTTTCTCTTTTCGATTATTATTTACGTAAAGAAATGCGAAGGGTTTCTTGTTAGTCTTTCTTTTTCTTTTTCTTAAAATACATGCTGAAAGCAAATTTTCTATATCGACAAGGTTTTCTTCAAAATAAAACCTTGAGGAAAAACGTTTTTTTTAAATTTTTACAGAAAGGATAAATAATCTTAAGATACCAGTATTATTTCAATTGAAAACAAATGAAATAATATCACATTTTGTTTTTTTACGAACGATTGGTGAGACATTAAAAAACAACACATTTTATATGCGTTAAAAGAAATAATTATATCTGCATATATACATATATATATAGACCAAAATATTTGATCATATTCAAGCATTTATTTCTATATAGATCATATTTTTTTTAAATGAATTCCGATGAAATTCTTGAACGAACTATTGGCATAGCACTTGGTACAGCTATTGGTGATGCAAAAGGTATTGCATATGAAACTCTAACACGACAAGAAATAATTGATTTACAAAATAAGGATAAGAATAACGTAAGAAGTTTATATACTCGCGTGACTAATCATCCATACATACCGGAAGATTGGCAAATAGGACGGTGGACAGATGATACGCAATTAACCTTGGCTATGATGAGAGCAATCACGAAATATCTTCAGTCGAATGAAGATTTGATGTTGAATATAGTTAATGAACATATAACCGAATGGAAAGAATCGATTGCTGGTTGGGGTGGAACCAAAACTGCAATTGAACGATTATCAAATGGTACGCATACTTATCGTGATAGTGGTAATAATGCACAAGGCAATGGTGTTTTAATGAAATTAGCACCACTAGCGTTTTACTATAGTCAATGCAATAATGTTAACGATGATGAAATCGAAACGATTTGCCGTATGACACATAATAGTTCAGTTGCAGTATCGACAGCATGCATCTATGTTCATATGTGCATTTATTTATTTAGAAAAGAAAATCTCATTGTAAATGATTTTCTTGAATATATCTATCAATTAAGTCTTAATTATGAAACAAAATATGAATTGCACGAAGAAAAATATCTTGTAAGTTTACGAATAAAACATTATGTAGAAGCGAAGTTGGCATCTGGCATTGATGAAAAATCAATTATTGATATTAGTGCTGGTGGTACATATTATTGTGTTCATAGTTTAGCGATGATTATTGGTCTTATTGCATGTTTACCAACGTGTGAACCAGATTTTCATACATTGATACGTGCAACTGAAATTGGCGGTGATACCGATAGCAATGCGGCAATGATTGGAGCAATAGTTGGTGGAAGAACAGGTGTGAAAAGTCTTGAACAAGAACATATTAATCAAGTCTATCAAAGTGATTATGTTCGAAAAGTTGGAGAAGAATTTGGTCTTGCCATTATTCATCATCTTGGGCAAGAGCAACAAAAAGAACTAATTCAAAACAAGCCTGACATCTGACTTGTTTAAATAGATGTCGATCTTTGAAATATTCTATTTACTTACTCTATTATTTGAAGGTTTTTTTTGACGAATAAAGAGTAGAGATTGTTTTGATTTGGGAAAAGAAAGGAGAAAAAAAACTAATTTCGATTCCTTGAATGCTGAAGGCTATGACACAATTTATTCATTAGTTATCGATTAATACATTATACTCGTACGAAGGTTGAAGAAATCCAGACAGATAGATAGATAGACAGACAGACAAGGATAAACGAATGAAACAAACAAATCTTCGCAACCTTCTTGTCTTCTGATGTGCCGGTTGAGAATGATAGATTCCGTCTTTTGGATGTCCTTCGATTATATGTATATACATGTCTTAGACAAATATCATTAAGATTCTTTTGTTAATGAAAATTTTATTTCTTCCAGTTGGCTGATTATTATTTAGTTGCAATTCGATTTGTTTAACCTTCCCATAGTAAAAATGAATTTTAAAAAGAAAAAAGAAAATCAAATTCTACTATTATTGAAAATTCGAACGATTTTTCCATATACAACGATGATGAAATAATATTTGTCTGAAGTATGTTATGTGTCTCAAAAATCATAATTACAGTTGAAATACTTAAAAAACCATTACTGATCAAGGTCAATTCCGTACTTTCTTTGTATTTGAATGGCAAGAATTGTAAGTCTTCATTCTTTAAGAAATAAAATTTATTAATACTTTTTCAAGTTCAACACTTTTGTTTTAAATATATTAACGAAAAAAAAAATGTAACCTTCTTCGGTGTCATAGAGTAATGTGAAACTGTGTGTTTACATTTCTTTCTTGTACGTGCCGCTGTAATGATGTTTGAATCATGGGCATGTCTCTCATTACTGGTTTACGAAATTTCGTTCGATCAGAGAATATATTTTTGAAGATCGTTTATTCCTATCACAGGAAGAAATTTGATAATCAGTAAAATGAAGAGAATCCTAAAAACCGAGAAATGCAATATAGACCAAAACCTTCTGAATATTTACTCTTGACATTGAAAAATGCTTGGAGTTCTTTTATGAAGTAGAAACTAAAAGTATTACTTTTTTTTCTTAGACTATTAATAAAATGCTATCATTATAGATAAAAATTTCCGGTTTTTAGCCTTGGCGTATAAAAAAAGAAAAGAAAACTCATTGAATTAAACATGAACAATAATAGACTTTTACTTATTTCAAGGTTCTCACGATATCATATATATATATATATAAATAATGATTAAAAAAAACAAAATTCTAATAAAATTAATTTTCTTCAGATGTCAAGCGAATATTTTTGTAAAATTTGCGAAATCGCATGCAATGGTAAAGCGCCCTATGAACAACATTTAAAAAGTGCAAAACATATAAAAAAAGCTAAATTAAATGAATCTCAAAACCCTTCTGAACAAGCTACTTCAACGAATACTAATACAGCATCTTCAATTGTGAACAGTCTTATATCATTGACAACAACAAATAATAATAATTCGGAAGAACTATCATTTTCATCAATAACATCTACAATAGGTCCTGAAACAATGCGAATTTTACTTGAATGGAATCATCCGCGCGGCTATAAACCTTATTGTGATATTTGTCAATTACAGTTACATGGCGGAGATAATGCCGATGTACATTTTCAACCAATAAATAATATTCACAATGAAAAGTTAGCTGTGTGGAAACTGATTTGTGAAGGCGATGGAAAATATTCATGTAAAGTATGCTTAGAAATATTTTCTAGTGAATCTTTAATGTGTGAACATTTCCAATCGGATCAACATGCAAATTCAGTTCAACAAAAAGCTTATATGGAAAAATTTATTAAGATTTATGAAACATACAATAAACTTAAACAGGCTCGAAAAAAAAGAAAAGGTATTTTCAAGAATTTATCTAAGCAAAACAGTTTATCAAACTTCTTCTTTTAGCTGTAGAAACAAATGCTACTGTTGATGATAGTTTGGAAAATAGTTTTAAAAATTTAAACATTATTGATGCTACAAAGTCGACAGCAACAACAACGAAAGATGGTCCTTTCAACATGTCTATGCTTCAAGATGCAATGAGAAAAATGGTCGATGATGAAAATTGAATAAATTCTATTGTTGAGTCAAAATCGACTGTTTATGTTTTATAAAAATCTGTACTGTGATTATTTTGTTTTAATAAAATAATATTAATGATTGTTTTTTTCTCAAATATCTATACGTTAAAAAATTCACTAAAAGATTTTCAACCCATAGGGAACAATTGATTAAATTGAGCTGAAAGTCAAAATTAAATCAAATAAACCACTTCAACTCGCGCTAAATCGTTTTAACAAATCGATTTGTGTTTGAGAAAGAATTTTTATTACTGTCTCAAGATACAATTGGACTTGATATTGTTACTCAATCACTAATTAAGATTTCGTTAATTTATTCAGCTCGAGTTCGAGCACTCATGCAATTATGTACTTGTTGAATATTCTTTTTTGCATCTTATAGCATATATATATATATGAAACTGCTATTTTTCAATTTTGAAAAAATTGAAAACTATTTATTTGCAAAGTTAGAAAAATCAATGATTCTTGATAAAAGACTAAATAAATTTCAAATTCAATTATAAAAAACAAACTAATCAATCTCATTTTTATGTCAAAAAAGAAACAAATATGCATAATTACGCTCATACCATCGAGATGTATTATATTAGAAACATTTCTGTTTCTTGTTTTTCAGATCATATTAGTGGTCTAATCAGAGATGGGTCAGGCAGGGCTTAGCCCTATCACCGGAATTTTAAGTCAGACTACACTTACTTTGAAGTCAGCTGGATTTTTCATAAAAATCGAACAAATTCAATTAGGACACTTATTTTTATGAATCTTCATCTATTCAACATGTACGACTAATTGTAGATTGTAAGCAAGATAGTTCCATCTTCTATCAAAATACCAGCGAGAAATTTAATGATTGACGATTGCCTAAATTATAAATGTTGAGCAATCTATTGATAAATTCTCAGATATTCATAAAACAGTCGGATGATGTTGAAATAAACAATAATTTTTCTTTTGCCTTGGTAATATTTTGATTATATGCCTATCGGGCCCACGAATTTTTGACTTGAAATTCGATCCCGATCCGGTGAAAAACTTATTTTAAGATCCGATTGGCTCAAGCAATGTGGCATAGTCTAGGGACTGAACCCTGTCGCCCTTAAATTGCTGGTTGTACCTCTACGCGTTAGATTTTTAACTGCTACTAGTTTGACTTTTTATTTCTACTTTTTTTGAGTTGAATCGCAACTCAACAGTAAAAACTGGCGAGGGTAGATTTTTCTAGAGATTCATTTTTTTAGACCTTACGTCCAGTCGATAAGTCTCAAAAGAAGAAAGAAATTTCTTTAAAAAAACTAGCTTTTACCAAGACATCTTCAATGGATGGCGCATTTACTACGGGCTAAACCAACTGTTTGTGTCTTTATAAAAATCTCTTCTATGATTGTTTGGTTTTAATAAAAAAAGAATTTAATGATGATTTTTCTCTTATGTGATGTTGTTAGAAGATTTACAGTCGCTCGACTATAAATCGTTGCAAGAAAGTTATTGATACTAAAACTCATCATTAAGATAAGTTCTTCATATGTTTATTAGTATCATAATACGGAAATTTTTCAAAGGATTTTTTCGTTGAAGTTGTTGTAAGAGCTTAAAATTCGAAACGAAATAGGTGTCAGTACGTTAGAGACTAGTAACAAGAAATTTATTCAAAATAAATGCATGAATTCAAATAGTGCATGCAAAATCGCAATAGCTATGATATTGGATTATAAATAATTTAGTTTTATTGCATGCGAATGAAGTTTCCATCTTCACCAGAAATATTCTTTTCGTCGTCATTCTCATAATTTCAAGTAAAAACCTAGATATTTAAAACCATCTGTGATATCAGTCAATAGAGTATCGAATTTCTTGAATCTTGACACGGATAATGCGAAGGGAGATAGTACAATCTTGTTTTGATTATTCTTCCGCCAGCGTTAATTAATAAATATAAATTATTGGTTCAATTTCTATAAATATTACAAGATTAGCATTCATCAATGAATTTTCTCAATAGAAAATTTCAGGTTAATTTATTGAATTACAAAAATACTCTACATCGAACCATATTTTTAGTTCGTGAATTTACAATTCAGATATTTATTTAGATTAAAATAGATCTTCTTTTTTAAATTAAGCATTTATAAATATTGATGAAGATGCGAAATTTTCATCATAAACTACTACATCTACTAATTTTTCGTCTACGCAATTGAATTTAACTCTGATCCTTCTACTTCACCTGTTATTTTTACGTGAATTGAGCGACGTAAACGGAATAAATTCCATAGTATAAATATTATTGCAATTGGTAAAATAAATATGAATAAAAACATTTGAATTGATACACGCAGTGGAGCACTATTTAAATTCAATGCTTGATAAATATAACCGATTCGATTATTACTAAATCTGGATTGAAGCATAAATATTATAATAGTAAATATTCCATAAATAATTCCAAATATTATTATTGGTATACAATCAATCATATAAATCGGTAAACGTGTAAAAAATAACACGTCAATAAGTAATAAAAACCATAAAACTCCATGTTCAAGAATTATTCTTGAGTGAGGTATTGCTCGAGCTGTTGAACTATGAATAATTGACCAATAAGCAAGACAAACAGCAAGACCAGATCCTAATGATATTATAATTAACATGATATGAACATATTGTAAAGAATGACGTGGAACAATATCGTTGCCACGATAGAAATTTGCTCGATAAGTTATTAAAAACTGAAATACAATGGCAAGAAATGTTATTAATACTGTTAAATGTGTATAATAAATGATCCATTCATGTACCGGATCCGTACTAACTATTCCGTAAACAAAATCGAATATCGTTATAGAAAATAAGACTGTTCGGTATAGAAGAAAAATATTCGGATATTTATTGATGCAATCGAATGATGATGAACAAAACGCTAATTTCCAATCTGAATAAAACCACAAAAAAAATACAGCAATTAATTTAGAAAAAAATAATATTCAACTTACGTTTTTCATCGAACCACTTATATTTTAGATGGATTAAATAAAAACTTTGTCCTAGATCTTTAAAATAACTTTGTTTTTCGTGTTGATCTTGTTCGATATTAAAAGCATGGCTTCCATCGACCATAGAAAATGGTTGCGAGACGTCTGCTTTCATCATAACGATGAATCAGGAAAAAAAAATAAAAACGCGAACTTACTAAGCAGTAAATAAGGAAAAAACTGAGAGGAAGAGTAAGTATGTCTGCTGACTCGTCTTCTTTAATCCACACAATATGTTTTTGCGTGACTGATGCCGTCGGATGTTGAAAAAAAAAAGAAAAAGAAAAACGCTTACATCATGAGCACCGGGAATTTTTTAATCAAATAATTCGAGATCGCATACTGAATTATCAAAGTATATTATAGTATAGAAATCAGACTAAAAACTGGATACTTTCAAAAGGAAAAAAAGGTCTCCACCTACAGAATCATGTTCATTAAAAATGAACTTTCAAATAATTTTCTTGCGTCTTTATATTAAGCAGCTTCGAACATTATTACCGACATTTAAGATTTTTTTTCTCGTCGTATGATGTTTTTTTTTATCTTATATATATATATACTCTTTTCTCATCAAAATAATGAACCATCTACTCCATAGAGTTAATTTTATGCTTGAGAAAATAGTCATCTTTTTCTCCATGCTACTATTAATTTGTGTCAAACAACTCTTTTCAAGGTTTTTCTTTTATTCATATTATGATGTTTACAGTATTTCAAGACAAGATTGAAAATCATTTGATTGGCTAGGTCTATTAACGTGACAATTCATAGAAAAACTCCATGCGACTTAGCATAACCAATAACGCAATTGTATTCTGATGAATGATAGCACTATGTCTATCTTTATGAATTTATGATTAGATGCTATCGTGATAAGTTTCGATGGTGTGTGCAAAGACTGATGACTTATTGCTTTCTCCGTTCCATGCACAATTATAACCTAGTGCTATTCAATAAAATTACTATGCTATTTATTTCTTCTAGATTGTTTTCTTTTTATTTGCTTAGTTTTTGGTCAGTAGTTAATTCATCTAAAAATTCGTTTAAAAATTAAAAATTAAAAACTAAATTTAATTTTAAATTGTTATCGTACAAAAGTAGACGGTCATGTATTTTTTTGAATATCTACTCTATGGAATATCTCCAATTTAAAACCGGAAAGAAAAAGAGTATTAATCTGCAATATGAAACGTTCAGAAAAATTTCCTTTTCGATCATCTAAACAATCCATTTACTGCAAAAGGAGTACTTCCGCGAGCCGGATGATAATCATCATCATCATCATCTAGTACTTCTTTTGTCTCTACTAAATATATAGATATGTATATATAGCATCATTCTTTGTCTCAGATTGAAGATTTTTTTTTTTTATTGTTAGAACCACTCTGAATAAATGATGTGGCTATCTATTTATTTTTAGTTGAAACGAATATTTCATTTAGAATTGTTTTGTTCGTAATAACAAAATACACATAAATATATTTCTAACAAATGATCATATTTTAATTTATAGATTGAAAGTATTTTTCCACATTTGAAACACTGAAACAAAACAAAAAGAAAACATATGTTTATGTATAGAAAAAAAATGATAAACTTTACATTCGCAATTTTGATACTTTTTAATTTTGTACGTTTTTCCATAGCTTGCTTTATTTCATCACAATTTGCAATATGCCATAATCGAATATTACAATCCTTAATAAACAAAAAATAAAAGGCTTTATTTGTTAACCTAGAAATTACATTTGATACTGAAATAATCCATTTATTATCACTTGTTAAACATACATCATTAACCCAATCTCGATGTCCCTATTCGAATCAAATATTTATGTAGAAAAGCAAAAAACATAACAATAATAAGCTTGCTTTCTTACATTCAAAACAAGTTTATATGTCATATTTTCTAGGTCCCAAATAATAATTCTTAAATCATAACCTCCAGTGACAAGAATTTTGCCATCCATTGACATGTGGCATGTTGAGATCGAGCCTTGATGTAATTTAGGTAATGTTAACGGTCCTTCATGTCTGCATATAAATATACATATGGTATATTGAACAGTTGACACGTTCAGTATGTTACAAGAAACAAAGTGCGGAACAGGGAGGAGCGAATTTGTAAAAAGGCCATCTCATTAATTTGCACACCAACAGAGGTTCTTTTTCTTCGTCTTCTTCTTCTTCTTCTTCTTCTTCTAGTCCTCAATGAATGGCAAAAGCTAATTGTCTTACCGAAAACGTCCTGCTGCAATATCATATAAAAGAACAGTTCGATCCCATGAACATGTTGCATATAAATGTTCATACTGATTGAATGTACAGTTGGATACAACACTTTTATGACCTCTAAAAGTAAAATTTCTCAACATGACTTTTTTTCTTATGCGCTTAATCAGGGTAATAAATTCATTAGTAGAAAAAAACTCTGAACTCTCTATATATACTAGTAGTAACTAATCGAGCAAGTCTTTTTTGCTCTGTGTCCCAAGGTTGTACATTCGAAGGAAACATTTGTAATAAATATCCATACATCCTGTCTTTTGATCCTGACACGATTTGTTTAGTTCATCAAATCAGACAAGTTAACTTTTTCTTCTTTTTTTTGTAAACAAATTCAATTACATCATATGGACAAAGATCAATTAGTTCGTTAGCAAATTCTCTATACTAACTATATCATTGATTCTTATATGTTGTAATAAGATCGATCGGTCGATCATTCAGTGTATTGCACTATTTTCTTGTCTTGCATCATCGAATAACAAGTGAGCTAATTTACATATCTGCTCTTTCTTTCTTTCTGCTTTTTTCCTCAATACCTTAATGTCATTGTATGACGATGAGAAATAAGATCAAAAACTTTTGTTGTTTTATCTGATGATGTTGATACTATTCGATTATCTGTAGCATTAAATTGACAACTTGTTATAGTTGATTCATGTAAATCATGAATACAGGTTTTGATAAGACCATTCTTACTATCCCATATAGTTACGATACCATCGAGATCAGAACCTGAACATAAACTATTGCCATCATGTGATATATGACAGCTTGTAATCATATGGTCTTGAGCACCTTTCCACTTGAATATAAACAAACGGATAAGTTGTCAGGGGGGAAAAGAAAAGAAATACGTAACATACGATTTGTTTACCAGTTTCTATATCAAAACAATGAATAGTTTTATCCCAACTTGATGAATATAAACTATAATAGAAACATGATTGATTGATTTATTAGGCAATTTTTATTATTTATTATACCGAGTATGGTCATGATTGATTCTTACGCCTGATATAGATGCCATATCGTGATTAAGTTCATATCTATGAATTTCTTCGCCACTGTTGAAATTCCATAAACGAGCTGTATTATCATTTGATCCTGTTAGAATCCAATTTTGATTTTCAATCAATTGACATGTTTTTATTGGTTTCGTATGTCCATGATATGATTTTATTTCAACCTAGAATGAATTCCATCGGTACGTTAGATCTAGTTAAAATCAAATGAATAGGAAAGGAAAAGAAAAGAAAAGAAATTAAACATCCGTTAGACATCTCGTTCGATTAAATATGATAACTAGAAGTTCGCGATTATCTAATTTTCTTTTTCAACTCATAATTATCAATTAAGTAATGAACATACATCAGTGAATTCTTTCGGCTTTTATTCCATTCTCATCAAGCCTTTCGAGCAAATGACACACAAACGCATGCAGTCAATAGTTACAACAATAGTAACAAGGAAATCGTCAGTATCTTATGTGTTACATCACAGAAAGGTAAGCGTACCATAATAGGCATCATGTCGTGACTTGCCTGTAGTATTTTAGGCACAGGGGCGGGTGAAGCATTCTTCGTTGCGACTCATCCATCCTCACCAATAGTAATCCCTCCCATTGTGAGCAAGATTAATCATTGAGAAGAACAAGTCATGCGATCAATATCTTGGTGAAAAGTTACAATAAATAGCACCTACTTGTGCTGATTTTTCATGAACCCATTCAGCATTCGACGCAAGTGATTCGGTTAAATGTTCATTATGTGATTGCTGCAGTGGCATCGATCAATTTGTTTTCTCTCTGCTTTGTTTTTGTTCCTCAATGAAAACTGAATCGTTATAAGCTGCCCATGAGTATATGATCGTTTGTATCTGTTATTCTTTAATTGGTTGAGCAAACATTATAGCGCTTCGTTTCTATCAAGTGTGAGTAGTAAAATTGAATTAAAAAATAGAAAAGAATTTAACAATATATTTGATTTTGACTTTCTTTTACGATTATTGCCATAACTGTGATTGTCATCTTTTTTTTAACGGAAGTTTCATGATTTCCTTGATTCGTTAAAAGACTTTTAGTTCATTCAGGTGAATACGATCATATTTGCAGTTAGTTGAGTTAACAAAGAAAGGACAAAAAATGTCTTTGAAAATGAGTAAATTACCTTCATTGTAGGCTTTTTATAGAAAAAAAAATAGAAAAGATATTGTTCTCTCTCACGCATTTTTCTCTTTCTCTTTTTCTTTCTCTCTCTCTCTCTCTGTCTCTTGACGCATAATCGAGAACTAGAGAAAAGCGCGTCCATTTTCTTGCTCATCATTTCTCATAATTCGACTGAACGAGTCCACAAACGTTCCTATTCTTGATCGCCTTCCTTGTTGTTGTTTGAGCTCTCCGCCGGCTAGATTGCTAGAACTGCACGCTATCATCAACATGTCCTTCGAATTGACGCTGACAAAAATGTTATAGAACCATCAACATACATACAGGATACGCTTCTCATTCTCTCTCTCTCTCTCTCTCTCTCTTACTCTTAAATATATATCTTTCCGACGTCGAGTGCCACAACCGGAAACGACATAGGCAGTACTTAACAATGCTGGTGTGAAGGTTGAAAAAGTAACAATATCTACATACTATTTCTTCGAAGTAAGTTATTTAAGTTTTTAATAACAAACGTTTTAGATTTGATAGTCTTCGTTTTCATCTATGTTTATCAATGATTGTCTGATCTATGCTTATGCGCATAACCGTGACTGACAGGCAGGCAAAGAGAGAATGATAAAAAAAAGATAGAAGTCAATTGATGATGAACAATTGAATTGATTGAGCATGATAATTGCTCTTGATGATATGAATTGAATTTGACTCTTCTTTTTAATTCACACACACACACATGTATATACATGTATGTGTGAACGTATATTGATAAGAAGACAAGAGCGAGCTGTTACTTATTATGCAAGTATGTATGAATACAACACCATTGGATTGAACATCGAATAGAGCTGACGTACATACATACATATATATATATTAAAGTTTTGTTTTTGTGAAAGAAAATCTGTTGCATTCATTACATCCACATTGATCGTAAGTATTATAAAAACGCTCGATTTGAATTGTAAAAAAAGACGAGAAATATATATAGAAGCATGAAAGAGAAAAGTCCATTTATATGAGTGATGATTGATCGTGTCTTTGTCTTTACTTATTTATGTGTATATGTATTACATCATGCATGCTGTAAGTGAATTCAAGAGCAGATATATATATATATATACACATAAGATGAACACGTGTATAATGTTCAGACATATGAAACAAAATCCTATTCATTTTTCTAATGTCGTTGCAAAATCATATGCCATTCATCATCATTTATATAGATCTTAGTGGATGTGCTCATTTTCTTTGTCATCATTAATTTAACTGGAATAATATAAGAATAATTGTTTCTTTCTTTTCACTCTGACTTGTCTTATTAAAGAATCTTTTGTCTATATAGTAGAGGAGGTGTTGCGCCTGTTCACTTTATATAAAAAAAAAAACGTTCAAATGTTAATAGTGACAAGAAAAAATTGACTCTTCATTGTTTTTTTGTTCGGTCTGTTGTCTGCTGCTTAATTCCATGAGAGAATAAATATATAAAGATGAGACAGACTGAACAGTTGCTCTCTCGACTCTCCTGTTGACATATGGCAAAAGTAACAGAGAATCAAATTTCGTGTAAACATTCACGTTTATATATATATACATCAATTAATTGTCTAATCATTAGGCGAGTGAGAGAGAGAGAAAAAAGTAACGATTCAAAAGTATTAAAATGAATGAATGTTTCTCTTGTCTTTTGTCTCTTTTTTTCCAATAACAGTATATTCTGTTAAAATGACTTATCGGTATGAACATAACGACATCAGTAGGTGAATATTAAAGCAAAACTATATGCGTCTATACGCTCACTTGACCAAGGCGGACTAATTCGATATCAGGGTTAACATCATCGTCTCGTATACTACGTATGTAGTAGTTAGTAACCAAATAACAAATGAGATTTTGATTGAGAAGAAAGCGATCAAAAGACGACGACGACAAAATCGAAATTTGAACAGGGGCGTGTGTATGTGTTTGTAGCAACCAGGGAAAGAGAGAAAGAGACATACAGAGCAGAAGAAAAAAGAAAGAAAGAAAGAGCAATTTAAATGACGTCTACTCTACTAAAAAGTTAATCACGCCCGAGACAATACAAGCTCCCTAGTGTATTGTATATGCATTATTTCAGACGCAATGTGGCAGATTCTCATCGATAATAATGTCGAACATCAATATCAATTCGTTATTTCAAAGATCTTCTGATTTAGTTATCATCTATTTAATCATATTACTATCATTATTATTTACAAGTGAGTTGCATGAAATCTAAAGGGACATAGATTCGTAATCATCATTTATTATTTTTTAACCTTTAGTTAATGGTTCAACTATGCATGTTACATGTGGAACGGATATTGAGCTTGCATGTCCAATAAGTTCTACAAAAAAAACTGATGAAGTGGTAAAGTTGTGAAAGAAAATTATTGATCTGCATTAAACAATTTATTTCCTTTATATAGATTTCATGGTTTCGTCCTAATTCCTCACAGATTCCTTTAACTTTTATTGCTATTGGCGATATTCTTTTTCCGGAATATGCAACAATGGGTCGTTATAATCTAATATCAACATCATCGACATCACGTTTATTAATAAATAATGTTTTACTTGAAGATCAAGGAACTTATATATGCAAATCGAGTTCAAGTGGTCAACATAGTATTAAATTATTAGTTCGGAGTAAGTTTGTATTTTTGTTGAAAAACTCGACATTTTCAATGATTCGTATTTTTTTCCTTTCCCATTTTAAATAGCTCATCCGTATTTACATCCACAATTGCCTATACTTCTCTATCCGGTTAATCAAACGTTTTCAATTACCTGTTCATTGTTATGTAATATAGAAATCAATTCAAATAGCTTACACTGGTTTATTAATGGAGAATTATTAAATCATAATGCTTATGATTATGATATTGATACAATATCATTGAATACACAACGTCTTACTGTTTATTTGAATAAGAAACATAAAGATTTTATTCAAGCTAATTTTACATGTAAATATGATCAAAAGCACGCTACGATATTAGTCAGAAGACGCACAAGTAAGTAGAAGAGAGGAAAAACAAAAATCAATCTTATGCATTGTTGTTGAAATAAATATCTATTTAGAAGAAGAATTGCATCGATTACCAAGAAAACTTGATTCGTCAGCAGCACATTTACTACAGACTGCATTTGATACAAGCCCGAAACAATATTATTCAGTATATATGACAATATTTTTATTACTATTATTATTGTGGTTTTATTGATCGTGCAATATACATAATCTTTTAGTGCTTTTTATTTTTTAGAGTTTTGTTTGTTCAAAAATAAATTAAAATACAAATCGTTTCAACAAAAAAGATTTCCAATTGATGACCTTCAAGGTAATCGCTAACAGTAAAGAAACTTTGTTTTAATAATCTTGAAAAATTTATTCAAGTGAAACTAATTAAATGATAACGAAAGATCGCAGTTTACCTTGGCTTAAACGCCTGCAGATATAAAGAAAAGTCAATTGTATAGTTTAAGATAGTTGGGAGTACAGAAAGAATTAATTTTCAATGTTTTTCTTATCAACAAGCAATGAGTAATTTCATATATTACTACGAATATATATAAAATAAAGTCTTGTACTGTAAAATTTTCTTCAGTAAACTAGATGATACGTTTTATTCATTGTTGCCATTCAGTCTATTTGACATTCATAAGATTTTACTGCTTAGTTATTGTCAGTCTTGCGTTCATATATTCAAAATTCAAAATTCAAATCAACTCATAGTGACTCAAGTGATGATGAAAGAATGTTAACCGTTGTTTGTAAAGCCCGATAAGTAAATTCAATTTCGTCTAAATCAGTATCTGGTATCGTTGTTGTTGTTGTTGTTGCTGTTGTTGTTGTTGTTGATGGTGATGTTGAACGATTGCTTAGTACGATATGTAGTTTTCTTATGGCTTCTTGAAGTAATTTTTTTTTCTCATTATTTGTTAATGAACCCGTGTCATATGACGCATCGATTGCATTTGTTTGATTATGATTATTTGATGTATTTATTTTCCAAATAAGCATGCGAGCTGATTCATATTCAGAATTATCTGTATTATTTTTTTCATCATCATTTATCAACGAAAATTCAATTTCATGCGGAATATCTCGTGTTATCATTTGATGTTTATTTTCTTGTTCCATTGGTTTATCGGTATTTGTTATTGAATCAAATATATTCATTGATTCTTTTTCATGGTCGTCGTCATCGTCATCATTATCTATTTGTTGATATTTTTGAAGAATACTATTTTGTTGTTCTTGTTTGATTTTCACACAATTTTTGCATAATAAACTTGTAGACCTTGATGGTATATGGTGTGCACGACCACGACGCGCCAATGGTAATAATAACCGAGAGGATTTATCGGAATGAACGAGACGGCAACAATTGTAGTCGCAAGTTGATTGAGTCGCTGTTTAAGAACAAGTAAAAGAATTTGTTTTAAAATATAAAAGAAGATTTCTATATCAACGTATGAAAAGAAAAAACAATTATTACTCGGTCGGTAAGAACAAAAAAGGCAAAACGATATAAAATATAATCTTTTTTTATTAATTTCGATTCTTATCTGCTACAAACACACACACACACATATCGGAAGTTTTCGTTGCTAGGCATTCGCATTTATTTCATAAGCTTTTTAATTGTCAATAATGATCGGATTTTTAGAAAGTAAAATCTTTAACTAGATACTAGTCGCAAAAAAAGAACAATCTTCTTATCTTGATTTACTTTGTTCACTTGACATTGCTGATATATCCCTATCGGAAGAGTTTGCTCTTTTACGAGATAATTGTTGACGGATTTCAATCGTATTTAATGCCTGATGAATATCAACCAATGTTAAAAGTCGACATGCAGTGTTATTCGAGTCATCTGAACAACGCGTAATTGATTGTTTTACATCGGAGCCATTCAGTGAATCATCATCGTTTATTTCTAATTTTTTGTAAATAAATAGAATATAGTTATTTAAAAATGTACTTTTCTTACCATTTAATGCTGTAAAAATAGATGGTTTTTCGTTGAATTCACTTGTACTTACTTTCATGTAGACAAAATGTTTTGTCTTTGTTAAAATCTTGAAAAGGAAAATGATTCAGACGTAAATTTTCTTTTCTCTTTCAATAGGTTTTGAATGAAGAAGCAAAGAATACAAAAAAAAGAGAAAGCTTATTCGTTCGTTTTTTTCATGTTACCACATGAGTGTGTCTGGTTGAGAATTTTGATACGTGTAGTATTTATTCTTACACAAGCATATGTCTAAGGATATGTGAATATCGATGTCTTGCTTCATCTTTTCGAAACTGTAAGATAAAAAGAAAAAAAACACACTTTTATGATTTCTAAACTGTGGCCATGTAAAATATATATTTCGACATAATCTAGGTTTCATTTATGTAGACATGTGTGGAGAAGTGTATTATTATAATTGTTCATCGAGAATAGTGTGTAGCATAAAAAGCAAAAACATGAAATAATTCGTATTTTATTGAAGAATAAGTTTGATGAGTTTTAATCTTCTCTAGTGATAACAAATTTCATTGTACATGCAGTAAGATATTCTATAGGAAGACTCAAGATGAAGCGTTATCTTTATTGCTGAGCTAAGAAAATTTTAAAAATAAAACATCAACGAAAAGATGTCAGCATAACAATTCAACAAAGCGATGGAAGATCATACATTTGACTTTTTCCAGTAAATAATCAACGATTCGTAAACACAAAAATAAATAAATAAAGTCATAAGACTCCGAAGTTTATACTTGTGCAACGAATAGTTATCAATAGTTAAATTTAGATGTAAATAATTGAATGGTTTTTTTTTTAGACAAACGTTGCTTTAGAATGTTTTTGAAAATAAAATTTACATCTAAATATACAAATAATATCTTAACAAACAATCCTCATGTTAATTTTAAGCGATCGATCATTTATTTACTCGTATTATAATTCGATCTTGAAATTTTCTTACCAATGAAAAGACTTCGAATTGTTTCTTCTTCGATATTGAATAGACCCAATCCAAGTGAATTAGGATAATCAGCAGCACACAGAATTTGTTTCATAGATGATGAGTCAAAGTCATGCCATTGAATTTTCTCACGAATTGCTGGTAGAATTTCTACACAAAATCGATGAAAGATAATATCGGGAGAAAATATGCTGAGAAATTACCTCAAAGAACATTTCAAGAAATTGAAATGATTTGTACAAATAGAATCTTGTAGAATAGAATCGAACCGTTCATTGACACCAAATAAAGGATAAAGAACTTCAACATTGTTTATTTGTTTGAAAATAAAAATAAGAAGTTTACCGGGTAAATCCCTCAATTGAACACATGATCGATTCATTTTTATGTATTTAATAATTCTGTTCATTCTATGGCTCAAGAGTCAATATCTATATAGAATGAATTACAAAATATCAACAATAAATAATCCTATTGATAAATAATGATCACAATGTTAAATAATTTAGAACTAAGTTTTATGTATCGGTTTGGGATCCTCTCGGTTGGTCCCCATTACTAATTAACTCAACTCGTCCCCCCAATTAGCCTATCACTGTCCAGAAACAATTAGAAACAAATATAACAAAATTGATTGTTGCGTAGAGCACTTTGCATATATATATATATGATGTGCTTTCTTAGTAATGTATTAGTTTCACTGCTGATATTCTCTATGCTCTGAGAAATGCTCCTATTCACATCTTCAACTTTATCGAATTATTGCGTGAAGAGCACGAATACCAGCATCACAAGCCCGAAGAGTCAGGAGTTCAATTGAGCAAACGAAAGAAGGTGAACGATGCTATTGACGAGAATCTTGAGCTCCTTCTTAATAACCATAAGGGTGGATTGATCACTGATATGCCGCTCGCGATTAAACGCAGACGCGCGTTGAAGACAAAACTTGTTAAATGACTTTTTGTTCTTGTTTCTTTTATTACTCTTGAATAAAACAGCTGATTGTTGAAAATCATCTGTTTATCAAATTAGTCACCAATTAGCATGAATTTTGTGGGGGACGAATTGAGAGTCAATCAACTAGGAACCAATTCTGTGGGGGACGAATTGAGACTCAATTAGAGCGGAGGGGACGAACTGGGGACGAGCCGAGAGTAATCCATCAGTTTGCTCGGATCACATTCATATCGATACGTTTGATGTATCATCATTATCTCTCACATGTGATTGTATGTGACCATTCGGAGTCGATATCTATTTAATTGAGGGTGTGCGTATGACTTGTACCGCTATACCGGTTTACCGTATCTCATGTACATGGATGAATCGTATTCCATTTGTACAATTGTACTAGTGGTGGAGCCAGGAGGTGGCTGGAGGAGCTGAGGCCCCCCTCAGGAAATTTTTCTGGCTCCGCCACTAAACTGTACCCAAGCTACTAATTGACGAATAGCTTTTCTCCACAATTCCAATTGATTTGAAAATTTTACAGAATACTCCTTTATGTGCGTCTTCTTACACTTCTGAAATTTTCAGGAGCTGAAAGGTCCATTGTATCTGGAGTTATACTTGGTAAAAGTGAAAAAACCGTAAAAATTAGCACCAGTTCACGGTAGAGTTGAAAATTTTTCAAAATAAGAAAAGTTTATTGTTGCCTTTTGTTTAATGACAGATACATAGAAAAATGTGCAACCGATCAGAATATGACTTTAGTTTTCCTCAAAAATGCTTTCTTTGATAAATAAATGAAAAATATTGAGTTGACAGACAGTTTGTCTGTTTTTGTTCCGTTATGTTAAAAGATGATTTTCTCTTGAAAGAAACATGCTAATAAACTCTGATCAATCAATTTTAAAAACAAGGTCACAGGTAGGCGCAGCTGCTCTAAAAACAGCGCTAGATTTCATCAAAATTTTGACATGGATATGAGAAAAAAAATTTCAAAAAGCCTAACGTACACGCACTTTGTCGCGTCATTTTTTTAAAAATTTGTGACTTAAATATCTCGCAACTAATAATTGTTCAGCTAATCAACAAAGTGAGCATACAGATCTTTTATTGACTCCTATACGTTTACCAACAACAGCTGATGAACACTACTATTGGAATGCATTATCAACTGCTTCTACAATTGCTCGACAACCTTCTCCATCAAGTTCTTCAGTCATTCCTGTTTCTTCGCCAACAGATACCGGTTTTTATTCGAATTTGTGCTGAATTACTCACTCAGGTGGTCCACAGTGTGACCAAGCAGGTCTTTTATTGACTCCTACATCTTTATTAACAACAACTCATGAATATGGTTCTAACTCATCATCAACTCCTCAGACAGCTGTTCAACAATCTGATGCATAAACTGATACTTCTAATGTTGGTAGTCATGCATCAGCACGTGCTGATTCTTCTGATTATGTTTTTGTGTAGGTTAGAAAATGCTTGTCGGCTTAGAATATTTGATATTATTGCATAAGATAGTATTCATGTTGAAAAAATCTTCTCAGATGTGAATAAAATATTAATCAAGGAATTCAATAAATTACAATTTATAAAATAAAACGCCTTCATAAATGCTTACTCTACCTATATATTGAATGATATATTGACGAATAAAAAGGGGAGAAAAAGATCATTCTATTAGTCATTGATTGCTTCATCGTCAAGTTAGATTATAGAAAAATGCATCATTATTTTTATCGACGAGATCGGTCACATAAGGTATAGGAGCATGTGTGTGTATATGTCGAAGTAGACTCTAAAATGCAGCTGCCTTTTAAAAGCAACTAGTTGTCTTTAAAATTGAAGAGTCAAATAGTTGTGTTTAAAATTGAAGAGTCAACTAGTTGTGCTTAAAATTGTGAAGTCAACTAGGATGGAGCTAGTTGACTCTTCAATTTTAAAGACAACTAGTTGACTTTAAAATGCATAATCATAAAGTTGTTATTGATGTGATAAATAACATTTTATTCAATAGATACAGTTGAGACAAAGAAACGAACATTGAAGAGAAACATAACTATAGTCAACAAGAAACTCCGGTGTGGATGTGGGTATCAGTGTTTCCAATGGAAATCTAAAACAAAATGTACTGTACACTGTTTTTTATGAGCAAAGTGTACAAAAGCCCAATTTTCACAATCTAGAAAACAAAATATAATTTTCGCTACTTTTTATCTCATGAAACGAACATTTTGATCACTAGCGGAAAAAAAAATATCATACTTAATTAATTTAAAACTATATGCGGCTTTTAAGGTTCAGAGATCAAAGAAATCAGAGTGTAAACTATTTTAGTAAAGTGTACATTGTACACTTTGCTTTTCTGGGCAAGTGTATAGCAGAGTGTAAATCAAAACTAGCAGATGTTCTGTGCATTTTGCTTCTGCTGTGTACACTTGCCATTGGAAACACTGGTGGGTATGGTTTTGAGTCTTACCCACGCCCACACCCTCAAGTCAAATAGCTCCATCCAGTTGATTTTAATGTCAACTGAGTTTTAGAGTCAACTCCGACATATGTATATATAAATAACGACAATTTAAATTTAAGAATAGATAATGATGAATTCTTCACTGATTCAATTGAACGACTTACCTACTGAAATTGTTTTGATTATCTTAAAATATTTGTCAAATGTTGACGTACTTTACTCTTTAATGGGTGTTAATAAGCGATTTAATAAAATAGTACATAACCATACTTTTACAGATCATTTAGATCTCTTTCGAATAGTACCAAAGCATTTAATTGAAATGATATCCACGTCAAAGTACTGTATTTTACCATTACTTGATCCAATACTTGGTCGATTTTGTTCGGAAATTTTACCTGAAATTCATGATAAGATCAAATTTCTTAATCTAGAATCATTTTCAATGGAACGTGTTCTTCTTGCTACGACATATCCTGATTTATTTGGCCTTGGTTTATATGGGATTGAAGGAGAAACAGCGATTGATCTTTTTTCAGGTAAGATCTATGTCTCATAGAGTGATTTCCCTAAGCATATAATATCATATTTTTAATGATTTTATTGATACTTATTGCTCATTACAAATAAGAATAAACTTAAATTATGATAAAGTATAATTTATTGTATAATTTAAATGAAAAAAACTTTTGACATTTGGAAATGACATTTAGATTTAAAAAAGCTGTTAACATAATCTCTGAGAGATTAAAGTGTGTAACACGATCTCGCTGCTATTGCTGGTGGAAGAGAGATAGCTTAATCCTATATATGTATGCAGCCTAACTTTTTTTGATCCGAAAATCCAAATCTATTAGTAACATGTAATATTTTTCGGTTCGTCTCTACGCGTAAAACTATCGCTACCAGTACGAAATAGACCTAATAAAGTCAACTTATGCACTGTTTCTGAGTGTCTGTTGCTAGGTCGTGTGCCACGGTCTATGGAGGGAAGAAAGTGCAGATTTCTACCTGTATATACTTCAAAGCATCTTTTGGATCCTATTCTAGAAAAAAAAGTATTTAATTCGATTTAAAGAATATTATGAGTTTTAATAAAATATTTTCGTTATTTAGATCCAAATCTCTTCACTTATTCTTTGAAAAATCAAGTTTCATCACTTGTTATCGATATGAATATTAATACGAACGAAACGTTAGCGGATGATATATATGCTCTTTTATTGACGCGTATCTTTACTACATTCCGAAATTTACGATTGTTAGCTGTTAATCCATCTCCAGTTTCATATCTATATTTATCCATCAATAATTTCCCTTCAACTTTCAATTCTTCAACGTTGGTGGAATTATACGTTGGTTTGAGCAGTTTTAACGATTGTCTTTTAATTCTTGATGGACGTTTCAATCAGCTTTCTATATTTCATGTTAAGATTGAAACGATTCGTTGCTCAAGTTTGCTAATCAATAATAAGGTAGGTTGATTTGTTAATATTTCCTTGATCAAAATAAAATGATTTTTCTTTTCATTTCTAGGAAAAATTACCTAATTTAAAATCGTTTGCACTCTATACTGTTTATTGTACAAATAGTTACAATGAATTAATTGTACCACTTTTACATCGAATGACAAATTTAGAAAGACTTGATTTATCTTTTGTTGGTTATGCAACAAAATCATTTATTGATGGTAATAATTTAAAGCAAAATATAATCTATCATATGGCACTGTTAAAGAAATTGACATTTAATATTCGTTCATTTTGGTTTGATAGTCCAATGAATATACCATCAAATGAAGACATTCAACAAGCCTTCAAAGATTTTAAAGATATGCATATCATATCTTGTGTTGATTACTTTCAAAAAAGAAAATATAGTCAATGTCTTGTTTATTCATATCCATATAAATTACAACATTATCATGAAATTACAAATCAGTTTCCTGGTGGCTTATTTACATACGTGCGCGAAGTCATATATGATGAATATCCATTCGAACATGAATTTTTTCTTCGCATTGCTCGATCATTTCCATTAGTAGAAAAATTAACTTTAATTAATAAAAAAAAAAAAAAATTAATAGGCGAATTCAAAATCAAAAACAAGATTTAACAATTATAAGTACTCATCTGATAGAGCGTAATCTTCCTGAAGCTCATCAAGATTATCATGAGCAATTTTTATTTGATAATAAAACATGTTTACCAAATAATCTTCGTGTTCGAATGAATTATATATCAGTGAAAAAAGTGACACGCAATTTTCGAAGAAATGCAACACGTAATAATTGTATCAAAATAATATATGCTCGGTTTTACAACAAATTCAATTTTCCTGAACATTTTAAAGACTACTTTCCCAATGCATATATATATATGTTGATTATTATTAATTATTATTTAGATAAATAGAAAACATCAATGAAATCAGATTGATTCACATAGAACGAAGGCATTCATTTGGCGAGATAGAAGTTATAGAGTTTAATAGTTTGAAATAAATATTAGAGAGTATTCAGAAAAATCATGTATCAAGGTGGAAATTCTCTATCAACATTATGGTATCATCGTAACAGCTCATTTTAGTACTTCTAACAGACGACATCTAGATTTTTATTTATTAAGATGAAGTTCGGCAATACGAATGAAGGATGCCGATGTGAAATTATTAGAAAATTGGAATCGATAATATATTTTCTTCTACCTAATGATTAGATTAGTCGTTCAGAAGTTTAATTACTATTTGAAAACAAAATTAATTCCTAGTTCTGTTCAAAAAGCAAAACCTTTCAGTGCAAGAGGAGGCACGTCCAGAAATTCTTTATCTTTTCATGCTTGTCTTCAAATTATTCGAGGATAAAACAAGAAAGAATAACGAACGGCATAGTTCTTTCTTTCGTTATACGTCTCGAAGTGTATTTGAGGGTATGGGTATAATTATTATTTGTCCATACAAACACCCTAAACTAGTTGAGAGATATTTAAGTCACAAATTTTTAAAAAAATGACGCGACAAAGTGCGTGTACGTTAGGCTTTTTGAAATTTTTTTTCTCATATCCATGTCAAAATTTTGATGAAACCTAGCGCTGTTTTTAGAGCAGCTGCGCCTACCTGTGACCTTATTTTTAAAATTGATTGATCAGAGTTTATTAGCATGTTTCTTTCAAGAGAAAATCATCTTTTAACATAACGGAACAAAAACAGACAAACTGCCTGTCAACTCAATATTTTTCATTTATTTATCAAAGAAAGCATTTTCGAGGAAAACTAAAGTCATATTCTGATCGGTTGCACATTTTTCTATGTATCTGTCATTAAACAAAAGGCAACAATAAACTTTTCTTATTTTGAAAAATTTTCAACTCTACCGTGAACTGGTGCTAATTTTTACGGTTTTTTCACTTTTACCAAGTATAACTGCAGATACAATGGACCTTTCAGCTCCTGAAAATTTCAGAAGTGTAAGAAGACGCACATAAAGGAGTATTCTGTAAAATTTTCAAATCAATTGGAATTGTGGAGAAAAGCTATTCGTCAATTAGTAGCTTGGGTACAGTTTAGTGGCGGAGCCAGAAAAATTTCCTGAGGGGGGCCTCAGCTCCTCCAGCCACCTCCTGGCTCCACCACTAGTACAATTGTACAAATGGAATACGATTCATCCATGTACATGAGATACGGTAAACCGGTATAGCGGTACAAGTCATACGCACACCTTCAATTAAATAGATATCGACTCCGAATGGTCACATACAATTACATGTGAGAGATAATGATGATACATCAAACGTATCGATATGAATGTGACCCGAACAAACCGACACATAAAAATTAGTTCTAAATTATTTAATATTGTGATCATTATTTATCAATAGGATTATTTATTGTTGATATTTTTGTAATTCATTCTTTAATATACGGATAACATTCAGAAACAATGAAGTTTATATAACTTAAATAAATGTAAACAATATAAAATATTGATGACCTATTTTTCTGTTATGATATATCATCTAAAACAAGGAGGATGTAATATTCTTGAGGAGATCGGCGAAGCCTCCTGATTTAGTTTGAAGAATCCTGGTTAAAAATTGCCTGGTACGAGTTGTTTTTTAACATTTTTCTTGGTGTCATATTTTTTGCTCATTTTGAAGGTTAATGGCAGTTTGAATCATTAAATAGGACAAGCCAAGAAAAGAGAAAAACACAAGAGAACTGTCCATCTTGTTTGATGAATGAAGCCACTAATAAAAATATTGTTTTCATTGTGATATATGTTACTCGCACTATTAGTTTGATAAAAATGACTCTGTGTTAAAAATTCCATACACCGCTGTAGATAGTAAAAAAGCTTGTTTGGAAATTCATCAAATTTTTTATATGGAAATAGATAAGATCCATGAAGTGTCAATTTCATTAGAGGAGAATCTTGAATCATAAATTTTACCATCTGTGCAAAGTTTTGATTTCGTTTTAGTAAAAAACCATGTAAACGACCGTGAAATGATTAGTAATAGAGAATACATCTAATTATCGTGGTTTTATTCTTACGCAATATCTCTCGAGAACTGTGTCTGCTAATAGAATAGCAGTAGGAAATATCAATCACTTCGGCCAACAAAAGTTCCTGTTTCCTTCTAAAAAACAGTCACATAGATTCAACTTCTTCTCCTCATTTTCCAAAAAATCTCCTGATCAACTACAGAGATTTTTGGAAGAAAGTCCTGATGTGAAAAATTTGACTTTGGCAACTCTGATTGAAAATGAGCTTTTTAAATTAAAGTTTATATTCTGCTGCATGAAAAATTTTCTTGTGTTTCGAAATATTAGACACGCCATCAAGAAAAAGCCAATTGAAAGTACTTCATCAGTTACGAACAAATGAAAAATTGGGCATATGATCTATTAAAGAAAGCAAGAAAAAAGAGATAACAACATTGGTTGAGTCATTGGCAGCATTGGTCAAATCGAAGAATGAAACATGCGTACATATATAGATATTGACTCTTGAGCCATAGAATGAACAGAATTATTAAATACATAAAAATGAATCGATCATGTGTTCAATTGAGGGATTTACCCGATAAACTTCTTATTTTTATTTTCAAACAAATAAACAATGTTGAAGTTCTTTATTCTTTATTTGGTGTCAATGAACGGTTCGATTCTATTCTACAAGATTCTATTTGTACAAATCATTTCAATTTCTTGAAATGTTCTTTGAGGAAATTTCTCAGCATATTTTCTCCCGATATTATCTTTCATCGATTTTGTGTAGAAATTCTACCAGCAATTCGTGAGAAAATTCAATGGCATGACTTTGACTCATCATCTATGAAACAAATTCTGTGTGCTGCTGATTATCCTAATTCACTTGGATTGGGTCTATTCAATATCGAAGTAGAAACAATTTGAAGTCTTTTCATTGGTAAGAAAATTTCAAGATCGAATTATAATACGAGTAAATAAATGATCGATCGCTTAAAATTAACATGAGGATTGTTTGTTAAGATATTATTTGTATATTCAGATGTAAATATTTCAATGGTTTGTGAAAGACAGAGGACAGACGATAGATTTAAATGAAATAATTATTGCACTATTGAATTTTGAAAATAGTATCTATCAAAATGAAGTAAGATCATTTAACTATAGTTTTTACTATTCGGTGTTTCTCAAAGAATCGAAGTTGTGCATGATATATTAATATGACTAATTGATGATTGAATTAAGACACCTTCTGTATCGTAGAATGTATCGACAATGACCGCCATCTATCGAATGACACCTGCTTCAATTTCTAAAATTTATTCTCGCTAAAGAAAGTTATGAATATGAATTGTCGTAAAAAATTTGTTGAATGTTACCATAAAATTAAAGTCGAATTTGTATGGTCAAGTTTCTGGTATTAATAATATAGCAATGGTAGAAAACAACCAAATTCCTATCCATATTATATCATCACGTTGTCCAGTATTATTGATGCTACTCTACGTTGCGTACCCTCTATCGTGCGTCTCTGTTTATGTTTATATCTCATCGTTGTCTATATGTACTTTCTGTTGTATGTTTTTTACATCTTTCTATTTCTTCTCTCTCTCTCTCTCTTTCGGTGTCTCAAACTATGCCACAAAGCTAGCAATCGATATCAAACTTATTGTAAAAGATTTCGATAATTGTTTTTGTCTGTTCTACATTTTTAGCATGAACAATTGATTTTGTCCATATGAAAAGTACTTCTCGAACATCCTCAATAACTGATCAAACAGTAAAACACAATTCTAAACAAGATCTATCAACAGATTTGACTGACGTTTCAATAATCTCTGTTGGTCTATCGCGTTATCAACATCATAATCATAGAATGCTTACAGACGACGAAGAAGATATAGAGGTTTGTATTTTTGTAAAAAAAACAAACAAGAATTTATTTTCATTTAAAATTTATTTAATTTTAAAAATCTTCTAGGATGAAACAAGTGACGACGAAGATGGCGACGACGATGATGAAATTCCATCACCATTTATTTCTCATTCACATCTATCATTAAATAATAATAATAATGATGATATAGACATAGGTCCTATTGATCCTGATACACAAGCTAAATTAGCCGCTATACTCGAAGCAACTGGCATAACAAATTCTCCTATACCCGAAGACTTTTGGCGTGATCAACAAGTTGTACGTTTATTAACAAGTAGTGTAACAAATAATTTTAATGGTCTACATGAAATTGCAAATGCTTTGTCACCCTCAACATTATCATCGCAAAATGAAAAAAAATCGAAATTAGCTAATAAAGATTCCGGTGTACTACTTCGTGCATGTGTAAATAATGATCTTCATACAGTTGAAAAAATTCTTCAAACAAAAAATATCAAAGAATATTTACATGATATTAATGAAGATGGTGATAGTATTTTATCATTAGCTTGTTCAAATGGTTATACAGATCTAGTTGAACTTATACTTCGTACTATACCTGATATTGCTGTTGACGATAGAGGAAATAAACAAGATTGCACACCATTGATGGAAGGTTTGATAAGAGAAAAGAAAAAAGAAGAGATTTACACGTTCTGATTTTTAATTGTTTTAAGCTTGTAATGCTGGTCATTTTGATATCGTGGAACTTTTGATAAAAAATAAAGCAAATGTAAATATACAATCAACATCTGGAAATACAGCATTACATTATGCAGCTGGAGGAGTAAGAGAGAACAAAAAAAGAAGTGAAACTTTATTATTATTATGTTGGTTATATTTTTCTTTTTGTTAAAGGGTTATGTCGATATAGTTCGACTTTTATTAAAACATGGTGCAAAAGTAGAAGAAACTAATGAAAATGGTCATACACCATTGGTAAAATTTTTGAAATAAAATTCCGATTTGAATGTATCTATGCTCGGAATCTTGTTAGATGGAAGCAGCAGGTGGTGGACATGTAGAAGTTACTCAAATTTTACTTGACCATGGTGCTGGAACTAATAATCAATCAAAAGATAGTAAGATTCAAAGAAGAAGAAGAGAATGAAAAATAATTGATTTTGATTTTTTTCTAGAAAATGGAAATAAAACCGATGAATTACATACAGGTAAAACGAAAAAAAACGAAAAAATAATTTATTGTATGATAAATACGTTTTTCTTTAGCTTTAATGGAAGCATGTATGGATGGTCATGTTCAAGTAGCGAAATTATTACTTGATCATGGTGCTGATGTTAATATGCCACCGGATAGTTATGAAAGTCCACTAACATTAAGTGCATGTGGTGGACATTTTGAACTAGCTTCGTTGCTGATTGAGCGTGGAGCAAATCTAGAAGAAGTTAATGATGAAGGTTATACACCATTAATGGAAGGTTTGTGTAATTTAGCAAGTTTAAGATGAGATCAGTTTAATATGATCTTTATATTTTAGCAAGTAGAGAAGGACATGATGAAATTGTCAATTTACTTGTTTCAAAAGGTAAAATATTTTATTGATTATATTTGATAGAAAAAAAAAATACCAATCTTCTTTTGTGTTTAGGAGCTAAAGTTAATCGAACAACAGAAGAAGCACAAGAAACTGCACGTATGCATATGGTTTGAAATATTCTATTTGAGTTTTTATTGTTACGAGAAGAAAAAAACATGGAATAATACTATTTTTGAAACTATATCTATGTATTTATTTAGTAACATTGGCGTGTGCTGGAGGATTTTTAGAAGTAGTAAAAATTCTTCTATCCAATGGAGCTGATATAAACTTAGGCCAATCAACGCCTCTTATGGAAGCATCACAAGAAGGACATATTGAACTTGTTCAATATTTAATAGAAAATGGTATGAGAATTCTTATTATCTATTTATGTTAATCAATTTCTTTCTTCCGCAGGTGTCAATGTTAATCAGGCAACTCGAGCTGGTGATACAGGTACATTGAAAATTCATTTAGTAGCTAGAAAAAAATTAAAAAACCCTTTTTTATTCTAATTAGCATTGGGTTATGCTTGTGAAAGTGGACATACAGAGGTAGCAGAGATTCTACTAAATGCCGGTGCTCATATTGATGAAGCTGAAAACGAAGGACGAACACCATTGATGAAAGCTTCACGAGTAGGACATACATGTACAGTACGATATTTAATATCAAAAGGTAAGAAAAAAAATTATTTTTTAAATTAATTATTTTCTTTATTATTAAGGAGCGGATGTAAATCGTTCAACAATAACGAATGATGCAACGCCTCTTTCGCTGGCATGTGCTGGTGGTCATTTTGAATTAGCAACAATTTTACTATTAAATGGTGCAGATCCAAATCATTTACTTAAAGTAATTTCTTATTTATAAAATTATTGAGAAATATATAATTGTTTGTTTTTTAAATTCTAATTTAGGACCGATCGAATTGTTTAATTGAAGCAGCTAAAGGTGGCCATACAGCTATTGTTCAATTACTACTTGAATATCCAAAAAGTATTTTAAATTGTACAATAAATTCTGTTGAAACGAATGATGATAATGGCAATGATGATGATGATGATGATGACGATGAAGAGAATTTAACAGTAACAATGCCAAATTCTTTTCCATTACCGTCACCACCACCCAATGATCCAAATTTAAAAGCCGACAATGATGATGATGATGATGATGATGATGATGATAAATCCAATGAAATAAATAATTCATCATTTACATTACTTGACCGTTTAGAAAAAATTGTTCCTAGAAATATTCTTGAAGTTCTGAAAACCGTTGAAGTTGAAACTAATGAGTTACACGGAAATATCGATACGACAGGTTTGTTACTTTGTTCTGTACAAAATTTATTCAATCTGCATTAATTCGAATTTAAAATTCAGATATGTCTACGTATTCATGGCCAACAACTGATCGGTTACCATCACCTATAAATGATGAAACATCGTCTAATAATGCAGATGAAGCGAAGAAACTTTATTTATTAGGTAAACTGATTAGTTTTTTTTTACTAGACTTCAGTGAGCTAAAGAAGGAACAGCCTTTAAGACCTTTTTGCTAATCAAATTAATACAATTTTTCTTATAATTGTAGGTCACAAGTCCTTTTCACTATCCTTCTAAAGTTATGATAAAGGTTATTATGTCTAAACAGACGTTTAGGATGATATCAAATTAGAGAATTTGACACATAAGATTGTCTTGCGGAAATTAGAATATCTAAGAGGATTTCTTTTTCATGACTGTCAATTTTACTCTGTTACGATTGAACCAAAATTATTAAAATTTTTCTGTTTGAGCTATTTGCATTCTATTGATTTCCGAATCTGAAAGTAAAATATATCTCTAAGCGAAAAATAGATTGGTTAAATAAAATCACGCTATTAGCATATGAATGAATATTCAACTCGTATTTTAAGATCTTATTCGATAAGAAATAATATTCGAATTTGTTTTTAAGAGCAACTTCAACACGTTGAAAAAGAATTACATGATAAAGCTCAACAACATCTAAAACTCAATCAGGAATATCGTCAACAAGTGAATGAATATATTAATTCAAATCCTTGTTCAACGTCAAATCCAGCAATAATTACTAAAAAGAAACGTACGACATCTTCCTCTTCGACGTCAAGTTCTTCATCGTCATCTAAACCTGATGATCAAACAAATTCATCAACAATATTACCTAGTCCAAGTCAAACAATAAACTTCTTTTCTACGTCATCTATTGAATCCGACCCATGCTCATCGACTCAATCGTCACATCATCATCATCATCATTCAAAAATTAAAAAATCTTTCAATCGGCAAATATCGAAATATGATCGTCGTTTAGAACATTATATTAATGAAAATCAAAGTCATTTCGATGAAATGAACATTCATTTGAAAAATCTTAAACTAATATCATCATCATCTTCTACAGAATCAACTCCAACTAAAACACCAATGCGTATTAATACTGATCCAAAAAAAGCATTGGAACATCTACGTCAACTAGCTAGTTATCCATCAGCATTGGAACGAATACAAACATTAGCCAATAATCCAAATTTAATGAAAGAAATTCAAAAATTTGCCAATCAAAAACCATTTATAGAGCAATTAAAAACATTACAACAGACAACAACAGTCGAAAAAAGTAAGTTAAAAAAGTCGAAAACATCATCATGAGAAAGAGCTATGATTATTTCTATTCTTAGTTCTCCATAGATAAGTCTACTATTTTCAGCAATAGTAATCTATGTTCGATTTCTATACAAACCTAAGGAAAATCTGATTGGTACTAGTTGCCTTTTAGTCATCGAAAAATAAACTTATCTTTCAACTTCTTGTAATTGAGACAAATAATTGTTCTTTTTCTTTTTTTTAAAGCTACAACGTCTGCTACTCAAGATTCAACTGTAACAACTTCTCAGCAATGTCAAAATTTAACTATAGATGCGAATGAATCTCCTCTACCGGGAGCATCTTCAAGTAATCCTCGTCATTCGATATGTTGTGCTGAACATTCATCACAATTAATAAATTCTTCTTCAACAGTTTTATCTCATTTACGTTTTCAAAATCGGATCGATGTTGATTGTGAAACAGAATCTAATCATGATACAGCATTAACATTAGCATGTGCTGGTGGTCATGAAGAACTTGTTCTATTATTATTACAACGTAATGCAAACATTGAACATAGAGATAAGAAAGGTTTTACATCATTAATTCTCGCAGGTAAATTACTTCGCTCATTTTCATGTGAGATAAATGTTTTCTTTTAGCTACGGCTGGTCATGCAAGTATTGTTTTGAGATTAATTGAACATGGTGCAAACATCGAAGCTCAATCGGAGAGAACAAAAGATACTGCATTGTCATTAGCATGTAGTGGAGGACGACAAGATGTTGTAGAAGTTTTATTAAAAAATGGAGCTAATCGAGAACATAGAAATGTGTCTGATTATACTGGTTTGTTTGCAATTTATCATAGATATATCTGCAAAATATTGTATTCTAGCTTTAAGTCTTGCTGCTTCTGGGGGTTATGTAACGATTATTAAATTACTATTAAGTTATGGTGCAGAAATTAATTCAAGGTTTGTTTTAAGCTTTTGTTTTGTTTCTTACCATCTTTGTTGATTTCTAGGACTGGTAGTAAATTAGGCATTACTGTAAGTAGTTTGAAAAGCTTGTTTTTTGCTCTAAGAACAGGATCTATAAGATTGGTATTCTGTAATTTTTTAGCCATTAATGCTTGCTTCAATGAATGGACATGTTGCTGCAGTTAAACTTTTATTAGATATGGGTGCTGATATAAATGCTCAAATAGAAACCAATCGCAATACAGCATTAACATTAGCTTGCTTTCAAGGACGAGCTGAAGTTGTTTCGCTACTAGTTGATCGGAAAGCAAATATTGAACATAGAGCTAAAACAGGTCTTACACCTCTCATGGAATCTGGTAATATTATTTCAAATTTCGTATCGAAATACGAAGAAAATTCGACTTTTTTATTATTATTATAGCGTCAGGTGGTTATGTCGATGTTGGCCGAGTTCTATTAGAACGTGGTGCTGATGTCAATGCACTACCGGTACCAACTTCGAAAGACACCGGTATGAAACTATATAAAATGGGATTTCTAATCGATCATTCTTTTTCCCTTTCAGCTTTAACAATTGCTGCTGATAAAGGTCATCATAAATTTGTTGAATTACTACTTCTCTATGGTGCAACCATTGATGTTCGAAATAAGAAAGGTGCTACACCTTTATGGCTTGCATGTAATGGTGGCCATTTAGAAGTTGTTCAATTACTAATAACTCGTTTTGCAAATCCTGATTCAAGTGACTCGAGAAAAGTTTCTTGTTTAATGGCTGCATTTCGTAAAGGACATATTAAAGTAGTCAAATATTTGGTAAGGCAAGTACGGCAATTTCCTTCAGATACAGACTGTCGTCGATTGATAAATACAATAACTGATAAAGTAAATACTCTTAAAAAAAATTGTTTTTTCTTTTATTACTATTCCTTTTATATCAAGGATTTATTAAAAAAATGCCAAACATGTATGGATCAAATAATGTCAGCAAAAGAACGACAAGCAGCGGAAGCCAATAAAGCAGCTAATAATTTATTAAAAGAAATTGAATCAGAAAAATCACGTGAGCAAACAAAAAAAGAAGCTGCAGCTAAAAAGCGCGAAAAACGTAAAGCAAAAAAGAAAGGAAAACAACAAACGACGACCACAACTGATGAACCACTATTAACTAAAGTAGAGGAAAATGAAACCCCTGAAATAGAAGAACATACAGAAGTATCTTCATCTAATGTTGTTATCGTTGATGATGATCTTCGTCTTAAAATGGTTAAAACTGATAATGAACACAAGCCAACTTCACCGGAACGCACAACAAAACAAGTAACCAATAATAAAAAGAAAACAAATACAATGTCAAGAAAAATTGAGCGTCATCAAGAAAATCTCGTATCAAAAATCAAACAAGAGTCATCAATTACTGACGATGGTTGGCAAGAAGTTATTGGTAAGCAGAAGAAAATCACAATTTCATATGAACAATATACACGTATTATTGAACGATGTGGTTCAAATTTTAATGTTTTACGAGAAATGACTGGAGCTTCTATCGATGTTGAAAATAAACGATCAATGGGAGATAAGACTATTTTAATCAAGTAAAATTTTATTTTTCATAGTTTGGGTTTTGTTTATAAATTCTTCGAATTTTATAGAGGTAACGGTGATTCAATAAAGCATGCACATCAATTAATAACAGCTTTATTGAAAAATACGGAAACAGATTTAGCAAGTCTGGTACCATCAAAGAATAAATCAAGATCAACAACAATCGTATCAAATCATGATAATGAAAGTGAAAGCATTAAAACACAACGAGCTAATACAGGACCAAGATTACAAAATAATGGTAAAGACTTTTCATATTACTTTTACTAAGAAAGATATACGAGTTTCAAACGTTGAACGACTGGAATCAGTACTATAAATATTTAGATGCAAAACATTTATTTTAAAAATTAGATGGATTTTCTTCTCTAGAATCAACATTTTTCGAAACGTCATCAACATCTAGATCTAGTCCTCGTTCCTTGAATCCAACGACTAAGAAAACCTCATCAGCTATCACTACTCGTTCAACATCTTCATCAGCCCCAATAAAAACTCCTAAACCAATAGCATCCACTGGAACCACTTGGATTAATTCCAATCGATCTAACCGTGCTATCTCATCTTCATCAACAAACAATTCAACGACAGTAAATCTTCCGAATTGGACACATCCGAAAACATCCTCATCACATAATAAAACATCACATTCAACTCATTATTCATATGTAAATTCAATGAATCAACATAGAAATTATTTAAATAATCAACAACCAACATCGCCCGATACCAATCAAGCCTCACCAAGTAAGCCAATCATTTTAAATTCTTATTCAATGCCACCGCTGCCTTCACTACTTGTTGCTGCACCATCCTCAAAAGCAGTTGCTACAGGAGAATATAATCCATTTGCTTCAAATATTTTGACGACATCTATTGTTGATGTTCTTACTAAAACAAAAGAATCATCAAATTCATCAGGGACAATAAATGATGAATCGGCACTAAAAATGAATTTTGCCAATGTTGCTAAAATGAATGTACCAACTAAACAGCAATCTCATCAAGAGTCCATTGGTCTTAATATGAATGAGTCAACAGCATCATCTATACAGACAGATCCAAAAATCGCTCCTGGTTATCGTGGATTATCGACTGCAACACCAATTATTATCCCTCCAACAAACTTCGATTCATTATCACCAACATCACAAATTAATCGTGCACCTGGCTCAAATCGTATTCATCAGTCGATCTCTCCATCTCTAAATAAGATTTCACTAGATCAAAATGGACAAGCAGGCTCATCAACAGCATCCTCAACATCCTCATCTCCATCATCATTAAAACAACAAACAAATCAGTTCATTCAACCACAACCATTATTTCCAACATTAGAACAACAAAAACCTTTTGGGCCCATTGGTTCACATCGTACACCAATATCAACGGACGATATTGGTCTTCAAATGCCATCTAAATTTTCACCAAATAATCCTCCTCCTATGTATCAACAAACACTAATGAATAACTCGTCTTACTCGAATCGGTCAAGTCTTAATCCGAGTGCACCTGAATTTCAAGGACCACTATCGTCAAATATAATGAATATAGCTCGTCTAATGGAACAGCAACAAAAACAACAACAGGTCTATTCAAATATTCCTGCAACACGTTCATGTCAACAATCAGATATTGAAGCAATACAACATGTACAAAATCAAGTCGTTCATTATTATCATTTACAAACAAATCAACCACATCTTGTTCAACAACAACTTCCACCACCGCCACCATTAGCGACAACATTACAAATAGCAAATATGTTAGCATCACGAGGACATTTACCACAAGATACAAATCAAGCAGCAGCACTTGTTGCTAATTATTATTATAAAAACTTTTTATCAAGAACACAACCAACGAACAATAATCCTCTATCACCGAATGTAAATACAAACAGTGATGATATACCAATAACTTCAGGTAAATTTAAAAATTTGTTTTTACTTTCTCTTTTTTATATAATTAATAAAATAAATTTTAGTTGATCCGACTGTTATCATTTCCAATAGTAATCATTCAACCGGTCCTTCATTATCGTCTACAAGTGCCGGTAGTGACCAAAAAATGGTACCAGCCGCGATCGGCAGTGAACGTAAACGTCATATGCCAACATCAACCACTGTTGTTCCTCCGATGGTCATCAGTGATTGGTCTTCCGTATCTAAACGTAAATTGTTTTTTTCTTATATCATTTCATTTTGTTGAATTTTCTTTTTCTAGAACCATATCCTTATCCACAACAGCAGACGCGCGATTATCCACGATAGAAAAACAACAAAAAAAAATTTTTATACACTTTTCATTGCTTTCTAAATACATGAGTTTTTTTCTTCTCTAACCGATCGTTTATATTTTACCTAATTTTACTTGTTCTTCATACATTTTTTTGCCGATTATTGCGCAATAAGTTCGTGCATTAGCATGATTCACTTGTTGTGACATTCAGATCTCTTCCTGTATTGAAGACGATATAGCAGCAACTTTCTTTTCTCGCGTTTTTTGTGTCATCCTTTTTCTTTCTTGTTCATTTCTTTTTCTTTGCGATATACATATTATATATATATAAAGGGAAAAAAGTTGAAATTTTATTGATTGTATTTTAGTCAGTCAACAGAATCATGGTTCATGTGAACATGAAGATATTATGTGCAGTTCCATTATCATACATATCACTAGATGACTTCGTGGTTATCTCTCATATTTAAATGGATATTTTGCTATAATGTATCGAACATATTCGTGAACGCAAACTAAATCGAAAAATGTCTAGTCGCTTTTTAATTGAGCCAACTGTTTCCCTTCATCGATCATAATAATTAAAAACGTATTGAGCATGTACGGGTAAAGGTATAGGAGGATGGAGCGTCAACACCTAAACCCTCAATACTTTCAAGTTTGACCTTATATGCTAAGAGATAACCTACAAAATTTTTATTTTCGAAAGTAATAGGACAGAATATATTAAACATTTGACTGTAATATTTTAACAATTAATATGCTAAGCTATGCCTACCGCCATTATTTGATGATACTCTAATGCCGACAACTCCTGACTTTTGCTGAAATACATTCTTCACCCTGCCAATGCTTCGTCACTTCTTCCGAGCACTCTTTCTATTTATTTATTATAAGAAGTATTTATTTGCTCAGAACAATGTCAACAAACAAGTTTCTATCTTGAATCACTACTACTTTCGTCTCTTCTGCGAAATTCAACTTCTTCCCGGTCGCGGAGGTACGGTGGAAAACGGCCGGAAAGCACTGGAAAGTAGAAGCAGTGTTCCGGTTGGAAATCCGGCAACTTCCAACCGGAATACTGCTTCCACTTTCCAGCGCTTTTCCGGTTAAATACGGTGATTTTTCCTCATCTTTCCGGCCGGTTTCTACGGTATTCGTCCTCCGGAATCATTGACCTGGGCTTATTAAAGGAGCGAAAAAAAAACGATTGGATTCTGTTCGCGTTAGTTTTTGTATATATATGTACATATATAAATAGCTAAGGAGCACATTGAAAACAAGAAAACAGTATTACACAATTAACGCTCCCAACCAAAGCATTTTAACATCTTCGCAAACAAAAGTAACATCCTGTTTATTCTTTAATGATGCTCCGATTTACTAACGTCGATCATAACCCAACGGGACTACCACCTATTTACGGATATTTCACTCATCCAATACTTCCACTACGGGAAACTCTTAGTCATTTCCTGCCTAAAAATAGATCAGTTAGAAAAATTGATTAGCATTGCAAAGAGTGAATGCCATTTTCCATCAGAACAGAATCTTACTCGTGAAGAATCAACATCAATCTACATATATACGATGGATTGGGGAACATAAAGTCTGTATCGAGTACTCAACGCAGCCCTTCATGAGAAATAGCGATCAGTATGAATACCATGGCACGACTACCTAAAATTATTCGATACTGCATTGCAAAAATTACTTAATAAAACTATCAAGTTATGGCGTGATATCAATGTTGACATTAGCAAGAATTACAAAGAACATGTTGAACTGACTTGGTGGTGTTTTAGTTCATGCTCATCATCCGTTAAACTTGCTAAACAATTTCTTGGAAATATATCAACATTTTTGATGATCGAAGCGAAGCATGGAAAAGCAATATCAATGTATAGCAATTTTCCAGAAGAAAACAAAGTTATTCTTACATTTGGTACCCACATTTGTGTTGTTAGTGACGCGCTAGATCATGCGTCATTAAATGTGATACACATGCGTGAAGTGATCCATGACAATGATCAAGATTTAGCCTCATCATTCACAAAAATGAGTGAGTATCGATGTTTAATGATTGACCTCAAGAAATGATTCATACTCTCTAGACAACAACGATACCATATCAGGTAACGAACAATCAACATTTAAAGTAGAGACCTATTCAAATGGACACAAATACGAAGGCGAATGGAAAAACGAGACAAAACATGGAAAAGGTACCTATTACTATGCCAATGGGGATAAGTGTGCACGCGATTGGGTGGACGGCATGCAAACAGGTGAATGCGTTTTTATGTGGCCTGATGGTAATCGATAAGAGTACAAGTATTCAGAATTTCTTTTCACGATCTAGTCGGATGGCTGATATGCAAGAAACAACATATGATATGCTCTGTGAATAACTCATGGGACAATTCAAGAATGGTCCGAGAAACGGAAAAGGTCAGTTTTACTTTGCTAAAGGTAAAGTGAAAAAAGGAACATGATCCAATGATACCTTTATCAAATGATCTATTTTTTATTCTTTTATCACGTAACATGTATTTGAGTACAACTTTATTTGTTTTTATATTGAAGAAAATATAATATATATGATTTAAATAAAACAAGTCAACAATAATTTTCAATGTATATTAATGGAGATAGTATCAAAGATAAATACAATAAATATTTTAATAATTTTTTCTTTTTCGGTTTTTTCAATAATTTTTTTTATTAATATTAGTAAAGAAAGAAACAAAATAATAATAAATACGATAAAAAAATATATAAGAGAAAATATATTTAAATGAGAGGAGAAAAATAAATAAATAGTATACATATTACGCGAGGCCTTTTGAATTATCTTTTCCAGCGACTTTTTAGAGAAGTTCAATCAATTATATTTGTTGGAAATAAAGAGAAGTTCAGTTGAATCTTGCAGGAACAACGAGTTTGAATGTTTACTTTGGTTACATTTAAAATGATGTTTTCATGTTTTGTTTATTGCATTGCATTATATTTTTTGATATTTGTTTGATAATATATTCTTTTTGCATTTTTCAGCACCTCTCGATGGATTTTTGGTGCTTGTTTTATAAAATACTTTTAAAATTTTTTCATGCCTTTTTACGTATTTTAGAATGATTTGGATGCATTCTAATGGACATTTCTAAAGATTTTTTAATAATGCGTTTTAATGAGTGCTTAATGTATTAATGTATGTTCATGTTTTAGTGTAATCCAATGCGTTGCTGACTATATGTTTTTTTTTGTATAATAAGGTGGGAGCAGTGGTGTGGAACTGTTTTACATAGGAAAAAGTTGGCTAGATATATTTTTATATTTTTTTGACGTTGAAGCGGAGAAAGTTAGTCCGAGTAGAGGAGGTGATTTTTTACAAATAATGGGACAGATTAACAATGACTCGGAAGATTGTTTGTTATAGTATATAGAAGAAAAAGTTTTAGTTACAATAAAAAATAACAAATAACGAGAAAAAGAACGAGCTAAAGAAAATGAGATCTGTGCTTTACATTCAATTGGGGTAGGTTAAGATAGAGAGTAAAAGAAAGATATATGTGTTTTACAATCGATTAGAGTAGATTGAGATAATGATAAAGGTTACAATAGAATATATATATGGGTTAGTAGTTTTGTTATTAATATATGTTGTTAATAATGCTTTCGTTTTTTGTTAGTGAGTTTTTACCTTTTTCTTTTTTCTTCTTTAGCTCTTTTTGCTACTGATTACGCTGTATTAGTTATGTCTTTTTTATTCTGATCCTGATGATGTTGGCAGTAGCCTTGTTGCTTCTTTGTTCGGCTTTTTTGTACTAGTATACGTTTTAGACTATCTGTGAGTCGATTCGCATATATGGCGGGTATGTCATCTAGTTGTGTACCTTCGAATATCTCCTGCCATATCTGATGGAAATGTGTTCCAAAAGTTGCTAACTATGGTGCGTATGTAAAGTGTAAGAGGATGTCGGTATCGAAATTTATTTCTCGTTTTTCTTTTATGTTCCAGGTTGTGTCTAACACTGATTCCCTGAATTTTGAGTGATCTTTACTTAAGAGTATTTCCGATGTTTTTACCCCTGTAAGGTCATGGAAGAAACGTCTGATGTGTTTATCGATAAATCTGGGTGAGTATGTGTTCAAAAGTAATGTTATCCTAATTTTTTCTAATTCATGATGTAAATCTTCGTGGTGTGAGAAAATGCGAGTCGCTCGTAGTGCTGCTGAATATGATATATTTTTTGTTATATGTGGTGGGGGTGTGTGTGATGAATGGAATGGTAGAATATATGGTTGTGCTGCTAATTTTCGGAAAACCGTTGTTCTAAAATTAGGAATCTCTAGAGCCGCTTTTACATCTAAATATTCTATTGTTTTTCCTCCTTCCCACGTTATACCTATATTAGGATCTTTTTTTATTTAATCCTTGCAAGATTTCTTCTATTTGTTCTGGTGATTGTTTAGTAGGAAAGAAGATATCATGTTGAAATCGAAAATATAATTCTCGTTATCGATGTTGTTCATGTGCAAAGTTACTTTCCCATTTTCGGATATGGATATGGGCTAGTACTTGAGTACATGCCGATCCCATTGCTCCTCCCCTAATCTGTTGGTAATACTTCGGTTTTAATCCTGGTAATTGAAGAACAAAATATGAGTTCTCTAATACGTGAAGAAATAAATCTTTTATTGTATTAATTGATAGTCCACAAACTTTTCTATACCCATACCTTCCCAGAAATTCGCATACGGCTAATACTGATTCTCTTTGCAGAATCATAGTATATAAATCTGTAACGTTGAATGTGTATATATTTGTTTCATTTGTTGTTTTAAATTCTTTTAATCGTTTTAGAAAAACCATCAAGTTAGAAATTGAATATAGAGTGTGTCTACCAAAAAGAGGTCGAATATTTTTATCAAGAAAACTCGATAATTTAGTTAGGGGGGATTTCATTCCACTTACAATGGGTCGGAGCGGCTCAATAATTTTATGATTTTTTGGATTTAATAGAGATGAGGTAATTCTGATTCTGTTAGAGAAAGCCTTAATTTATATAATGGTACTTGAGGTATCTGTTTACTTGAAACTAAATTATGTAGAAATTTATCTGTTTTCCCTATCAATTCTCTAAGTAGTGATGTTTATATCTCTCTATATGCATTTGTTTTATTCATATATATTTCTGATTCTTTAATATAGTTTTCTCTCGTATCAGTATGAACATACTTTCGATTTGTCTGTTTGTCCAAATATAATATTGTTCTTTTTTTGAATCTTACGAAAGAATGTTATTGCTGACTCTAATGTAGGGTCTCTAGGTGCTTCAGTTGTCACTGTTTTTCTTATTTCGTTTTCTATTCTTTCACCGAATTTATCTACTATCGGTGGTTGTCGTCCTATTTTTTCGTTACTCTTCTCCATGCTGCTGAAACGTTTTCTTTCATCTGTCCAATTTCTTTTGAAAATCGTTCTAGTACTTGTTCTGGTGCCGAAGGAACACATTTTTGTCCTAAATTAAGTATTTTTGATTCTGTTTGTCGAAATAGAGCAACGTTATTATTAGCTTGCGGTGGAAAATTTATTCGACTGAAGTGTGGATGTAATTTTCTTTTAGGAAATCCTGGGTGATGATGAGATAGGGCATACACTAGTTTGTGTTCATTGCTGTCAAGGTGTACTTTCACTTCTTTATTAACAGATTCGATAACATACACTTTAACAATAATAAACAAGAACTGAAACCAATAACAGGGACAGATATACTCGTATTCAATTATCTCCAATGAGATCAGGAATACATAATAATCTATAATGTATGTGTGGAGGATAATAGGAGAAAGAAAGATAGCGCTATCAAGGTAGATGCTGCTAGTGATCTGTGTGTGCATACAAATATTATAACAATTGCGTACGCTCTTTTTACTAAAAAATTCAATTTCTTTTTCACAAATTGATTATGTCTTATTTTTATTACATGACATATAGCATTATATGATTCTCGAAGATGATCCGAGAGTTTATTGAATAGCTCATCGTATTCTCTTTTAGCTTCTTCTATCTCAACTATTTTTCCTTCTCTCATTAATGTAGCCAGATCTAATTTTGTTTTTCGTAGTATAGGGCGTGGGTGTAGGTGAGTGTCAGTGCTATCTGTCTCCTCCCACATCCACACACACACACACACTCAAGTTAATATTTTATCTTCAGTGTTACAACTGCTTCACAGAGGAAAGAATAAGCAGATTCGAAATTTGGATGGGCAAGTCAAGTTGAATAGTTACTTATTCAAAGAAAAGCAAGTGCAGCGTGCACTTGTAGATCAGTACTGTTTTTTATGTAAGTGATCCAACCGATTCTATCTCTCGAATTGTATTCGTAAATAATGACTTCCAAGTAGCTACCACCGAAGTAGCAATACTGTGAATAATTGAAAGCTATTGATACGACGAGACATACAAAAACAATAAGACCCGATGAAGCATTGCCTTTCACAATAGATTTTGTTCGTTCTACACAACGAGCCACCAATAATGTGACAATTAGTGTATAGAAAAATGTGAGAATAATCAAGACTGGAAGGAGAAGCCACACAAATCCAAAGAACATTGGTAGTATATCCGTGAGCAAATACGGGAGAAAGATCATTCCAAGGATTCAATTGATGAAAACAAGCGACGTAAAAAAATGTAGCTCTTAGACAGTTTCCATTCAAGCAACAGGTTCGCATTTTGAATAATGCTTGCATGAGTACTGAAACAATACTAGGCAATGTGTAGTCTACAAGTCGATAACCGAAGGCGTTGTAACATTTCCAAATTGTAGACCCCTGAATCGATTGGTATTTTTATTGCTTCCAGCATGCGTAAGCGAAGTGGGCAATGGAAACCAGCGACAAGAGCACATCAACCCAACTAACCGATTCTTCAAATTCCTTTTCATTTTCATCATCATATTTATGTTCATCTTCATCCGGTTTTTTATTAAAATACCGCTCAATATCTGTGTTCCAGTCATTTGGCTTTCTGCAGGGTGCGAATCGATTGTAGAGACGTTCAAGACATTGAATCACGAATAGCTGTAAAATTGCGAGCCAGTAGGGTTCCACCCTGAGACCAGAGTAATTATATAGAAGCGAATTTCCAGGTTGATTAGCAAGCGAAGCGTTGCCATCCATATTGAGATTACTTTGCTCTTTATAAATCTATGTGTAACATTCAGAAATGAAATCACATAAATGATTCAAATTAAAACCTATTTGAATCAACATGTCAACCCATGTGATTCAAGATCAAAGGGATCGACGATAGTAAAACATTTTCTATCAAGTTCGTATGTACAGAGCTACACTGTAAAAAAAGGGTTTGTGAAAATGCAACGTGACACACACTCTTTTTTCTGTTTTTAAAATATCTGAAAAACTCTTTTTCCAAATTATAAACCTAAAAACCGTTTATTATCTTCGACATATACGGAAAAAAACGTTTATGATACGTTGCACTTTCATAAGCCCTTTTTTTGTTAAATACCCCATCAAAAACGTTTTTTTCTATTTATTATTCTGTGGATTTTTTTACCGTGTATTCACTTTGTTTCACAACAAAGCATAGCATCAAACGCACGAAGAGTATAGGCTTAAGTAGGGCTATCACTTTACCTTTTGTTTACCAGTAAATATCACATAGAGTTTGCGTGAGTTATCCAATAATTACTAAAGTTACTGCAATATTCATCAGTATGAAGATTCAATTATAAAAGCCTCCATATTAATAAGTTGATTTTATTCGGAGAACTCATAAAACAAGTGCTGTATTCATTGTCTACTAAACATTTCATTTTTACTCTGCCGAAAAACAAATAAATGTATTTTATTTTAAAGTTTGGGAGTATCAACATCAGGATTTTGCGAAACTCAAGTGCATATTCCACTCACCCATATCTTCACGAACATGCCATAAGCGCTTCAAGCTCGTCAAATTAATGAGAACTGTTTAAACCTGAATGTCATCGAAATTTTGGAAACGAACAAAAAACTACAATCCTTTGTCGTGTGAGATAATGCCACAGGATAGGAACCGCTGGGGCATCGCACTTTATGTAATTGCCAGAAATCACCCATACAAATCGAATTATCTGGATGTTTCCAAGATGTGCATGCGGTCACATAAGTAGATAAGGTGAACATCGAACAAAGCATGTCGTTCAGTGACAGACAATTCGCATAGTCAGCTAGGATTAATTACTCGTAATCCTTTGATTGATTCGATAGGCTAATGGTGTTTGTTGAGGCACACTTACGTGTTATAGAGAGAGGTGTCCGAGGGGGAAAAACTCATTCGGGCATTCCCTGGCATTCCCAGCCATTCCTAGTCATTCGAATGGCTCGGAATGAGTTTTTTCCCCCTTGGAGGTGTCACATGTCTCAAATATCGGGCATACTAGAGATGCCACGAGAGATACGGATACACCAAACTATTACTCACATAATATATTTCAATAGAGTGTCTCGCACATTTCCTGAGGAAGGTTGCCGCATCTCCAGCACTTCTTCACAGAGAGATGCCGTATCTCCGGTGTCTCCATCTCCCGATCAAAAAACCATGTTTTGATTTTTAGCCTTGGACCCATCCAGGAGACACCGCATCTCCGGCACTTTTGCATGTAGAAGTGTGTATGGATCAGTCTCTGGAATTTGATATGCATATGTAAGTGGACGCGCTGACGGTGTCCCTTCGCTTCACCCTCTAGCGCCCTGCATGCCTGATTGTACCTTCTAGTTGATTTAAACAAGGTCGGTGTATATATAGTTTTGCCACTGAATGGTGACTCTCAGACATAATGGGTCGTGAGCGTTAGCTAAGAAAATCCAAATTCCACTGACAATCATGGGACATGGAGATTCATGAGATACGGCATCTGTGCTAGAGATGCGATATATACTAAAATTTTAAAGGTCTGTAACTATTATTGCGGTGCATCCGGTGTCTCCCTTAGCATCTACAGCATGTCCAATATGTTGGATATGTGACACTGCTGGTTATAGATGTACAATTAACATTTCCACCAGCAGTGTCCAAGTTTCCAGGAGTCGGGAATTCGTTGGGAATTGGGAACTCAAAAATAAATAAGTGACAACGAGCGATGCGAAACCACAACATGTGAAGCATCACAGGAAACACACAAAATCCAAGGAACTCAGGGAACTCAGGGAAGGCGGGGAATTCACGGAGTCCAAGGAACTCAGGGAAGGCAGGGAACTCACGAAATCCAAGGAAGTCAAGGAATCCAAGGAAGTCAAGGAATCCAAGGAGCTCAGGAAATCCAAGGAACTCAGGGAAGGCAGGTAAGGCAGGGAATTCACGGAATCCAAGGAATTCAGGGACTGCACGCAACTCAGGGAAAACAAGGATAAGAATGAAGTATGAGCCTGTACTCAATTTGCTTGTAATGGGCCATGAGTATCTGGTGTATTATGTACTTAATCGGCATGATCCATAATAGCGATAATTGATATAATAGATATATAAATGTCAAGTTGTGGAACTGCACAATTCAATTGTCAGCTCAAGAGTGAGTTCCGGAAGGTTACAGTTATTCCTTATTATGCTTTCGTAATTTTAAAGGTTGAAGAAAGTAGGAATTTGTGAGCGTGTACTGTGAATGTCGTGTGCGTTCAGTGTGAATGTGTTGTGGATGTAGTGTGGGTGTAGTGTGGGTGTGCTGTATGTGTGAATGGGTGTGGATATGAGTGTCTTCTACTACCTTACTAGATACATACACTTACACTGTATCGTGAGTTCCTTAGATTCCCTGACTTTCCTGAATTCCTTGGATTCTCTGACTTCCTTGAGTTGCTTGGTTTCACATCGCTCGTTGTCGCTTTTTTTTAGTTCCCAATTCCCGAAGGATTCCCGGCTCCTGGGAACTTGACCACATCTCATTTCCACACAAGAAATGTATGTTGAATAATGAAAAACTGTTGCAGTACGAAGGAAAAAGTTGAATTCATTTGCACTTGCGGGTATGCATTGTCTTCTTCCAGATTCATGTGTGCGAAGAACGGTAGTAGAAGAAAGTCGCCGACATGTGACTTAAAAAAAAGGTGCAAGTAATAGGAGAACGAAGTTATTCATGGTTTGTAAACATGGAATCCATGTTGTTTTTTGTCTTCTACTCGTCGTGCTGCGGGACACGAAGCTATGTCACTTTGAAAATTCAACATGAATATTTTCTTTTAGAGAAATTAGATAGCCAATGTGTCTGAAGTAAAAAAAAATGTGGTTCCAATTGTAACTGTTATACCTTCATTATTCGTAATTCGAAAATAATTATTTTTATGTAATTGGAAAACCGACAAAATTCTCTATCATATTAGATCAATAAATAATGTCTAGTTGTAAAAAAAAGTGCATGTCTCTGAAGTGAATTCGGCAGCATAAAACAAACAACAATGTCGCACAATAGAATATTTATCTATTTCTGTTTCATACTATGGACCATTTAATTTCAATCTGAATTTACAAAAAAAGACTTGATATCTAACGTCAGACTTCTGTGTAGTAATTCTTGGTATAGCTGTTTTCTTTTTTTATGTAGACAACGGCTTACCTTCGGTGTATCTTGGGTATAGGAAAGATGACTCTTTCGTAGACCCTAAAACTCTTTCGTCTTGAGAAAAGGGAGATCTTTTTGTTCTTGCAGAATTCAGTTTGAAAATACAAAATTTCATACACTTCTGTCTAAAGATTTGATTTGATTCGTGATTTTGAACTGCATTGTTTCCTAGAGGTTCAGTTTGAACGCTATTGATTTAAATTTTTTATTTGATTCATGGGGGAAAACACTCTTCATTCGCTTTATCCACACTAGTAAAGTGCATCGGGTTTTTTTCAGGTTTGAGTAAACAATCAATAAAAACTTTACACTAGTATCAAACTCTATTTTGAAATGTGGGTTCGATAAAAGCGTCCTCCGGCTTTCAAATTATGTGCCTTGTTTCGAGAAAAATAATCAATCCATGAAATTGAAGACGGAAAATATACGAAAAAAATCGTAGTCCGATTTAAACCCGATTCCGAGTTTTTTGCAATCGTTTTCTGCGTAGAACGACAGGAATAAAAAGCTTTTGAGACCCAAATGCGTCATTCGAAAGCTAAAAGATTGCACTATCGAATTCACATCTAGGGAAAGAGTTTAATCTTGATGTAAATTTTTTGTTTATTGTTTACTCAAACCCGAAAAAAAATCCGATGCAGTTCAGTAATCCACACTATTCATAAACTGAACGTGAAGCGAGAAAGTGCACATACTGTGAGTGCACCAGCTATTTTAGTTTAATATCAAGCCTTCTTTAGTGTTCCGTTTATTTACTATAGATCGACATAACACTTCAGTTGAGCTTGCAATGTCAAATATTTTCAAGATTGTTACAGCCTGTATAATACTATCCAATCAACAAAAAGATGTTTTCTGAAGTGGGTATGGCTTGTGTTTTTCAGCCTTGTTACAGTAACCGACCTCATGCATGCTCCCATTCTTTACCATGCTTCTAAAATATGTACGACCTTTACTGATAGCGAAGGCCAATGAATGAATGGCAGCAGAACAGGCAAAGACTCTTTTACATGGCCTGACGATAATCGATATGAGAAGAAGTATTTGCATTATCTGTTCTTGTAACTTTTTGTGATGATAGTTGTACCAGGAATAAAATTTGATACCATATTTGAATAACTGAAGGGACACTTCGAGGATGATAAGAAGAACGGGAAAGGCACTTACTACTTTCCGAATAGGAAAGGTCAACAAGGAACATGATCAAATCATACTTTCATCAAATAATCTTATTTTACTCCTTTATCCCGTAAGATGTATTCATGTATAAGTTTATCGATTTTCGTTTCAAAGAAAACCAAATATATAAGATTGGACTGCAAATGAAGAATTAATTTACACTGCTTGCAGAATGGTAAATAAATTAAAAGATAGAGTTTCTTAATCTCACGTTAAATGAAATTAGGTTATAGGCATCGTCATGAACAGTGCGTCTGTGATAGACATTTCTAGAGGATTGATATTGGTTGTAACTAATGAGTATGCCAAACTGGATATCATAGTATGTTTGACAGCGTCAGAAAACATAGTTAGCTTTAGGCCAAATAAAGAATATTAATGAATTGTGTAATTGTAAGAGACTTTTGAGAAACCGATAATGCCTTCGTTAATTCTTTCATATTACAGTATATGGTATCAATACTGAAAAATATAGAGGCTCTCTTTAAATGATTGGGAGATAGCCGTCTTTCTTCAATTTCATTGGCACGAAAATCGACTGACAATGCTTTCCAAAAGTTATTTTGTGCCGATTAGAAATCGCTTGTATTTGCAACGGTTATTTTGTTTTTAGGGTGGGTGTGTGCGAATACGTTTCTGTGTGAAAATAGATTAATTCTATTTTTACAAACCCTTACACCCACGCCCTTCATTTACTAACAAATGTGAATTATGCGACAAATGTACATTGACTCGACTCTTTTTTTTGACCGAGATCGTCAATAAAAATAACAATGAAGTACCTTTTTTAGCTCAATTCGAAACAAATTAAATTTTACATTCTCAACCATCGATATGAGAATATTTTCAATCTGATACATTCATTTAATTATTAAAAGAAGTTTTATCAAGCAACATTATCGGCTGATATTTATATTAAATATATATGGAAAACAAAAGACAGTTACCGTACTAAAATGTTTATTACAGATGATACGTACGTAATGATTCATCTTATACTAGAAAATAGATTATAGCTGAAATATTTTTTTCTCTTTGATACATGAATCCTGTATTATGTTACTCAGAAATTTCTTTTTTGTGGTACCTCCAAAAATAACACGATGGCCTTGTTTTTCGTATATTGCTTGTGTAGTTTCCCGTCATGATGATACATAAAGACGCTCTTTTCCTTCCCTAACAGAAGATGTTGATAAGTTCTTCATCGTTGGTGGTACCGCCCGATATAGTCTAGTGTTTGTTTCTTTCTTACCAGAACAAGCCAAACTCATAGTCCATTCAATGAAACATTATTTCTCCTTTCATCACATTTGTCTAAAATAGCGATAAATACAAAAATGCCTCTTGGCATCTACCTCGATACACCACAAGGCCGCAAACCAGCCACATTACCAACACATTTTAGTTTACATGATTTTCGAAATTTAATACAAAAAAAAGTTGGTAATCCCGAACATTATAATTATTCACTAGGTGATATTATTTTTCGTACATGGAATGAAGAAACTTTTAATCGTCAACGGAGTGCTATTCGTGATGGTATGACACTTATTATACAATATCCACCTGTTAGTTCAGAAGAATCGTCTGAAGATGTTCCCACTTGGAGACGAGCATCGGTCGGCTTATGTCTTGATGGAGTCTGTTTAAATATCAAATGTCAAGCGTTTGAACATAAAGTTATTATGAATCAAAACATTGGCCAAGTCAATGTTATAACAAATTCTACTGTGATGAGTTCGCAATGCCCTTTATGTGCAACAACTATTCAGCCAACCACATGTGCATTTAATCAATGTCAATGGCGACTAATAGGCGTAAAACAAGACGATTTAACTACATCGTCTTCTTCGTCTACTATAACTACGGAATGGCACGATTCAACACATGAATATCATCGATGGGCAGATAGTTTCACATCATGGTCACAACTGACTATTGAAACTAAGCAATAGATTCGCTACTTTATGATTTTTTTTAACTATTATGTAAAAAGAAATAAAATCCCACTATAAGGATCAACACGATAGTAAGCAATTACTATGAGAAAATAAACACTTGTATGTTGTGCGCAAAAAAAAACATGGGCAATGATTTGTTCTTTTTTCTTTTATTTCATGTAGAACCAAATACAAAATCTGCGACAAAAATAATTGCATATTGTACGCCTTTTTTTCTTAGAAAGCATCTGCAACTAATTAATACGTGGTATTCTGAATACTTCCGAAGCCATTCACAAAGGATACACAGCTGGATGTAACATACAGATGCGCAATTACTTAGTAATAAGCCTACAATGTATAATTTGCTACAAAATAAAGTTTTCATGTGATTTGTGATTTCTTATTTACTCCTCCGAGAAAACTTCATAATATATTTTCAATAGAAAGTAATTTGTGATATCAATAAAACTAATTATCAGCTATCACCTTAGTCAAGTATATCAAAAACAAATATACTTAATTTTTTTAATTGATTTCAATAAAAAATAATGTCACTCATTCTAAATAACTAAACACACGTCCTGTGTGTTATTATTGATATTCCCCTAAGGAAAAAAAGATTCGATCATGTTATTTCTTTTTTATTTTGCTTTATATGTTCTTCAATACCAATAAAGCAAAGGACAAGGTACTTTTTCTTTTTTTATTCTTCGCTTTTTTTTCTTTTTTCACCTTGTATTTGATGGCAAAATAAAAAAAGAAATACATCACCATGAAATTACACCATCATACTAAGTATTTGTGACATAAACATATCAATACTATGCACAATTTTTATCAAATCAATGCCTGCCAACATTATTCCATATTTAGATATATTACCTGTTGAACTTATATATCATATATTAAATTTTCTCGATACGCATACAATACTTCTTTCATTGCGTTATGTTTGTAAACATTTCTATGTTATCTCAAATGTTTTTAATCAATGTAAATTAAATTTAAATTCATGTAGAAAATCTGACTTTTATCGTTTTTGTCGTATTATAAATCCATTAAATGTCATCTCCCTTATTTTATCCGATGATGATAAAACACCGGGTCAAATAGGTTTATTTCTTTCACGTTTTAATCTAAAACAATTTAATCATCTGCGTTCTCTAATACTTTTGGAGATTGATGATTCAAATTTAAATGTTATTCTGCATGACTTACCCTATTTATTTTTGACATCATTAACAATTAAATCTCGACCATCATTAACGTGGACTCAACAAACATTAGCATATCTTTCGAAAATTCTTGAACAATCTAGCCTAAAAGAACTTACATTGAGTATATGGTGTTTTGAAATATATGATTTCGTTTGGCCTAATCAATGTCAAATTGAATATCTTCATATATCAAATCGTATAACATTTGAACAATATTGTATTTTACTTGAGCAATGTTTATTTTTACGAACATTAATTATAAAAGATGTCCTATGGAATGATACAGATATTTCAGTTTCAATTTTTTATCGACAATTGAACTCTTTAACCTTAGAAGACAATCGTATGGATGTATTTAAATTAGAACAATTTCTTTCATTAACTCCCTCACTGATCTATTTAAAAGTTATTGGTATGGCATATTTAATTGATAGTTATCTTTGGGAAAAAATTCTTCGAATAAAACTACCGAATTTAAATACATTCGAATTCTTTTTTCTATCATGGAAAGATGTTAATTATAGTTTTTGTGATATTGAATCTCTTATACAACCATTTCAAACATCATTTTGGTTAGAAAATAAACAATGGGCTGTAAATTGTGATTATATAATTAATCCAACTGAAGTTATGCTATATTCAGTACCAATATGTAAAACTTCTTTTCAATATTATGATGAAGCAAATAAAATTTCATGTTCAAATTTTACAAAAATGAATATTAATCAAGCAATGCTGGATAATATTTGCCAATTAAGATTGAATTTAATCAAAGCTATCAACCACGAGAAAAGCCTACAAACGGTACTTTTTTAAACAAAATATTTTTCTTTCAAAAAGTAATTTTCAAGTGTTTTCTCGTGAAAAAAATATCTTATTTTTGTCACACAAAAATACGTCTGGCAACATTTGCTTTCTTTTTTCCTATCATTAGAATATTGAAAACATCAGTTTCTAATTCTTTTTTTAGCCTCAATTGTCGACTTGTCCTTTATTTCGTAATGTAACCGAACTTACACTTGATCTTGATTATAAATGTCCAAATACTTTATTACAGTCATTATCGAACATAATCAATCTTTCCACTATTACTCAAGTTATATTCAACCTTAATTATGATATTGACTTTGATTTACATACGCGAACAAATCTTATAAATATCTTTAAACAAACGTCAAATATTCAGACATTTGAAATATGCAATAATCTATCTCCAATTAACGCTTGTACAACAATAGGAGATATATGTTCATTAATTCCTTCCCATATTCAACATTTAAAAATTACAGTAAAAAATGTAAATGAGATGAAAATCGTATTCGATCGGTTTAAATATTTATCAAGTATAACATTTCGATTTTCATTTGATACATCAATTCCATCAGCGAAAATAATCGAATCGTTTTTGAATATAAAAAATGATTTAACTTATAAAAACGATGACTCTTCTATACGAGTATGGCTTAATCATTTTATGGATGATCAAGAAACGCAATTTAAAATTTATTGAATTAATAACTATACACATAGTAGTTATGTTAGATTAAATTTTATTTTTCTTAAGTAATATGTATATATATTTTTCTGTATTTAGATGAATAAAAAAGATTCGCGTTTATTAAGATTTATTAAATAGGGATTTCATTCTTAAAAATCGATAGCGAATAGTTCAAAAAAAAAAATTAGTTCAAGTAAATCAGCCTGATATTTGATACTAAAGTAAAGAAGAATATATTGATATACAAATTCATTAATTGAAATATATAATAACTTACCGCACAAAACTGGCCTATGAAGCCTGGACGACATATACAATGGTAACCACCACCAGGTACATTTTCACATGATGCTCCATTCTCACAGCGATTATTAAGACAAGCAGTTAATTGAGATCCACCGGGTGCAGCTTAAAATATTATTTCAAAAACAATTTCAAAAGCTTAGCAATCTCTCAAAACATACTAAACGATATGTCACAATAGATCCCAGTAAAACCTGCACGACATAAACATCGATAACCGCCACCCGGTACAACAGCACAGGATCCACCATTTGTACATCGATTATTTTGACAAGCATTGGAACCAGCTCCACCTGGTGTACCTTAACATATCATCTTTCTTTAAAAAATTACATTATCTCTCTTTCAGAATAAATACCGCTGGATAATTCACAACGAGTTCCCGTAAAAGCGAAAGGACAAATACATTGGAAATAGCCACCGGAAAGATTTTGACAAGAGCCACCATTAAAACAAGGATTATTTTGACAAGCATTGGAACCAGTTCCACCTGGTGTACCTTAAAGTAGATCCTAAGA